GTGATGCTGGCACCCATGAGGAGTGTGAAAGTGTCTGCTTTACCCCTGTACTCTCTTTCTGCCCCTTATTTTCCTTTTAGGCTTCGTATTTGATTTCTGCTTTGTTTCATTTGGGGTGGGGTGGGTCATGCATGGTGGTGCTCAGGGTTCACTCCTGGTTCAGTGCTCAGGGGTTGCTCTCAGCTGCACAGGAAACTGCAGTGCCGATTGAATCCAGGTCCCCTGCACATGAAGCATCTGCCCTGGGCCTTTGCACTGTCTCTCCAGCTGTTAAGCCTCTTGTTTGAAAAAAGGATTTTCTTCATCTTTGGCCTAATAGCAAACTGTTTTAGGTTTCTCATCTCACTTCCACAATGAGCCAGACTCCCTCAACCATTTCTCTACTGCACTCCAATTCCTTTTAGTTTAGTTTTTTTTTTCTGTGGGGGGACAGGAGCTGGTGCATACCCAGTGGGGTTCAGGGGCCACTCCCAGCTCTGTACTCAGTGGTTGCTACTGGCAGTGCTCGAGGGACCATGTGGTGCTGTGGCTTGACCCTGGGCCTCCTGGATTCTCAGTCCATTAAGCTCTGTGTTCCTTCTCCTTCTCCTGAATAAGATTGGAGAAGAAGGTAAATGTATAAACATACTTTGTGCCAATGGGGTACATTTGATTTTAGACTTTTAAATAGAAAAAGCTGCATATACCTACATCTCTGTATAGATACATGCATCTATTAGAAATCACCAGCTTCAACTTATACTGACGACTCAAATCCATTTTCTGCCAGGGTATTTTATTGTTTTATTTCCCTCTACTACTTTTTTTTTTTTTTTGCTTTTTGGGTCATACCCGGGTGACGCACAGGGGTTACTTCTGCCTCATGCACTCAGGAATTACTCCTGGCATTCTCAAGGGACCATATGGGATGCTGGGAATCGAACCTGGGTCGGCTGCATGCAAGGCAAACGCCCTACCCGCTGTGTTATCGCTCCAGCCCCTTCTACTAGACTGAGAATCCTGACTTTGAAGCTGCACACACTTATCCATTTGCTCAGTGATACAGGAATACATCTGTAGTAGTGGGGTGGGAGAGAGAGTGCCAGGCGTAAGGCACTTGCCTTCATGGGGACAACTTGGATTCAACCTCAGTGTGGCATATGGTTTCCTCAGGAGTGACCCTTGAGCACAGAGCCAGGCGTGAGCCTGGGGCAGCTGACAGTGGTCCAAAAACCAAACAAAGAATGCAGGAATTCCAGAACATGAGCAGGGCTCAGGATGATTTTGCCTTGTTCTTTTGGCCTGCCTGCCAGCCGGAAGAGGTTCTCAGCCGTGACCCCTCCTGGCAGTCTGGGTGCAGGAGGAAGATGGATGCAGGAAGGCGCAGGGGGCATCCAGGCAGGGAGGGGCGAGAGGGGCATCTCGCTCACACACAGGGGGCTGCCCCCAGGCGTCGGGAGGCCTGGGCACCTGTGACCCAGGTCCACTTGGTGGCCTATTGGCCGGCAGCCTGGGTGCAGGGGAGAGAAGACAGATGGCGGGGATTGGCTGCTCCCATCCTAAGCCGGGAGCAGGTGTTTGTGGCAGAAGGAGGTGCGGCGGGAGAGCGGTCACCCAGAGTCTGAATGGGGGAGGAAGGGAAGGCCACAGGGTATAGGGGGGACTGGATGAGCCGGGCCACAAGGTTTTTGGAAGCGACTTCCACTAAATCAGCAGGCTGGGAGTGGAAGCGGGCAGGAAACCCAACTCTGCTGAGAACCCCCCAAGCATCTCTGCTCCCCCAGCGCAGAGACGGAGGGAAGGTAGGCCTTGCAGGGAAGGCTGAAGGGGCCACTGTTCCAGAGGTGCGTGAGGCCACCCAGTGAAGGGGCCCTGGAGCTCAGGCAACCCCCAGTGGCTTCACTTTTATGCTCAGGGAATGAGCACTACTGCCCCAGCCGGGCAAGGAGTCAAATACAGGTGTCACTGGTTTTGATGTTGGTTTGATTTTTCCAGGTGCGGTGGTTACCTCCAGTGGTGCTCAGAAGCGACTTCTTGCTGGCTCTTCGGGGCTCTCTCCTGGCACTGCTTCAGGAACCACGTGTGGTGCCAGGGATTGAAGTAGGGTTGACAGTGTTCAGGGGCTTAACCCCTGTACTACCAGTCTGGCCCCCCACTGGCTCTCTTTAAGCTTTAACAATGCTAGAGAATAATGCCATACTGACTGCTTGTTATTATTATTTTTTTTATAGAATTCAGTGGTACTTACTCCTGGTTCTTCTAGTGGGTTTGGGGGACCATATGGGGTGCCGGGAATTAAACCCAGGTCAGCCACATGCAAGGAAAGTATCCTACCTGCTGTACTATCACTCCGGCCCTTATTTGCTTGAGTAGGTGTGTCCGTGTGTGTGAGAGCGCGGGCATGTGTGTATGTGTGTGTGTGTGAGTGGTGTGTGTGTGTGTGTGTGTGTGTGTGTGTGTGTGTGTGCGGACAGTGCTCAGTGCACGTGCAGCACCAGGGATTAAGTGCAGGACCAAACCCTTGCTCGGAACAGTTCCTCATTTCCTTAGCCACGGAACCATCTTCTGAGCCCCGTTGCTGGAGACCACAAACTGCAGGTCTATTCTGGTCATTTTGCCCACGTGGCAGCTCCAAGGTGCTAACTCACCCTGCACTAGCAGGAAAACTCTTGAAGCTACTGAATCATCTTCCAAGCCATTATTATTATTATTAATTTATTTACTTTGGTTTTGGGGCCATATCTAGCTATGCTCAGGGTTTACTCCTGTCTCTGTGCTCACTCCTGGCAGGGTTGGGGGAACTATATGTGGTGTCAGGAGAGAATCTAGGTCGGACACATACAACACAAGCACCTACTCTTTGTACTATCGTGCGGTCCAAATTCTGAGTTTCTTAAGAACATCCTCAACACCCCATCTGGTTCCCTAAAATGATGTTCTGGCCCCTAACGCATCATTTTGAGGAGGAGAAGAGGATTGAAAAAGAGGTTGAATGGGCGCAAATGCTACCTGAGCCCATGTGTGCTTGCGCCCACGTGGCCGAGCACATGTGGTGCCCGAGCACATGTGTCGCCCGCATCTCCTCTCTTGAGATGTGTACTTTCATGCTTTCGTGTCTAATGCTAGGATGTGTGTAGGGGCTCTCTCTGCCCTTGGAGAAGCCCGTGTTCTCTCTTGAGTACGTTACTCTCTCTCCCTCTCTCCTCCTCCACACCTTAAAATTCCTCCAAACAAAATCTATTTATTTCAAAAGAGAGAGAGAGAGAGAGGGGGAGAGAGAGAGAGAGAGAGAGAGAGAGATTGAATGGGGCTGGAGCAATAGTACAGAGGTAGAGCATTTGCCCTGCACACGTCCCACCCAGGTTTGATCCTCGGCATCCCATATGGTCCTCCGAGCACCGCCAGGAGTAATTCCTGAGTGTAAAAGCCGGGAGGAACCCCTGAGCATCGTTGGGTGTGGCTCCAAAACAAAGCAAGCAAACAGAAAAAGAGAACAGAGTGATGATGGATGCCAGGTATGGTCAAGCCCCTCAACACCCCTCCCTCCAAATCTAAAAGGACAGAAATGGTTCTTGTGAAATTTGGTTCCGCTCTTTTGCTCTGGGCCATAGAGCAGGTTTTGTGACTTCAAAGACGCCCTGTGGGAAGCTCAGAGCAAACACGGTGCTCAGCGATTCTGTGTCAGGCACGCAGGGCCTGCTGTGTGGCATCACAAGCAGGGCCGTGGGGTCCCTTGGGTGATGCCTTTCCTACAGGCATCCTGAGGGCCGCTCTCGAGGGGCAGAAGCCCCACTCCAAGCTCTTGGCTCTTTTGAAATGGTTGCTAGCAAAAAGCACCCTGACGTTATTTTCAGAGTCCTGGTGTCTCTTTGGAGCCTCCCAACCCCCATTTAATGCGTCATCAGACCCCCTTTTCCCCCCTCCCGGAGTTGCTCTTGGGGCTGTGGTGATGTGTCTTCTGCTCACCAGGGCCTGCTGTGGTGCTCCCGAGTCCTAAGACGCCTCATCATCTGTTGTGGCACTGTGGGGACCCAGGGATCGAATCCGTGGCTTCAGGGGCTTTTAGTCACGAGCAGGGAGCTCCCACGAAGACCATGATGTATTCCAATGACGCTGTTCAGGGGCCACGGAGACAGGTCTGGGGTCAGGGGCGCGGGGCAGCTGGGCTCCATTAGTAACACCTGGTATGGCTCTGGGGGTCCCTAGCACCACACTGAGTACTGGACCTTCCGGCCAACCCAACCAGGTGGAGATACTGGGAGTGGCTGAAGGGCCTAAAGGAAGCAACCCCCACCCCCCAAAAAAATTATGCCAGAGGAAATCAAGCAAAGAAAACACTGGTTTGAAAGATTTTTTAATTTATTTTATTTATTTATTTATTTTTTGGCTTTTTGGTCCCACCTGGTGATGCTCAGGGGGTTAGTCCTGGTGGTGCTTGGGGGACCATATAGTATGCCGGGGATCCAACTGGGGTTGTGCAAGGCAAACACCCTCCCCACTGGACTAGTGTTCTAATTTTTAATCAACAGGTTACAAAATGAGCTGTTTGACATAATGCAACATTAAATTACTGCTGCTTGCTACATGAATGGTTTCTCAGTGCCACAAGCAAACGTGAAACACAATACTGACCGCTGGGAAATGAACTTTCTTATTTTAGCAATTTTATTTTACTTAAATTATTTCTTTTTTATTCCCTGCCCTTTCCTTTCAGTGTTACAATTGGGGTGCAGGGGCACTCCCTGTGGGGGGGATACACGTCAGATTACAGTGCTCATGCAGGGCTCACCGGGGGTGCTCTCACTGGTGCACCCCTGATGGTTATGGTGCACCAGGGGCTGCACACAAGTGCAGTGGCACCTGCACCTCTTTTTCAGTTGTGGTACTAGGGGTTGCACCCCTTCTTGTGGTGCTCACGCGCACCTGTGCGGCTGGAAACCAAGCTTGGGCTATAGGTTGCAGAGAGCGGAACTGCCTGGCTGGTGCTGGTGCTGGATGCATGTGGGACACGGGGGGGGGGGGGGGTGTGACCCTATGACCACATGCTTGCAGTGCAGCTGCTCTAAGCCTTGGTGCTATTCCCCTGGGCCAGAAGCTCTGACTTCAGCATCGCATGCTCCCAGAATACAGTTAGGAGTCTGATCTATTTAAAACTGATTTGCGTGTCCTTTCAGACAGACTGCTGCTTATCGCGACAGCCGTGCAGCAGAGGCTCACACTCTGATTTCTGATAAAGAAAGCTTTTCTAGATAGCATAGTAACGTTTTATAGGAAAGAAAAATAATTTAATACATGAGGTATGCATCTTGAAGGCATGTGCCCGGTGGAAATGTGCGCTGGAAGGTCGGGGTACACAGTTCCCGGGCATGGTGCTCCCCGCGCTCCTACGGGTAAGTGTAGACGTGCAGGGATGGGTACACCACCATGGTCGTGCGGCCTCTCTTTGGCAGGAGGTATTTGCTCGGGGGCGGGTGAGCCTTCAGATCTGGGGCTGGCTCTTGAGTGGTATCGGGGTTTCTCTTTGGAGAGCAGAATAACACGGATATTGGCTTCTCTTTCTGTGCAAACAAGATGTAAAAGCTGAATTCACTTGGGGTTGTGGTTTTGAAAAGTTCTAGTCAGACACATGCACATGTCAGATCCAGGCTTGATCCCCGGCGTCCCATATGATCCCCCATGCCTGCCAGGAGTGGTCCCCAAGAGTCAGGAGTAAACCCCGAGCATCGTTGGGTATGGCCCCAAAACAACAACGACAAAAGTTCTAGTGAGGGTTGGGGATGGGTCGACCAGGGGTTTATTTATGAGTAGATGCGTTTCCCGCTAACACCAATGTTGCTGATGTTACCAGGCCAGGCGGATCAAGTATTTCTGCCCTAAGGACCTCAGCCAGAGAACGGTCCGGGGGTGATACTGCAGCTGCCCTCGGGAGCTCAGGTTGTGCATGTCAGAAGTCATCGAGAAACGATATAAAAAGGGAGGAGGAGGGGCTGGAGTGATAGCACAGTGGGTAGGACATTTGCCTTGCACGCGGCCGACCCGGGTTCGATTCCCAGCATCCCATATGGTCCCCTGAGCACCGCCAGGGGTAATTCCTGAGTGCAGAGCCAGGAGTTACCCCTGTGCATCGCTGGGTGTGACCCAAAAGGCAATAAATAAGTAAGTATAAATGATAAATACAAAAACTTGAAATTGACAGAAGAGTCAAAATTAAGATAGCCCAAAACTTGAATATGATAAACTAAATAATTGATAACGTGAAAATAAAAATATTTAAAAAAAAAAAGGGAGGAGGAAATGGATCCAACCGAACGTGAGCAGCCCGTCTGCTCCAGCCCAGAGCTGGGAAGCCTCAGGAAACAGTGTTAGATTGGGTGTTTTGGGCACGCTGAGCCCTCCTTCCATGGACAGCCTTGCTCATGTTCCCGCCCCAGCTGAGAGTAGCCCCCAGGCCCACAAGAAACCAACTGGGTTCACACCACTGTCAAGAAAGAAGCCCGCTTTGGTTTGGTGTTAAACACCTTCTCTTGGCTTTTCCAGTTTGGCTCTAGCATGGGGGTCGGGCTGTCCTTGAGGGTGACCCTTGAGGGAAAGAGAGACCCCCAGTGCCAGGCCTCAGAGACCCTGCACAGAGAAGGCTGTGGGTAGGGTGTGGATGGTCGGCGAGAGCAGCGCCCTGGCCATTTCTCCACGGCCCACTTGGGCAGACGCAGGCCCCGGGCCTACCTCTGCGCAGAGGCTCCCTGTGCCCGGGCCCTGTGAGCAGCCCTCCCTCCCACAGACAACGGGGCAGACCGCCAACCCTTTGCCACCTCTTCAATGGCTACTCCTCTTTTTCCTGCTTAAGAAAGAAAGAACTAGCGTGAAGGGGTCAGAGAATTGTTCCTAAGGCATGGTAAAGATCATTCTGACAGGTGGAAAGACAGTACGCTGGGGGAAGGCGCAAACCTGGCAGCAGCTGGTCCCTGAGCACTGAGCCAGGAGTATGCTCTGCACACTTCACGATATGCCACCCCTCAAAATAATGCGTCTGGGGGCTGGAGCAATAGTACAGCAGGTAGGGCGTTTGCCTTGCATGCGGTCACCCCGGGCTCAATTCCCAGCATCCCATATGATTCCCCAAGCACTATCAGGAGTAATTCCTGAGTGCAGAGCCAGGAGTAAACCCTGAGCATCGCTGGGTGTGACCAAAAAAAAAAAAACCCAAAAACCATCATTCTGATTTTTTTTGGGGGGGGGCAGGGCAAAGGTGTTGGCCACACCTGGCAGAGTTCAGGGGACCAAAGGCCTCAGTCTGTACCACTCCAGTCCTCACCTCTCTCTATTGGAGGGGAAGGGTTAGGGTTTGGGGAACACCCCTGATGGTGTGCAGGGTCCATGTGGTGTTGTGAATGGAGCCAGGGTTGGCCGCACACAAGTCAAATAGTCACAATCACTGCAGTGTCCTCTGGGCCTATTTTGGGAGGGCTTGAGGGGTTTGGGCCACACCTGGTTGTGCTCAGAGGCTATTCCTGGCTCTGCACTCAGGGGTCACTCCTGGCGGTGCTGGAGGTTGAGCTGGGTTGGCTGTGCAGGGCAAACGCCTTCCCTAATGTATTCTCGGGCCCCTTGACCTGTCCCTTGCAAAAGCAAAGTCCCGCCGCCTTGGTGGTGCTGGCTCACGCGGCGGGTTCCTTGCTGCTGCTGTTCGGTCCCCCTGTACCGTCACGGCTCTCCCGGCCCTCGGCCTGATGTAACAAAGCCATGACTCCCTAGCAAAGTTTGGCTGAAGAAATAAATAAAACTCCCCATGGAAAGCTTTTCGCTCTGGTGTGCTCGCAGATTCGGATCCATCTCCGGGGAAGTACCTGCATTCTTTCTTTACTCTTAGTCAGAATCGAGGCAGACGTTTTCGATGGGTCCAGGAAGGTGGTTTTGTCTCGACCGTTAAACTGTGACTAGAACAAATGAAGACAGGCTCACTAGATATTTCCCAGGGGCAGCAGCAGTTAAATGGAACAAATGTTATTTGAGGGATTTTTTTTTTAGGGGAGAGGGGTGCTGCATCTGGTGGTGCTCGGGGCTTACTCCTGGCTCTGTGCTCAGGGATCACTCCTGGTGGTGCGTGGGGACCATCTGAGACACCAGGGATCGGAACCAGGTTGGGTACATGCAAGGCAAATATCTTACCCGCTTTCCTACGACTCCAGCCCCATTATTTTAGTATTTTTATTCAACTGTATTGACTCATTATGAAACAGTAACACAAAAGGAGAGAGAGGACACAAATGAATATTAATTTAAAAAAAAGGCAGGGGGAAGTACAGTACAGGGGTGGGACACTTGTCCTGCAAGAGGTGACGCGGGTTCTGTCCCGGGCTCTGCATCTAGTCCCCTGAGCACTGCTAGGAGTGATCCCTGAGCACAGAGCCAGGAACAAGCCCTGACATTTCTGAGTATGGCCCCAAGCTCCCCAAAAGAACAGTACTTGGAAGGCAAGGGAGCCGAGGGGCTGTACTTGGCAGAGCTTCCCACCTTCCCGTCCCATGTCCACCCCACCCCCAGATGGCTGTTACTGGACCTGTATTTCAGAGGCGGGAACCCAGACTCAGGATGGATAAGTAGCTCACAAAGGGCGACAAAGTGGGAAGGTATGTGAATGCACCAGTGTCCTCAGCCCTTGTCCAAGAGGCCCTCGGGCTCTGTCTGTACCATGTGGGGGTCCCTCTGTTACAGCCTCCCTATATCAGTTTAGTTTGGATAGGGGATCACACTCCGTGCCTGGAGGTTGCTCCCAGTGGTGCTCTGGGGGCCATGAGGCAGCAGGGCTCGAACCCAGAGTCCTGCATGCAAAGCTCGGCCCCATCAGAGCACTGTGAGCACAGGGTGGCAGTCGGCTCAGCACAGCACACAGAGTGCCCTTTTTTTGGGGTCACACCCAGCAATATTTAGGGGTTACTCCTGGCTCTGCACTCAGGAATTACTCCTGGCAGTGCTTGGGGGACCATATGGGATGCTGGGAATCGAACCCAGGTCGGCCATATTGGCCGTGTGCAAGGCAAATGCCCCACCCACTGTACTATCACTCTGGCCCACGGAGCGCCCATTTTTGCTCAGTGCCCAGTAGGAATTAGCTGCAACCGAACCCAAACCTGGTTGGATACATAATAGAATCAAGAATCATACAGTTATTGGGGCTGGAGCAACAGTACAGCGGGTAGGGCATTTGCCTTGCATGTGGCCAACCCAGGTTCAATTCCCAGCATCCCATATGGTCCCCTGCGTACTGCCAGGTGTAATTCCTGAATGCATGAGTCAGGAGTAACCCCTGATCATCACCGCATGTGATCCTAAAAGCAAAAAAAAAAAAAAAATCATACAGCTATAAAGTCCCAAACTACCAAAAGCAGGCTGGGGACCTCACCTCTGTGTTCTAGCCATGTGTTGGGGCTGCCTTGTAGCCCTGCTTCCTGCCGGACCCTGAGGTCTCCAAGGCTCTAACCCTGCTAACCCACCACCTGAGGTCTCCAAGGCTCTAACCCTGCTAACCCACCACCTGGTCGGGCGAGTCTGGCTCTGTGCCTCACTCTCATCATGTGGCAGGGGGCTGGAGCACAGGGTAACTGTCCTGCACTGAGCACATGGGTGGCGGGGCCTTTGGGTCTGAGTCTAAATCACTGGTTCGTGGCATTAGGGTTCAGTCGTTCACACCCCCAGCAGTGCCATGGGGCCTTGCAGTCTGCCCTCAGCTGCCGAGTCAGGGGGTCACACACGCTGGGCGGCCCAAAGCAAGGGGCAGTACTGTGGTGTTGGGGGTCCCAGCGGGGAAGCTTGAGACCCAACTCAAGGCCTCATGCAGGCACGGCAGGAATTTGACCACCCAGCCAAGTCCCTGCAGCCCCTTCCCGTCAACTTTCCCATCCTCTGATCGGAAGAACAATGCGGATACCTGCGACGTTCCTTACCCTGTGGGCAGACATGTTAAGTGGAAAACTTGAAAACCTATATAACATAGAGTCACAGTGGGGGCAGAAAAGAAGTTTGAGAAATGAACCCAGAAGTGGCAATTAATGTTCTATGAAGGAACCCAGAAGAGAGATTGGGAGAGAAGGGGTTTCTTCAAGAAGGGTGATGGGAAAACTGGACTCTATCTGCAGGACTTCTACGTAGGGTACTGTACCATAAAGGTCAACTCAACATGGAACAAAGCCTTACATTTAAGAATTGGAATTGCAAAACTCCTAGGAGAAAGAGAGGCAGTAGCTTCATCCTTGAAAGTGGTCCTAGCAATGACTTTTTCATATGAAGAACAAAGAGCACAAGGGGAAAAATAAACAGGCGAGACTATAGTGAATCATAAGCCTTCTGCACTGGGGCCAGAGAGACAGTATAGGAGTTAAGGTGCTTGCCTGGCACGCGGCCAATTCCAGTAGGACCCTTAGCACCACTTGTGACCCCCATCCCGAGCTCGGCCAGGATTAAGTCCTGAGCTCCACCTAGGTGTGATGCCCACTCTAACCCCCCACAATTAGAAAGTTAAAAAATAAGGAGCCCAAGTGGGAGTATAGTAGGCGGGGTGCTTGCCTTGCATGCAACTGATGTAGGCTCAATCCCCAGAACCCCACATGGTCCTGAGTCCTGCCAGGAGTGATCAATTCTTGGACTCAGAGCCAGAGGAAGTCTCGGCACAGCCAGGTATGCTTTCCCAACTCTCCCCAGACCCAAAACCAGCAAAACAAAGAAAAAAAAAAGTACACCATGAGCAGGGTGGGGAGCATGGGTTGGGAACAGCTGGGAGGAAGAGCGGGTACTCACAGTATCCCACGGTGCTGCAGCAAACAAATGCGGGACCCCCGTTACCCCCAGACGTTCTCCCCCCACCCCACTGTGACCATCACCACCACAACAGAGAGGACTAAGGTCTGAGGAGCCCTCGGACAGCACAGTGGAAGTCATTCATAAAGCCATGCAATAGAACTTAGATCCGGGCGGAGGGGCTGAACTGCTGAACAGTGGGAAGAGCCCTCGCCTGGCACTTGGCCAGCACAGGCTCAATCCCTGGCAACCCATATGGTCTCTGGAATCTGCCTGGGTGATTCCTGAGCACTGAGCAAGGAGTAAGCCCTGAGCACAGCTGGGTGTATCCCCACTCCCACCCCCCAATTTTTTTTTGTAGGAAGTTGAACCACCTAAGTATTGTCACTGAAAGGAAAGAAAAATATGTGGGTCGGGGGGGGGGGCAGAGAATAGTATAGTGTGTAGGGCGTTTGCCTCGCATCCGTCTGCCCTGAGTTCAATCTAAGGCATCCCTTATAGTCACCCGAGCACTGCCAGGAGTAATTCCCAAGTGCTGAGCCAGGAATAATCCCTGAACATCACCAGTGTGGCCCCCAAACAAAAACACAACAAAAAAAGAAAAATATGTGAGTTCAGTTAATGTGTTAACATGTTAATGTGTTAACTCAATGGTGCTCTCCACAATGGAGATGCTGGATCAAAACATCACGTTGTCTACTTCAAATACCTCACCTGGAAGTTTTAATACATGCTTCCATTAGTGAGCTAAGAAGAAGAATCAAGGGCAAATACCTCGTTCAGTCTCAGTTTCTTGTTCCTCAGGGCTGCAGTGCTGGAATTCTCTGACTGTGTGAAAGAGGTGGGCTGCTTTGGCAGAGCAGAAGGAAACTCTGCCCTTTCCTAGAAAGACCGAGTGCAAAGAGCATTTGCAGTGGCCCCGCGGCCATCCATCCGCTCTGAGGTGACCCCATTCGCCCATCTGGGCAAGCATGTTCGGGATGGAAGGAAGGTCGGGGAAGCTATCCAGGTCTTCAGAGCTGTGCCCAGCCCCAGGGACTTGGCCAGCCAGCCCTGTGGACTAGCTCTGGAAACCAGAACCCAGACTTACTTGGGTGCCACAGTGCAGTCAGTCAGCTGCCATGTAGAGCAGCTCTGAGCCCTAATGAATGATCCCACGCTGACCCCCTCGGTTCCCCCCCGCCACTTGGTGCTGTGAAGTGAAGTTTGGGTGCCTGTCCTGCCCCACCAGACGGCAGCAACAGAAGCAGCCTTGTCTTACTGTCATGTCTGCTGTTAACTTCGACTTCCTCATTGTGGCATTTTTCTGGTACTGCTCATTCCGCTGTTTCCTAGTCTGCAGTGACTTCTTTTTCTTCTTCTTAGACACCTTCCTTTGCTGATACAACTTCAGAAAGAAAATAGAAGCTCATCACTGAGGTTCCAGAGGCACATGCCTGGCAGCGGCAGCCCTGGCACACCCCACTCCAAACGCAAGACGAACCCCCTGCAGCCCCGCTGAGGACTGGATGGTTGGTGTGCAGAACAAACTGGCCAGTCCCCACATAATGGCCCCAAATCCCACTCTCACTGTTACACTGCCAGAGGAGACCCTGTTCTCATATCCAGGGGGCTGGACTTCAGGGGAGCGACCACTTATAGCAACAACGGGGGCAGGAGCACTGGGGCCGTGGGTAAGGCACTCCACCCGCATGTGGCCAACTCACCTTTTATTCCCCCCTGCAATGGTGAGGGCTCACTGCTGGCTCTGTGCTCAGTGATCACTCTTGGTGGTGTTCAGAGAATTATATGGCATTCTAGGGACTGAACCCTGGTCAGTCACGTGCAAGGCAAGCATCTCACCAATTTTATGATCTCTCCAGCCGCTGACCCTGATACCATCCCAGCACCCCATAAGAATCCCCAAGCTCAGCCAAGAGTAATTGATGAGCACAGAGCCAGGAGTAAGCTGTGAGCACAACAAGCTGTAGCCCAAAATTCTCACCCCACCAAAAAAAAAAAATCAAGGGGAAGATTATCCTGGTTATTGGGTGTGTTTACTAGGACATCACTACTTTATTTTCTGCACATCTTAGCAAGTTGGAAAATTCCATCAATTTATCTAGTAGTGTCGAATTCATTGCTATTGGGCTATACCCAGACAAGTTTGGGGGCTTTCCCTGTCTTGAAGTAGCCCTTGGCAGTCATGGAGGGGACGATGAAGTTCTGGGGATCAAACCTTTTGTTCCTACCTCAAATCACAGAGGTCCAGCCCTCCACACTGTCTCCCAGCCCTGCCTGCTTTGTTAAAGGCTGTCCCTTGCTGGTGTAAGGGTCCAGGAGTCTCACCTCCTCTGCAGTGTTCAACTGGCGAATGGGAAGGCCATCGGAGAGGGAACTGTCAGAGCCACTGGTGCTATTCCACAGGGAGTGAAGAAAGGGAAATCCTGTTAGTCACGTCCGGGCAGTTTGAGCGGCCCAGCCCTGTTGCAGGGGATGAGGGGGTCTGATCTGCCAGTCACCCACACTGTGCACCCCTCTGGGTCGGAGTGACAACACAACGGGGAGGGCATTTGCCATGCATGTGGCCGACCTGGGTTTGATTTCCAGCAACCCATATGGTTCCTTGAACCCTACCAGGAGTGATCAGTGATCCCTGAGTGCAGAACCAGGAGTAGCCTTAAGTATCCTGGGGGCAGGGAGGAGGTTTGGGTGGGTGGGGGGACGTCTAACAACAAAAAAATCATGTCTGTTGAAGCCTGACCAGATTCATGAGGAAGTTCCCTTGTAAGCAAGGCTGTGTCAGAGCTGCAAACAGCTTGGAACTCTGATTGAACTAGGCTGGGGTCAGCATGTCACAATGCAGCTACTCCTTATTATAGATTAAATGTGCTATGCTTGGATGAAAGTTAATCAAATATCTTACTGGGCTACTGTGATAGCTTGCATAGATTTAGATTTATAGAGAATGAGGAAATAGAATGTACGGGAGTGGGATGTAAAAGATTTACAAGGTGGTCTGGCTTGCTTTATCGGAAATGCTGTACGTCACTAAATCACAAGACAATATGTATTTTGATCTTAAGTACTTTGCTGTATGAGGTATATCTGAGGTATGCTAGATGTTTTGATCATTAACCCAATAAAAGGAGACTGCAGAAGCAGATCAGTGCAAAATGGCCTGAGCGAGCTTTAGCCCACCGTGCTTCAACATTTCACATGTCTCGCTTGTCTCTGCCCCTCCGCCGCCCCCCCTCCCGGCCCATCACTCTATCAAGAGTAATCCCTGAGCATTTTTGGGTGTGGACAGACCCCCCCAAACAAAACAAAACAAAACAAACAAAATGCAAAATACATAAGATAAAATCTATTTTCCAAAAAAAAAATTAAAATGAAATAAAATAAAATCTAGAGTAGCCAGAATGCCCTTGTTGAAAATGAAGTCTTGACTCAAACCCTTCTCATGACATTCCATCCTTGGAGGGAGAGGTGATGGTGTGACAGGAGCTGAGGCGGCCAGCACAGACAATCTGCCCAGTTCCCCCTAAATTTCCCAAGCCTGGAAAACAGGCTGTCAGAGAACTGGTAACCTAGCCGAGCCGTGGAAGGCATATGCAGTAAATCACAAACTGAAGGTAGGATTTACTCTCTTTCTTGTGGATACTGGTCCAAACCGAACCAGCAAGGCCAAAGCCACAAACAAAATGAAAAAACTTTCCAAAAATCAATAATACCTCTGGTGTTTCCTTTGGCATAAAATTTGTTACCTGGATTCAATGTCAGACAAAGAAATATCACTCCAACTTCCTTCTATAATATCTCGTCCAAGTTCGTGGAATTTCTTGTGGATTTCCTGTTGTAAGAGGTTTCTAAGCTCTGCGAGACACTGTGTGAACTGTGGAAGTGAAGTAATTTTGGATAATTTACTTATTCATTGGATATTTGTTAATCATATGCTGAATGGAGCTTTAATATTGCTGGGGACACAAAGATAACTAAGTTGGGACCTCTGCTAATAAGGATGTATCGATGGAAAAATTACATGATCAGTTGTTGGATAACATTGGTTTGTCCTTGCTCCTTCTCAGGGAGCTTAAGTTTATTGAGTTACACCATCACAGTGCTCCCTAGGCATACCCAATTCCATCAGGCACTCCTAACACTATTCCCCTATCAATATTGCTTTTCTCTTTTCTTGATGTCCTTCGCATAGTTTATTTTAGAGAAATGTCCTTTTTGTATAGACACGGGAAGACAGTTAATTCTATGCTTTTGTAACATGGGAGTTAAATGACTCTGAATAATATATACTCCTGGGCACCCATCACAGTTACTTGACTTAAGCTTTTGTTGCCCTTACTTCCTAACAAACCCCCCAAAGAAGGGTCCCTGGATGGACCCAGGCAAGCCATAAGCTACCCTGGCGTCGAAAAGGTACAAGCTAAATGCCATAAGAAGTATAAGTTAAAGGGGCTGGAGCAGTAGCACAGTGGGTAGGACGTTTGCCTTGCATGCGCTGACCTGCTTTTGATTCCCAAAATCCCGTATGGTCCCCTGAGCACTGCCAGGGGCAATTCCTGAGTGCAGAGCCAGGAGTAACCCCTGTGCATTGCCGGGCGTGACCCGAAAAGAAAAAAAAAAGAAGTATAAGTTAAGAGCACAGTCATGGAACAAATTCTGTCATGACCCAAAAAGAAGTACCTGAATAAGGACCCTGGTGGGGTTAGGAAAGACTAACCTGGCCTGAGGTCTGTAGTTTGGGTTCTATAGCAAAATGTCCCAGGAAGAGTCACCCTTTAAGCTTAATATATCTCTTACCGTGTCCATACAAAATGACCAGAAATATTATTAAACAGTAAATTTAAGATGACTGTTTAAATAGATTACTAGCTAAGGAAAGGAGAAAGCAATATGCCCTTAGATGGAATTCTGCCCTTGGGTGGCTCTCCTGGCAGGAATCTAGAGTGCAGGGCACCCAGATGAGATTTTTGTCCTTGAGTTAATCTTCTAGAAGAACTACCCCTGAAGGAAGGACTTTATATCTGTTCATTGTTATGATAATGTTCAACTGACACCTATGTGTAACTGCTACCTCCCCCCCCTCCACGATTTCTTTATAACTAGCACTGTGAGACTTGAATAAACGGCCACTTGATTACCAACCAGCCTGTGGCCCCATACCTTCTTCTGTTGCTCTTGGCTGGCCCTCGGAGGTGGTTCTGGGCCACCAAAACTCACCCATACTCGAACTCACAATCAGTAGAAAAGTGTGCTTTCTCTTTGTGTTTTAATTTTTGACCCTACCCATTGGTGCTGAGGGATTACTCCAAGCTCTGCACTCAGAGATCACTCCTGGAGGGCTAAGAGTACCTGTGGGGTTGCAGGGATCACATCCAGGTCAACTGTGTGCAAGGCAAGCACTTGACCTGCTGTGCTACCTCTCTGGCCATTATTTTTAAAAATTATTGCTAGAGCAATAGCACAGAAGGTAGGGCGTTTGCCTTGCATGCGGCCGACCCAGGTTCGAATCCCAGCATCCTATATGGTCCCCTGAGCACTGCTAGGAGTAAATGCTGAGTGCAGAGCCAGGAGTAACCCCTGAGCATTGCCAGGTGTGACCCAAAAAGCAAAAAAAAAAGAAACCAAAAAAATTATTTTAAATAGGGAGGAGAAGGAAAGAAACAGAGTGAAGGGGAAGGAGAGAAAGACAGATAAGAAGCAATGGGGGCAGGGGTCAAGGAGCCCCATGTACATCGGTGGTGTTAAGAATGATAGCGCTAAATATCCAATATCCAGAGTCAACAACACTGAAATCAAGAGACCCAAATTTAATAATCAAACTTCAAAGGTGTTTGTCAAGATGATGACTTGGGGTTGGGGTGTTGGGTAGGAGTAGGAGAGGGAATCTGGGAACACTTATGGAGGGAAGTTGACACTGGTGGCAGGATTGGTGATGAAACACTGTATGTCAAAAAAAAAAAACAGCTATGAGTAACTGTGTAATCCATGAAATTTTAATAAAATAAAATTATAGGAAAAAATAATTTAAAAATGTTCTTTCAGAAAAAAAAGTAAAGAGGAAACACTAAGCTTCATGTTCTAAGTACATTTGCAAATATACCTTGTATTCTGACTTCAATTTTGGAGAGACTAGGCTTCTTAAAATGTTCATATCCTTTTCCCAAATGAACTAAGCACATTATTTCTCTTTTTGGTTTATTTGTGAATTAGGATAGGGGTGTCTTGAGATCAGTTGCAATTAAGCGTAAGTATGAATAGTAAAAAATTGAGGACAAAAAGGAAGTGGGGGCGGGAATGATAGTAGAGCAGGGAGGGTGTTTGCCTTGTGTGCGGCCAACCTGGGTTTGATTCCCGGCATCCCATATGGTCCCCTCCCCCAGCACCTCCAGGAGTTATTTCTTAGTACAAAGACAGGAGTAACTCCTGAGCATCACTAAGTATGTTCCAAAAAACAGAAAAAAGAAAAGGGGAATGAACAAGACAAGGGTATAGGGGAGGAACCTTGGTGCACAAGGTGGGCAGGTCTGTTTTGGAGGAGAGAGAAAAGCAATTTCTCTGGAAAGGCAGATAGGGGTTAAGATGCTTGTCTTGCTGAGGCCAACGCAGGTTCAATCCTTGGCATTCCTTGGGACCCTTAGTCCAAGCAAGTGCAGGACCAGGAGAACAACTGGCTTACCTCTGGATGTTACTGAAACCTCAAAAATAAATGAATGAATGAATTTCTTTTTTTTTTTGCTTTTTGGGTCACACCTGGCTATGCACAGGGGTAACTCCTGGCTCATGAACTCAGGAAATACTCCTGGCTGTGCTCAGGGGACCATATGGGATGCTGGGAATCAAACCTGGGTTGGGAAAAGTGCAAGGCAAATGCCTTACCCGCTATGCTATTGATCCAACCCCTGAATTTTTTTTAAAAGTCAATTTCTAAGGGTCGAAGAGACAGTCCGTCAGGTAGGGCATGTGATTTCCACACTGCCAACTCGGGGTTCAATCTCCGATACCACATTGAATACCTTAAGCCTGCTAAAAGTGATCCCTAAGGGCCCGGAGCAATAGTACAGCGAATAGGGTGTTTGCCTTGCACATGGCTGACCCGAGTTCAATCCCCGGCATCTCATATGGTCTCCTAAGCACCGCCAGGAGTAATTCCTGAGTGCAGAGCCAGAAGGAACCCTTGCACATTGCTGGGTGTGACCCAAAAAGCAAAAAAAAAAAAAAAAAAAAGATCCCTGAGCACAGAATCAGGAGTAAGCTCTGAGCACTGCCAGATACAACCCTCAAACAAACAAACAAACAAACCAGCCCTATATTGAGACAAGAGTAACGGTACAGTGGGTAAGGCTCTTGACTTGCACACAGCTGCCAACCCAGGTTCAATCCCAGGCACCCCTGATGGTCCTCCGAGTCCACCAGGAGTGATCACCAAGTGCAGAGCCAGGAGTAAGCTCTGAGCACTGCTGGGGGTGGTCTTCCCTCCTCCCCGCAAAATAAATAAATAAATAAATAAATAAAAATAAAAGAACTTGAGAAAGATATTTAAAGGTAAGTAAAGATCATCTGCAGCACCACAAGGCTGACTGCAGGCTTCCATGACACCAGCCCAGGAGTGCGCCCACAGTTCCTTGTCCTCACTTTACCTTGGTTTGGTCAGGATCGCAAAAATCCAGAAGGGTGTCACAGACAAGGTGACCCAGGGACTTGAGATCCTCAGTGGTAAAGTGGGTGTCTCTTTTATTGCCTGCCAAGAAATCCACAATCATTTCTGAGCAAAGATTTTTTCCCTTAAGGTCAATGCTGGGCAACACCCAGCAATGCTCAGGAACTACTCAGGCTCAGTGCTCGGGGGCCACTCCTGTTGGTTCTCAGGGGGCCAGATTGTGCTGAGGACTGAATCTGGGGTTCCCACATGCAGTTTGTTGAAGCACCGTGTGACTTCCAAAAGCCAATATCTGATTTTTTTTTTCTTTTTGGGTCACAGCTGGTGATGCACAGGGGTTACTCTTGGCTCATGCACTCAGGAATTACCCCTGGCGGTGCTCGGGGAACCATATGGGATGCTGGGAATCGAACCTGGGTCAGACGCACGCAAGGCAAGCGCCCTACTCGCTGTACTATTGCTCCAGCCCTCAATATCTACTCTTGACAACCGAACTAGAGGAGTCACAAACGCACAGCATGCTCTCCAGCCCTGGAGCCATCTCCTCAAGCCTGCATGAAATCAATTTTAATCAGCAAGTAAAAATCTACTTTGTGAATATATCTTTTAAAATACTACCTCTGGGATCGGAGAGAGAACCCCACAGGCTGGGTGCATGCTTTGCATCTGGGGGTTTGGGGTTGGATCCCTGCCACCACCTAGTCCTGAGCACTGCTAGGGAAAGACCCACAAGCTCAGAGCCAAGAGTAGACCCTGAATACCCAGCTATGACCCCAACACCAGAAATAAATAGATAAATGAATACATAATAAAATGAAATAAAATAGTATCTTTGGGGCTCAGGGAGATATCTCAGAGCGATGGGGACGGGGGACATCTTTGATCCCTGGCTCTACGTGACCCCTGAGCACTGACAGAAGGAAGCCCTGAGCATTTTGCTAGGAGCAGCCACAGGGTGTGGTTCCCAAACCCAAAACTAATAATAAAAATCCCACCCAAGATTCTAGAATACTATGCTTCTGAACAGGGTATCTCTCTTAGTTTTAGTTTGGTTCAAAAGAATTTTTTTTGTTTGTTTTGGGCCACACCAAGAGGTTCTCAGGGCTTACTCCCAAAACTGCACCAGGGGATCACTCCTGATGGGTTTGGGGGACCATATGGGGTGCTGGGGATCAAACCCAAGTCAGCCGCATATATGGCGAGTGCCCTATCAGCTGTGCTATTACTCTGGCCCCTCAGAAGATTTTTTTTTTTTTTTGCTTTTTGGGTAACACCCGGCAATGCACAGGGGTTACTTCTGGCTCTGCTAATTCTCAGGAATTACCCCTGGCGGTGCTCAGGGGACCACATGGGATGCTAGGAATTGAACCTGGGTTAGCTGCATGCAAGACAAATGCCCTACCCTCTATGCTATTGCTCCAGCCCCTCAGAAGAATTTTTTTTTTCTTTTTGGGTCATACCCGGCGATGCACAAGTGTTATTCCTGGCTCTGAACTCAGGAATTACTCCTGGTGGTGCTCGGGAGACCATATGGGATGCTGGGAATTGAACCCGGGTCGGCTGAGTGCAAGGCAAACACCCTACCCGCTGTGCTATCACTCCAGCCCCTCAGAAGAATTTTTGACAATCGAAAAGTGTACAGTGGTGATGCTTTGCAAGCCAAGATTTGAATTTGTGGTGGGCTGTATGCCAAGTGCTTTGTTAAAGAATTTTTCTATTATCCTTGCTGGTTAGTGAGAAACTCCCTTTGAACAGGCTGAGTAACTTACTTTCAGTCATACTGTTTATAAATAATGGAGAAGTTCAAACCCAGAGCTTCCTAACTCCAGGTCCTGTGTAGCCATTCTGTTATGTTATTCAATCAAGTATGCTATTTCACACCCATGTTTTGCATTTTCAGATTTAGCATCCTTTATGGACAAGGAAACCCTCTTAGTCAGCTATCTCTCCAACGGGCGCTGGGACTTCCCAGACCAGGGCACTCACCCAGGGTAGAGCCGCCGAAGGTGGCCTCCATGGTGTAGCTGTTGAGGACGCCCATCCTCCACATCACCACTCGTCCCGTGCCCTCTTTGCACTTTTTGACCTTAAAATTGCAGCTGTGAAAAGAGAACTGAAGAGAAATCCAAATTCTGTTCACCACAGACTGGCCAGTGTAAGCTCTCCAGATTGCATCACTATGATTCAGGACAGTTCTCTCGTGGAGTCCATACTATTTACGTGAAGGCTATCTCACAGAAGTGCTAATTTGTTTTGTTTTGTTTTTTGCTTTTTTTTTGGTTCACACCTGGCGATGCACAGGGGTTACTCCTGGCTTTGCACTCAGAAATTACTCCTGGCGGTGCTCGGGGGACCATATGGGATGCTGGGAATCGAACCCGAGTTGACCACGTGCAAGGCAAATGCCCTACCCACTGTACTATGGCTCCAGCCCACAGAAGTGCTAAGTTTGAGGGCTGTTGATCAGGGTGAGAGTGGAAGAGGGGTTCTCCCTGGTCAGCTTAGTGAGGGAAAGGAAGGCCTTGCAGACACTCCCCGAGAGGAAGGGGAAATCCTGCTTCTCAGACTTGAGTCCTTCTCACCTCCCTGCCATCTCTCTTCCTGGCTCTTTAGCAGGACCAAGGTTATGAGGGTACCTGGCTGGCTTTAATAAGCATGGTTAGCTTTCCTAAGGCTTATGCTTCAGCCCCTACAGCTAGTTGGGTTTATCCTCCATATATGATCTGTGTGTGCTTCACCCCTATGCAATTTTTTGGGGGTGGCTAGGTTTCTGGACCATACCCAGTGTGCTCTGGGGCCATGTGGTGCCAGAGATAGAACCTGGGTCAGCCACATGCAAGGGGAGCAGCCCATAACCCTTGTACTATTTCTCCAAGCCCTACTTTAAAAAAAAAAACCTTTTAAATACAAATACTTGAAAAAAGCACGGGGCTGGAGAGATAGCACAGTGAGTAGGGCGTTTGCCTTGCACGTGGCCAACCCAGGTTCGATTCTCAGCATCCCATATGGTCCCCTGAGCACTGCCAGGAGTAACTCCTGAGTGCAGAGCCAGAGTAACCCCTGTGAATCACAGGTGTGACCCAAAAAGCAAAAAAAAAAAAAAGCAGATATCAAATATTTGTCTTATATCTCTTTAGGTGAGAAAATCTGGACTGATCACTTAAACACTTATTTAATTTAAACAAGTTTCTTCTTTCGGTTTTTTGGTGTTTTTTTTTTTTCTGGCTTTTTTTTTTTGGTGTCACACCTGGTGATACTCGGAGTTTCTCCTGGTGATGATGCATGGGGGACCCTATGGGATGTTGGGGATCAAATCTGGGTTGGCTGCGTTCAAGGCAAACGCCCTCCCTGCTGTCTCTTCTTTCTAATGACAGTTATACTTTGTGGATCTATTTCTGATGCTATTAGGAAAACCAGTTCTATAGCCAACACAGATTCTTTATCCATTCACTCAGTGTGACTCAGTTGGCCGTCAGAGGCTTCTAGCTTGTGAGGGAGGCGATGAGACAGCCCATGTGGTAGAGCAAGTGCCTTGTCCCCTGCACTGCCAACAAAGAAATAAATTTTTTGTTTGTTTGCTTTTGGGTCACACCTGGTAGCGTTCGGGGCTTACTCTTGAACTCAGAGATCATTTATGGCAGGTTCAAACTCTGGTCAGCTACATGTAAGGTAAATGACCTACCGGCTGTACTATTGCTCCTGCTGCAGATAAATAAAATATTTCTAAGCTGTTTTCATTAGCCCTTTAAAATCTTAGTTACTTGTGACCTGCATTATATAAACTTCCTGTGGTGGCTCAAATAACATTAGCATTTTTGCTTCTGCTTCAATCCTTCCCATTGCCAACCACAGGATTAAAGATGAGAGATAATTCTAGGAGAAGGTTGAATATGTTCCCAGGCAAAGCAGCCAGAACAATTCAAAACATTACCAGAAACACATTGCTAGTGGCCAGTGAGATAGTGCAGTGAGTAAGGCCTTGCATGGGGACAACCGGGTTCAAGCCCTGGTACCACATATGGACTCCTTTGCCTCACCAGGAGTGACTTCTGAACCTCAGAGTGAGTAGTGGTCCCTAAGCACCTACAGGTATGGCCCAAAAATCAAGAAAAAAAAAAAGACAATGATATTTACACTATTTTATTTTTCTTTTTGGGTCACACCCGGCGATGCACAGGGTCAGGAATTACTCCTGGCAGTACTTGGGGAACCCTATGGGATGCTGGGAATTGAATCCGGGTGGGCTGCATGCAAGGCGAACGTCCTACCCGCTGTGCTATCACTCCAGCCCCTCTTTTCTTTTTTTTTTTGTTTTGTTTTTTATTTTCCTTTTGGGGTCACACCCAGAAATGCTCAGGGGTTACTCCTGGCTTTGCACTCAGGAATTACTCCTCTGGCAGTGCTCAGGGGATCATATGGGGATGCCAGACATTGAACCCAGGTCAGCCGCGTGCAAGGCAAACGCCCTACCCTCTGTGCCACTGCTCCAGCCCCCCCCCTTTTTTTTTTGCTTTTTGGGTCATACCCAGCAATACACAGGGGTTACTCCTGGTTCATGCACTCAGGAATTACTCCTGGTGGTGTTCAGGGGACCATATGGGATGCTGGGAATCGATCCCGGCCTGGGTCACATGCAAGGCAAATGCCTTACCCGCTGTGTTATCACTCCAGCTCCCTCTCTTTTCATTTTTATGGGTCATACCTGGCGGCAGAGCCTGGCAAGCTACCCGTGATGTATTCAATATGCCAAACACAGTAACAACAAAGTCTCCAATGGAGATGTTACTGGGCCCGCTCGAGCAAATCGATGAACAACGGGAGGACAGTGTCAGTGACAGTGACCTGGCGGTGTTCAGGACTTACTCCTGAGACAGGTAAGCCCTGAGTGCTGCCTAGTGTGGCCCCCCCAAAAAATAATTTTTAAAAAATTTATAAAATAAAAATTCGGGGTCAGAGAAATAGTACTGGAGCTAAGGTGCTTGGCTTGTATTCTGTGGGTGCTGGTTCAAATCTCCACTATATATTCCCCCAAGCACCATCAGGGGTCTTCCTGAGCACTGAACCAGGAATAATTCCAGAGCCCAGTCTATTTGGGGACACAGTATGGCCCCAAAATCCAAAAATTTTATAAAGTATTTGATTGCTGATTAATACTCCATTGTGGGGATATCCTACATTTTGTCAGTGGATGATAAAAGCCGCTTTTATTTAATTTCAATTTTTTTCCTTAAATTTTTATTAGTGAAACATCATGAGGTACAGTTGTAGACTTACAAATTTTTGTGCTTGGGTTTCAATTATACAATGATAGAATACCCATCCCTCCACCAGTGCCCATTATCCACCACCACTGATCCCAGTATCCCTCCCACCCCCATGTTCCACATCCCACCCTACCTCCGTGGCAGGGCATTCCTTTTTGTTATCGCTCTCCTTTTGAGTACTGTGGTTTGCAAAAGAGATATTGAGTGGCAATCATGTTCGGTCTATAGTTTATTCTCATCACGCATCTCCCATCTTGGGAGGAACATCCCAACATCCTTTATTTGGTGGTCCCTTCTCTATCTGAGCTACCTTTTCCTCTAGCATGTGCGGCTGGCCTCAAAGCCATGGAGTAATCCTCCTGGTACTTATCTTGGCTATTCTTGGGTGTTAGTCTCCTATTTTGTTACTTTATGTTCCCCAAGTGAATGCAATCTTTCTATGTCTGTCCCTCTCTTTCTGATTCATTTCGCTTAGCATGATACTTTCCATGTAGTACCACTTGTATATAAATTTCATGACTTCATCTTTTCTAACAGCTGCATAGTACTCCATTGTGTAGATGTACCAAAGTTTCTTTAACCAGTCATCTGTTCTTGGCCGGCCCTGGTATTTGAACCATATGCAAGGCAAGTGCCCTGTCTGCTGTACTATTTCTCTGATCCCCAAACAGAGGAGTTTTTAATCATATCCTTGAAAATTCTTGAAATCGATGTTATTGGGATCGACCCAAGGCAGAAGAGAGGGAAAAAGTTCGAAAAGAGGAAAAAAGTGGCAAATCAAATACTGCACACAGGAACCAAGGCGCTCACCTCTCCTCAGCCAGCGACCAAAAAATTCCCTTGAGGGGCTTACCTTATCGGGGGCATTTTTGCTTAACATTAAAGGAAAGACGCGCTCATGAAGCCAGTACTTTCGGTCACTGCTATTGCAGCCATACAGGAAGATGTTATGCTTACGGCTGTGGCCATGGAAGTCACAATACAAGAGAACTTCCCTTTCTTCCAGAAGCCTGCAGAGCAGGGAAATGGGCCATTAGGGAGTATCCAAATACAAACAAATCATCAGGAGCTGGAGCCTCTTCCTGAAGTCTAGGTGTTGACATCATCCCTCTGAAGACAGCTTCAGCCCCTGTCAGCCCCAGAAGAACCACCCCCAACCTCCAGCCGCTGCCAGCATGTCACCAACTCTCCCAGCTCCCCCCATCCAGACAGATTTCAACAGAAACATCCTGGGGTTGGAGAGACAGGACAGCAGGTACGACACTGCCTTGCGTGTGGCCGACCCAGCCACATGTGGGTCAATCCCCAGCTTCCCACATGGTCTCCCTGCTCCCTGTCAAGCTTTTCTATTATTTTCTCTTGTTGGGTTGAAACTGAACATGTGGGGGCCAGAGAGGCAGCCCAGCAGGGAAGGCGCTTGCCTGGCATGCTCCCAACCTGGGGTCCATCCCTGGCTGTCCAAATGGCCCCCTGAGCACCACCAGGAGTGATTCCTGAGTGCAGAGCCAGGAGCAAGTCCAGGTGTGGCCCCAAAACCAAGGGGAGAGAGAGAGAGAGAGAGAGAGAGGAGAGAGAGAAACATCATGATGGAGGAAATGGTGGGGCTGGCCATTGGGAAATGGACAATACAATGGAGTGCTGGAGGGATGGAACAGTGGGCAGAGCATTTGCTTTGCAGGTGGCTGACCTGAGTTCCATACCCAGCATCCCATAAGTTCCCCTGAGCACCACCCGGTGTAATTCCTGAGTGCAGAGCCAGGAGGAACCTCTGAGCATCGCTGGGTGTGACCCACAAAAGAGAAAGAAAAAAAAAAAAGAAGAAGAAAGTGCACCTTGCTGCAGCCCTGTGGGAGGAGGGAGAGGACTGTGAGTGCCAAGAAAGCCTAGGTCCTGCCTTTCCCTGGGGCTTAGCTCTCCTGTCTCCCCATCACCTGGCACCCCTCATCAGCCTCCAAATGTATTCGCCTTCTCCAGAATAAGGAGAGCAGGAAGAGAACGCTAGCCTGTGTCAGCAGAGCCCTGGGGGGCGGGGGGGGGGGGGGAGAGGAGGCTCATTTAATCCTGTAGCAGTCACCCAGGGATTCTTGGTTCCATTCCACCATTCCAGGACTGAGAGAGCAGAAATGTAGGGTGTTGAAATCACTTCCCAGGTTGCGGAACCAGCCAGTGGTGAAACCAGGTCAAATGCAGGCCTGTTAGACTCCCAGACACGTGTTCTGAGCCATACGGCAGTGAACATTTCTGCCACTCTGCCACAGGTGAATTTATCTATTTGTTTTTGGTTTGGGGGCTGCACCCATCAGTGCTCAGGGCTTACTCCCATATCTGTGCTCACGGATGACTCCTGGTGGGGCCTGGGGGGCCACAAGTTGCTGAGGATTGAACTCAAGTTGGCCACATGCAAGGCATCCTGCCATGTTATCGCTCTGGCCTCGCAGATGATCTCAGAGGGTGTGTGGATTCACATATTCCTATGGCCGCACTTCTATTCACAAAAGCTTACATTTCCTAGGAAATGATGGAAGTTACTTAAAGGTGGGTGCCTTCAATGTAGTTCTCACACAAACCTGGAAAAATTTGCTAATCCACTTACTATCCCTCACAAGAGGTGATGCCAACTGGCAACTCCCTCACGACTTCAGAAGATGGGAGCCTGGTTTTACATCTTCTCTGTAAGGTACAGAGTTGTGGGCCTTGGGGCTGGCTCAGTGACAGAAGCATCTGCCTTGCCAGCGTGGGGCTGAGAGCTTCAGCGCTACCACAGGCACTGAGCGTGGTCCAGGGGGTTCTGTTGTCCAGAACCTGAGCACTGCCAGAGTCTGTGACCTGTGGCCCACAATGGCCAGGCATGTACCAGCACTACAGAGTACATGAGCCCTAAACCACAGAGATCATATGGTGGGTAGGGCGCTAGCCTTGCAGGTGGCCAACCTGGATTCCCCAAGCACTACCAGGAGTGATCCCTAAGCAGGAGTAAGCCAGGAGTAAGCCCTGAGCACCACTGACTGTGGCCCCAATACCAAAACAAACAAACAAAAAAATTCAAAAGAAATTATGCTGCCCTGGTGAGCACTACAAATGAGAAAATGGGCTCAGGGCTGGAGAGAGATCATATAGTGGTAAGACTTTTTGCCCTGTATGCAACCAAACCAGTCCCCAGAACCCCAATATGGTCTCCAAATCCTGGCAAGAGTGATCCCTGGGCTCAGAGCCAGGAGCAATCCCTGAGCACTGCTGGCCTAGCTCCCCAAATAAAACAATAAAATAAAATAATAAAACAAAAACTGGATAGGACCTGAGGTGAGGGGAGCAGTCCTTGTGAGGGCAGGTGATCACAGAGTGAGGAACACTGCAAGTCCCAGAGCAGTGCAAAAGGGGTGTGAGCACAACTCAGACATTGGGCCCAGACGAGCACCACTGCCCAGGGCGTGCACACCATGGCCATGTGCATGTGGGACCCCCGAAGGGGGAATAGTTATCTCAATTAAAAAACATTTAAAAATAGAAATAGAATCAGGGATCTACTCTGCCCCATGTTGGCTGTCTTCCTTCCTCCCTCCCTCCCTTCCTGCTGTGTTTCTTGGGAGAGTTACTGATCTGTTCTGGGCCTCATATACAAAACAGGGCCACTGAGTTAATGTGAAGATTAAACTGAATCATGAGTATAAAGCCCGGAGAATTCTTGTTTTTGGGAAACACCCAGCTGAAGATGGAACCTGGATGGTTCACATGCAAGCCTAATACTATCTCCCCAGTCCTGCGTGGAGAATTCTCCGTCACCTCAGACCTCAACGCTGGCGAATGAGGACTATGATATTGGTGGGCACTATAATGTTATTCCTCCAGCCCCAGCCTGAAGGCCTGTAAACTCCTCTGACTTTGGATCTTTCCCATTTAATCCTTCCCCGTGTTGCTACCTGTTCAGTTTCTTTTGGGTGGGGTGGGGGGCGGGGTGTTTGGGTCACACCTGGCAGTGCTCAGGGCTTGCTCCTGGCTCTGTGCTCAGGGATCACTCCTGATGGAGCTCAGGGGACCATGTTGGCTGCCAGGGATATAACCCAGGTTGGGAGCATGCCAGGCAAGTGCCTTTCCTGCTGGGCTACCTTTTGGCCCCTGCAAGTTCAGTTTCAACCTAACAATAGGATATCATTGAAAAGCTTGAAAAGGAGAAGATTCACATGTCTACAAAAGAAACGGTGAAGACTCAAGTCTCTCAAGTCATACTGGATTCCTGCAACAGCAGAGGGATTGTCTCACATGCCCTAGACAGTGCTCAGGGCAAGGAAAGATGGACCTCTTGGAGAGATAGTACCAGGGGGGAGGCACTTGCCTTTCATGTGGCCAACTTGAGTGATATCAGGGGTCTCTACTGAGAAAAGACCAGAAAAAAACCCTGAACATGGGTGTGTCCTCTCAACCAAAAACCAAAACCAAAACCAAGGTTGTACCTCTTAATCATGTTCCTGGTGTACCAGATGCAAGGGAAGGTGTCCTTCAGCATGGTTTTATAATGCCTGTTCAAGTCCTTTCCAGCCAGCGAACACCGATAATTCCCCACGACCACGCCGTCGGGATTTAACATGGGGATCACCTTGAAGATGAAGATGTCCCTGAGGAGCTGGGCGTCTGGGGAACTGCTCAGGATGAAGTCCAAAAAGCCATTCATGACCCACGAGCTGTTGCTCTCCCCGGGGTGGACACGGGCGCTCAGCACCACCGCTTTCTTGGCCGCTGCCTCCTGAGGGTTCCGGGATGGGTTGGTGATGGTGAGCAGGTAGACGGTGTTGCCCGCCAGGCTCCGGCACAACGTCCGGAGCTTGCAGAACTGGGACTGGATGGGGTTGTTGACCACGGAGAGGAGGTAGCACCGCAGGTTGGAGTACGTATAGGGGTAGAAGTGGGCAAAGTAGCACGTGTCGTGGTCATGTGGGAACTGAACGGTCCACGTGAGGCAGTAGCAGGGCGGCTGGCCCTCCTCCACGTGGTTCCTGAAGTACCTGATCTCGCTGCCTTCTCTCCGCCAGCCGATGCTGTGCCCTTGGGCGTCGGCCTGGGAGTACATGAGTGGCTTCATCCCGACGGCGTACAGGCTCTTGGGTTTGAGCAGGTTGACAATGGTGAAGCGATAGACGGCATCCTTTCTGGTGTTCTGAACTCGGAAATAGAACCACTGGGTGTGCTTGTTTGTGTAGAGATCGGTCCGCAAGGTGAGTTCGTACTCATAGGTGTCTCTGTGAGGGAGGAAAGAGAGGAAGCTCTGGGGCAAATCGGAGACAGATTGTCTCCCCTTGGCAGAAACAGATGTCACCGCAGAAAAGGCCACTTTGCCAAACCTTACTTTTCACTTTTACCTGGTTGTCCAATTCAGGTACTAAATGAGCAGGAACTTGGGGCAACTAAGCTTAGTTGGGGCGGGGCAGGAGGCAGCTGGGCTGGAGCAGCAGCTCCCTGGGCTGAGTGCAGCCTTGCTCACCGGAAGCCCAGGTGATCCTCGGCATTGCGTGCTCTCTTCTGAGCACTGCCAGGAAACCTCAGGGGTCCTGGCAGTCAGGGGGAGTCATCACATGTGGCCCAAGAAACAAACAAAAAAACCCTCACTCAGGGGCCGGAGGGATTGTATAGAGGGTAAGGCACGTTACCTTACATGCGGCCAACCTGTGCTTGATCCCTGGCATCCCATATGGTACCCTGAGCACCACCAGGAATAATTTCTGAGTGCAGAGCCAGGAGTAACCCCTCTAAGCATCCTTAGATGTGACTCAGAAACAATTAACAATAACAAAAAATAAAAGCAAACAAAAAAGGAATTAAAACCCCAAACCAGGGGCTGGAGCAATAGCACAGTGGGTAGGGCATTTGCCTTGCACACAGCCGACCTAGGTTCGATTCCCAGCATCCCATATGGTCACCCGAGCATCGCCAGGAGTAATTCCTGAGTGCATGAACCAAGAGTAACTCCTGTGCCTTGCTGGGTGTGACCCAAAAAGAAAAAAAAAAAAACCTAACCAAATCAACCCCAAACTCTCACAGTGCAGAACAGGTTGTCTGGAAGCACTGCTGGGAGTTCTTGAGCAGCTCTGGATGCTCAGTGGCAGTTTCTAGTCCCTTCCTGTTATTTCTCGGAAGGTCGGTGAGCAGCAGAGGAGCCAGAGGTGGCTGCCCGCGCCTCCTGGATATCACGGAGGAGGCGCTCCTGAGGACTCCTGGGCCTGGAGAAAGGAGCATCTCAGAACGCATTCACCCAGTTGGCAAGAAGTAGGGCTGAGCCGGGCAGGGAGCGCTGAGGGCTGGAGCACATGCTGGAGCCCCAGGTTCAAACCCCAGCACCACCGTGGTCCTTTGAGCCTCTGCAGGAGTGACCTCCTCAGTGACAAGCTGGAAATAGCTTCCAGCACTTCCAGGTCTGACCTGGAAACCAACCAAACAAACAACATGGGTTGGGGTACATGGGGTAAGTGTGCACTAGGCCCCAAGTCCAATCCATGGCAGCAAATGGCCCCCTGAACACTGCCAGGTGTGGCCCCTCTTGCCCCCAGCACCACTGGGCCCCCACAGTACTTCACTGCCAGGTCACTAAACCATCAGATCCTAGCCATGAGGGCCAACTATCCCTGGGAGGGACCCTAGGTCCTGGGCATGGCTTAGGGGCACCCCCCCAAAGTAATAATAATTTTAAAAAATGGAGAACTTGTAGAAAATAAAAATACAAAATGAAAGTGAAAAGTTTTTCCCCCACACACCTATTACAGATGCACAAGATAAGGAGCGCAGTGATAGCACAGTGGGTAGGACACGTTCCTTGCACAAGGCCAACCCAGGTTCAATCGCCAGCATCCCATATGGTCCCCTGAGCCCTAACAGAAGTGATTCCCTGAGCACTGCTGGGTGTGTCCCTCCCCCTCAAAAAGGAAATGCAAGCTAAAATTCCTATCTCCCTCTATCTCATCAACACTCCAATGTAGGGAAATAGGCCCAACACTGCTGACAGGAACGAAAATCAAAGAGGAGCACAGTCGGGATGGAGACAGTCAGCTCGGGGGGGCTGGAGCACAGGCTCAGCCTGCACGAGGTCCTAGTCCCACCAGAGCACCGTTAGGAATGACCCCTGAGCACCAAGCTGGGGTGTGGCCCCCAAATAAATGAATAAACAAATAAAGAAGTGCAATCTGGCACTAGCTAGCAGCAGTTGACACACTCAAACTCAGCTGCCCCAACAAGTCATTCCCCCAACCACAATGACTCACAATTGAAAATCGAAAGGAGTGCTAATTCTGTTAATTCAATAAACTGAAAATTATAAACAACTTGAAGCTGGAGAGATAATCCAGTGGGTAGGGTGCTTGCCTTGCCCGTGGCCAACCTGGTTTGATTCCAGGCTCCCCATATGGCCCCCGGATCTCTCCAGGAGCACTCCCAAAGCACAGAGCCAGGAGGAAGCCCTGAACACTGCTGGGTGTGGCCCAAAATGCAAAAACCAAACAAATTATTTCCCATAAGCTGGCAACAGGACAAATGAAATACGTAAAGTTCATAAAATGGACGAATGCACACTATTAAAAAGAAAGCATTGGGGCTGGAGCAATAGCACAGTGGGGAGGGCGTTTGCCTTGCACGCGGCCGACCCGGGTTCGATTCCCAGCATCCCATATGGTCCCCTGAGCGCCAGTAGGAGTAATTCCTGAGTGAAGAGCCAGGAGTAACCCCTGTGCATTGCCAGGCGTGACCCATAAAGAAAGAAAAAAAGAAAAGCATCAGGGAGCTGGAGAGATAGTGCAGTGAATAAGGCACTGCCTAGCACACTGCTGACTGGGGGCCAGTCCCTGGCACCATATGTGGTTCCCCGAGCCTGCCAGGATGACCCCTGAGTATAGAGCCAGGAATTGCCCCACTGTAAGTGTAGCCCAAACACCAAATATTTAAGTAAGCAAATAACATAACAAATATTTAAGTAAGCAAATAACAAATATTTAAGTAAGCAAGTAACATAAAAAAAAATCCACTGACAATTCCTTAAAGGAAAAAACAGCAATTTGTAAAACAATAAAAATATTCTTTTTCATTTGTTTGCTTTTGGATCACAACCAGCTACGCTCAGGGCTTCCTCCTGACTCTGCACTCCAGGATTCCTGGAAGTGCTGCGGAACCATATGCAGTGTTGGGACTTGAACCCAGGTCAACCTCAGGCAAGGCAAGTGCCCTGACTGCTATAATATTGTTCTGACCCCATATGCATGTGCTTATTATTATTATTGTTATTGAGGTCACATGTGCAGTGCTTGGGGCTACTCATGGTACACTGCTGATGGAGATGAATGGGACTGCTTCTGGTGCTGCTTGGGGGACCATGCGGTCCTGCTTGCAGAGGACGTGCCCTTTGTGTCATGCCCCTGGCTCCCGTTAGGATCTATGCTTTCAGGCCATATCTGCCACTGCTTGGGGACTGCTTCTGGCAGTGCTCTGGGGACCAGGAAGTGGTGGGATCAAACCCAGAACTGTAGGGAAAAAAAAAAAAAGCAAAAACAAACAAACAAACAGAAGCTGAGCCTGGTCCTCCTGCTTGCAAAGCATGTGACCCAGCTTGCTGAAGTATTTCTCCAGCCCATTAAAAAAAATTTGTATTGGGGTTGGAGATAGTGCAGTGGGCAAGTCACTCGCTTTGCATGTGGTCAACCCAGGCTCGATCCCCAGCATCCCATATGGTCCCCTGAACACTGCCAGGAGTAATTCCTGAGCACAGGAGCCAGGACTAAGCTAATTATCACCCAAAACCAAATTATTATTATTTTTTGTTCTGTTTTTGGAACACATCTGACTGTATTCAGAACTTAATCCTGGCTCTGTGCTCAAGGATCACTCTTTGGAGCTACCAGATGGGATACCAAGGCAAGGCAAGTGCTTTAACTCCCGTACTATTTCTCTGGCCCTCCGGCGCATTTTCAAATAAATATTTTTCGGGGGGAGGGGGTGTTTTATATAATCATTCCATTCTTCACCTTCCTTGTAAGCAAGTCCCACCCGTCTTTCTCAGAAACACTGCCAACTGCTCATGTGCCTCCTGTTGACGCTCAGTTCCCTGCCCCGCTGGCGGAAGCTCTCACACTACTCACACTCGGACGGCTTTCTGCAGGTTCCCACTCTCGAACCTCGATTCAAACAGTAGTGTCTCATCTTCCGGTCCTTCCAATGGGACTGCCAGTTTCTTGATCATTCCTCGTCGGCCTCCTACTCTGGAGCTGGTGAAGTAGGAATCTTCCCTGGGTGCTGCAGGGGAGAGAGCTGCTGAGGCCGCTCCCCTGCGCAGACTCAGTGAACCCCTTCATCAAGCAGCAGCTTAGCACACTGACCTCAGGGTTGAGGTTTGTGTTGGCCACCCCACATTCGGAGAGAGGCCACCACACAGCCATCAATGTGGCAACCAACGTCTTTTGTCCAAAACCTTGAAGTGACCTAGAGCGCTTGTGTATCTCTGAAGCCTCAAATATTGCTTATTCCCTTTTCAACCCTAATTTGGGGGCTGGAGAGATAGTACAGAGGGTAAGAAGTCTTTGTCTTGTTATGCATGCACCCAACCCAGGCATGATCCCCAGCACCACATACGGTTCCCTGAGCCCCACCAGAAAACACATTGAGCACCAGTGGGAGCTCAACTGTGCTCAACCACTGTGCTCAACATCACACACACAAAAAAACAAAACAAAAAAACCCAAACCCAAAACCCAAAAATAACAAGTACAACACAAAACAATCCAAAACCCCAATAAAATACAACCCTCAAACAACACCTATTTATTAATTTGACAAACCATGAAGAAAACAGAAAAGAGAAAAGGTCACTTTGTATCATTTTTGGCATATCCTTCCAGATTTAAATTTATGAAAACAAAAATTTGAGAAGAATGGCATGGGTGAATTTGCCTAAGAAGGGAACCAAAACATCCTAGGGTTTAGTAAAGGCTTGTGATCATGGGTCTGGAGTAACAGTACAGTGGGGAGGGCATTCGTCTTGTATATGGCCAACCTGGATTTGATCTCAGCACCTCATATAGTTCCTTGAGCCCACCAGGAATAATTCCTGAGCGCAAAGACAGGCACAAGCCCTGACCACCACTAGGTGTCGCCCCAAAACCAAATAAAGAAATAAATAAAGGTTTATGATTAAAAAAAAACTTTATTAAACTGTTGCTAAGGGGACTGGAGAGATAGTTCTGCAGGTATGGTGCTTGCTTTGCACATGGTTGATGAACTAGGTCCAATTCCCAGCACTCTGTATGGTCCCCGGAGCCTGCCAGGTAAAAGATAGCTGAGTGCAGAGCAAGGAGTAAGCCCCAAACACCACCAGGTGTCGCCCAAACCCAAAAATAAATGAATGAATGAATACATAAATAAAGGCTTATCGTCAAATCTTTATTCAAGTGTAGCTCAGGGGTCTGGAGTTCAGAGGGTAGGCTGCTTGCCTTGCACATGGCAAAATCAAGTTCAGTTCCCGGTACCCTATGTGGTCCCCTAAGCGTACCAGGGGTGATCCCTGAGCTAGCTCAGAGGCAGGAGTAAACCGTGGGCACATGACCCAAAAACAAATAGAATGAAGCTAAGGGAGGGAGGGATATTACTGGGGTTAAGGCCTTGCAAATGGCTTCCCAGTTTGATTGCCCCACCGGGTATGGTCCCAAAACAAAACAAAAAAAGGCATAAAATTAAGCTAAGACTCACTCTTGTGGTTCATGAGGTACAGCACTTGATCTATAAAAACACCCAAACTATAAGATCCCCCAAGTCCCACCAGGAATGATCCCTGAGTGCAGAACCAGGACTAAGCTCTGAGCACCACTGGGTGAGCCCCCTCCCCAATGAAAAGAATGCATTACAGTATACTACTGATGTATGGTGTGGTCCAAAAAACAAACCAAAAAAAACACGTTAATTATTGATAATATTTACTAGCACTGTCATGACTGATTGATTACTCACTGGTATAAAGAAAATACCTGATGGAACTGGAAAGATATTACAGTGGGTAAGGCATTTGCCTTACACACAGACGACCAGGTTCTATCACTAGCATCCCATTATTATTAATCCTGGAGCACCACCAGGATTAATTCTTGAGCACAGGCCATGAGTAAACCCTGAGCATCACCAGGTGTGACCCCCACCCCTTCCTCCCAAAAAAGACAATACCTGAATCTAATTGATAGACAACTCTGCCTTTTTCCTCTCCTACAATTTCTGGTAACTTTTCATTTCCTGTAGGCTGATAAAAATATTCTGGATGAGGTGGAATCCACTCTGAAAGAAAACAAAAGTAGAAAGTAGTGAGAGAGAGAGAGAGAGAAAAAAGAGAGAGAGAAAGGGAGAGGGAGAGGGAGAGAAGGAGAGAGAGAGAGAAAGAGAGAGAGAGAGAGAGAGAGAGAGATTACTGCCGATAAGGCACATGCCTTACACCATCCTGACCTGGGCTCAATCCCTGGCACCCCAAATGGCCTTGAGCCCTCTCAGGAGAAATCCCTGAGTACAGAACCAGGAGTAAGCCCCAAGTATTCCTAGGTGTGGCTCTAAAACCAAAACAACAACAAAATACTATAAAAGGTTCTTAATCAGAACTAATATGAAACTATACCGGACTCAAAAGATCAACCAAGGGGCTGGGCGCATGCTTAGCATGCAAGAGGCCTGGGCTCAACCCTGAAGCAGCTCGCTCTCCCACATGCAAAATATGTGCTCCAGCCCTTGGAGATAGCTCTTTGGATCCAAAGCTTTAAATAAATAAAATTTTAATAAATAAAAATAAATAAAAAATTAAAAATAAGTCAGAGGAGCAGCAAAACAGTTCAGTGGGCTGGGCAGAGGCTTTGCAGGCAGGCAGTCCAGGTCTGAGCCTCAAGACGTCACCAAGTTCCGCTGAGCAAGCCCGGACCACCGGCAGCAACCTTGGAGCCAGGTCTAGCCCTTGAACACCACAAGATGTGGTCAAAACACTGAAAGCAAAAAGGAAAAAAGGAAAGAAACAGCCAGTGGTTTCCACAGTCTTCTGGAGTTCAGACATATGCTGCGAGACAGAGGGTTTCAGCACTGACGCGAGTGCCTTCTTTCAATGCGACCCACTCCTGGAAAACGCTACATAAAATAAATGCTGATACTGTACTGGCACCAATGGTTAGTTCAAAGATGTGGCTGTCATTGCCAAGGAGCCCCACTGGGCACGGGGGAAGGATTTCCCTTGCAGCTGCAAGGTTCTGGGTTCAATCCTTGATGTTGTGTGGTTGCAAAGCACCGCTAGGTACAGCCCCCACAACAGAAGTGTCTGCAGTTCATAAGAAGCTCCAACAAGTGTTCACCTGGGCAGCACGGAAGATTGAATCGATATGGGGAAGATCAGCCTGGCCCCTGAGCAAGGCTCACACAAGGATTCGTGGAGGGCTCTGTGAAATACAAAACCCTCAAACTCCAGCAAATTCAAAACATTACCAGACAGGGGCCAGAACGATAGTACAGCAGGTAGGGCACTTGCCTTGCATGCGGCTGACCCAGGTTTGACCCCTGGCATCCCACATCATCCCTCAAGCTTGTCAGAAGAGATCCCTGTGGGGCTGGAGCAATAGCACAGTGGGTAGGGCGTTTGCCTTGCACGCGGCCAACCCGGGTTCGATTCCCAACATCCCATATGATCCCCTGAGCACCGCCAGGGGTAATTCCTGAGTGCAGAGCCAGGAGTAACCCCTGTGCATCACCGGGTGTGACCCCCGCAAAAAAAGAAGTGATCTCCGAGTGCAGAGCCAGGAGTAAGCCCAAACAAGAAAACACAAAAAGTTAAGTTCTGGTAATAAAGCCAGTTGGGAAAGTGCACACACAACACCGAAGTCACTGTACCAATATGATGAACATTTTCCTTGATGACTTCACATTCTATTGGCCATTTTGGCACCTGCGGGGGCCCGTCTTTTGAGTAAAGGCCGAAGAGATCTCGGGGTTCTCGGAGACGTGGGATTACTTCTCCAAACTCATCATAAAGAAGCTGTTTGCTCTTAAGATGGGATGAGTTCAGTACAAGGGAATCTGCAAAAGGCAAAGGGAACGGTGAAGAGTGTCCTCAGTGGGACCCGACCTGCTCAACCAGAACAGCTAAGTAAACTAAGCAACTGCATGGAAATATGCGCAGGAGGCTGGAGACAGTCCAGGGGTAAAGGCACTAGCCTTGCAGCCTGCCAAATGTGGCTTGATTCCCGGCACCCCCATCAGCAATGCCAGGTGTGGCCCAAACACCTGCCCCCCCCTACCAAATAAAATAAAGTTGGGGCTGGAGAGATAGCACAACTGGTAAGGTACTTGTTCTTGCATACAGTCGATCAAAATTGCATGACACCCATCTGATTCCCTGAGCACTTCCTGAATGCAGGGCCAGGAGTAAGCCTTGAGTACCACTGAGTTTGACCGCCCCTGTGTCCTGATCAAAACAAAAAAAAAAAAGAAAGAAAGAAAAATAATGGAATGAGTGCAGACATGCAGTCCTGTGACATGGCCCTCCTTAAGGAGATCTACCTTAGGGTGACAGCATCGCAGTGATAAAATGCTTAAGAGACAAAGACGTAGTTTATTAAATGTTTGGATATAAAGTTTTATAGATAGGAGAAATTTTTTTAAGTCAAAGCTGGGGGCAAAAATATTAAATCAAAGATAATGTTTCTATAGCATTTTAACTGTTTTGCAAATGAAGGAAAAGCTTGTGTATTTCGTCCTTTATATTTGAAGAGAGGTAAGAGGAGTAACTTTCTGGCCAATCCATTAGTGTTTTAGAAAAAAAATATATGTATATAAAAAAATTTTTAATGGGGGCCAGAGCTATATTACAGTAGGTAGGGCATTTACCTTGCATGTGGTTGACCTGGGTTCAATGCCCAGCATCTCTGAACACAGCCAGGACTAATTCCTGAGTGCAGAGCCAGGAGTAACCCCTGAGCATTGCCAGTTATGACCCCAAAAACAGAAAACAGTTTTTTAAACATGATGTTTGAGTGAAATCTACAGATTAAAATTCAAGTTTATAATATATAAACATTCAAAGCATAGGAACATTAAAAAAAAACAGAGAAGGAATGAGAAGGAGCAGGACTAGAGCTTAGAAAATAGAAAATGAGAAAAAAAAGGTGGGGGAAAGAAAGTCTTTCAGGGCTCTGGAGAGACGGTGCCTTACAGGGGTAAGGCACTTACTGGGCACACATAAGATCTGGGTTCTATCCCTGGCATGACTTATGTTGCCCTGATCACTGCCAGGAGTGGTCCCTGAGCACTGCCGAGTGTGCGAGTGTGGCCCTCCCCCTCATCAACACACACACACATACACACACACACACACACACACACACACACACACACACACACACACACAAAGGGCTTTCAGGAAGAAAGAAAGAATATGAGCAGAGTGGGACAAAACAGGGAAGAAAGGTAGCAGGGCACACGGTGTGAAACTGCGGGTGGGAGAGGCGGGGTGCTGGTGTCTGCTCAGGGAAGGATCAGAAATACCTCTGTTCAGAGCTTCTCTCCGCCGCTGCTCGGTTGAAGACAGACATCGGGGCCCTAGGAAGAGGAAGGAGCAGGGTTGATCTTTAGGGCCTTTGCCGTCCCCTGCTACATACCTCTCTCCCTTATTCCTTTCCTCCCTGCACCTCCACTTGGGCCCCTGCGTTTCTCTGTTTTGGGAGGACAGACACACTGGTTTGGGGGTCACTTCCAGCTGCACGTGGAGGAACACGTGGTCCTGGGCTTGGACCCGGGGCTCTCTCTGGCAGAGCATGCGCCCCAGTCCTCTGAGCCACCTCTCCTCTCCTCTATTTCTCGTCTGTCTCTAAATTGTTGGTTTGGGAGCCAGAGTGATAGTACAGCGGGTAGGGCGTTTACTTTGCACGTGGCCGACCGGGGTTTGTTCCCCGCTTCCCATATGATCCCCCAAACACTGCCAGGTGTAATTCCAGAGTGCAGAGCCAGGAGAATCCCTGAGCACCATACGGTGTAACATCATCATCATCATCATCATCATCATCATCATCATCATCATCATGTCCTCCCGTAGATCATCGACTTGCTCTAGCGGGCCCAGTAACATAGTGAGAGTTGTTGTTACTGTGTTTGGCATATTGAATACGTCATGGGTAGCTTGCCAGGCTTTGCCCGCTGGGGAGATACTCTTGGTAGCTTGCCAGGCACTCCAAGAGGGGCGGAGGAATCGAAGGCGAAGGAACTGAACTCAGGTGGGTTGGGTCAGCCGTGTGCAATGCAAATGCCCTACTGGCTTTGCTATCGCTCCAGCCCAATAATAATAAGCAAATAAATAAAATTGTTGGTTTCTTTTTGGGCCACACCAGCAGTGCACAGAGGTTACTCCTGGGTCTGTACTCAGGGATCACTCCTGTCAGTGCTCAGGGGACCATAGGGGGTGCCAGGCATTGAACATGAGCCGGCTGTGTGCAAGGAGCACCCTTGCCTCCTGAACTACCTCTTCAGCCCTGTCTCTAAATCTTTTCCCAACTGTTTAATGATGGGGTGCAGGAAACGGCAGCACAGCATGAGTGATTTTTGGCTGCACCTCAGTCAATTGCATGTACAGCACCCTGACCCTGGCAGCACACACACACACACACAATGGAAAGCACCACAGCCTAAAAGTGTGACCTCTGGTGAGCACTGTGACTATAACTCTATGTGTCCCTGGCAGGTAAATATACAAATTTCTGGGTGCGGATGTATGTCCCCCACAAAACTGAATAGAACAATCAAAAAGTCATTGCCCAAATCCTAAAAGCTTTTTTGAGGAGGGTTGAGGAAACTCTGGCTCTAAGCTTGCCATAGCTCCCAGCAGTGATGGGGATGACATGGTGCTGGGGCTTGATCTATGGTCCGTCACACGCAAGGCAAGTGCCCTAGTAAGCCCTGGACCATCTCTGTGGCACATCCTGGAATTTAAAAACTGCTAGTTGAACATTTTCAGTTTTATCTTCAATTAGGTTGACACTAAACATTTGTTCTTAACGTTAACTTTTTTTGTTTTTGTTTTAATTTTTGGGACACACCAGTGATGCTCAGGGGTCACTCCTGGCTCTGCACTCAGAAATTACTCCTGGAAGGGCTGGAGTGATAGCACAGTGGGTAGGGTGTCTGCCTTGCACGCGGCCGACCTGGGTTTGATTCCCAACCTCCCATATGGTTCCCCGAGCACCGCCAGGAATTAATTCCTGAATGTACAGCCAGGAGTAAACCCTGAGCACTGCTGGGTGTGACCCAAAAAGCAAAAAAAATAAATTACTCCTGGAAGTGTTTAGGGAACCACACAGAATGCTGGGGATTAAACCTGGGTTGGGCGCATGCAAGGCAAGCACACTACCCACTGTATTATCTCTCCAGCTCCAAAGCTGACTGTTGTTCCTCCAAACAGTTGTGTTCTTTCCCCATTTTTCCATTTGATCATCTTACAGATTTGTAAGAATCTGAATCCTTTGACACATGACATAAATGCTTCCTTTTCTTTTTTTAAATTTTGGGCACACCAGCAGTGCTCAGGACTTACTCCTGACTCTGCTCAGGCAGCACTCCTGGAAGAGCTCAGAGAACTGTGTGCTGTGATCAAACCAGGGTCAGATACATGAAAGACAAGCATCTTATTTTTTTTTCTTTTTGGCTTTTTTGAGGTTACACCCGGTAATACTCAGGGCTTACTGCTGACTCTGAACTAAGGAATTACTCCTGGAAGTACTGGGGGGACCATATGGGATGACGGGAATTGAACCTGGGTCGGCTGCTTGCAAGGCAAATGCCCTATCCACTGTACTATCACTGGCTCCCTAAAGGCAAGCATCTGAATTGATGTACTATTACTCTGACCCTGGAAAGGCCTTTTAAAGTTTGTTCTTTGACTAATGGTGTATTTTCCTACACTAATATTTTTGTTTGGTTTATTGGTGTGGTTTGGGGGTTACATCTGATAGTAGTACTCAGGATTTACTCCTAGTGGGACTCAGGGGCCATATGTGTTGCCAGGGATCAAACCTGGGCCAGTCATGTGCAAGGCAAGCGCCCTACCCACTGGCTGTTCTCTGCAGCCCTGAACGGGTGTTTATATTTTTTCCTTTAGTCCTGTCTCTCCCACTCCCTTGTTACTGTGTCTATGATGACCGATGGCTGTGTTTGGTTGCCATGCACATAGTTTGTTTTCTTTTCAGGCCACACCTGGCGGTGCTCAGGGGTTACTCCTGGCTCTGTGACTCCCTGAGGGACCATACAGGATGCTGGGGCTCAAACCCGGGTTGGCTGTGTGCAAGGCAAACACTGTACCTGCTGTACTATCACTCAGGCCTCAGTTTTGAGTACTCCTACGCCAAGAGCCTTGACAAGTGTATCCTTTGAATCTGTTACTCAATTTTCTGACTTTTGCGCCATACCCAGCAGTGCATCGAGGATCTTCCCAGAGGTGTTGTGGGGAATCATGCGGTCCCAGGGATTGAAGCTGGGGCTCCAACATGCGAAGCATGCGTTTGCCCCACTGAACTCCCCTTTAGCCCCTCAGTATGCTTCTCTTGGCCAAACAAATACTGACAAATTGTAGAAAGATCATCCGCAGTATATTGTATTTTGAATTGAAATTGACAATCCAAAATAGAGCTAGAGAGAACATTTCTGAGTGTAGACTTCAGAAATCCTTTGGATTCTGAGGTCAAAGCTATAGGAGAGAGGGCAGGGTATTTTTCTTGCATGTAGCTGACCCTGGTTCAATCCCCACTATCCCATATGGTCTTTGAGTTTGCTAGGAGTGATTCCTGAGCACAGAGCCAAGAGTAACTCCCGAGCATCAATGAGTGTGACTCCAAAACCTAAAAAGAGAAAAGAAAAAAGAAAAGAAATTCCTTGGCTTCTCCCACGTGAGGTTATCCTCTGAATTCCAGATATGGCTCAAGGGTTCTGGGGCAACATTCACTTATTACTCACAAAGAAGATTGTCCTTTCGCCGGTGGTCTGATGATAACAAGTCATTTCCTTCCCCCAAAGGGCCATTCAAGAGGGACCGAGGATTGTTCTTCCAAACAGGCTGATTCCTAGCAGAGTTTTGTATACTGCTTTTCTGATCTAAGAAGCAATTTCATCAAAGTTGCAGGAAGTTTATCATTTGCAATGCCAACACCTAACTGATTATCAAAACTGACACAATTTTCATTGCTCCCCCTCCACACATATACACACTGACCTAGGAACTTTCACTTTTCAATTTACATACATCCATGAAAGGTATATTCTGCATTTTACACTGAGAAGGGACTAAGAAGCATCATTTTTATTGAAAAGAAAAAGGGTTTGAGCCGGAGAGATAGTCTAATGGCTGAAGCACATGTTTTGCATGCAGGAGGCCTGGTTTTGATCCCAGCACAGTCTATATCGATTGACCACCACAACGAGTGAGAGACCCCTGAGCACAGAGGCAGAGGAGCCCCTAAGCACTGGTGGGTGTAAACCCTAACCCCTCAAAAAAAGGAAAAGCAAAAGAAAGGGGCTGGAGCAGTAGTATGGTGGGTAGAACATTTGTCTGACATATGGCAAATTCCATATGCCAGTCCCCTGGGCCTCCCAGGAGTGATCCTTAAGTGCAGAGCCAGGAGTAAGCCCAGAGCATCTCTGGGTGTAGCCCCAAAACTCCCTCCTCCCCCCCAAAAAGGCACTTACAACATCTAAAGACCTGCCCATTGCCAGCCTTCAGAGCCAGTGAAGGCAGTCCTCAGAATAAGACTAGAAGCAGCTTTGTGTTCTGCTGAATCGGAAACATAAATAACCATTTGGAAAATAAACCATTAATCAGAATGTTTAGGAGTCTGGGGATCCAGCTTAGTGGCAAAGCACATAGTTTAACATTAGCAAAGCCCAGGGTTTGATCCACAGAGCCAAAATAAAAAGAGAAACCTTGAATAAAAACCATCCAGAGGCACAGTTAAAGCAGTTAGAGGGTGGGCTCTGCTCGCAGGAAGCCCTGGTTTCACCTCCAGCAGCTGAGTGCCCTGAGCACTACCACACATGCCTATGGAGGACCAGGATGGTGGAGTCTCTGAGCACCACCAGGGGAGGCCCAAAAAACTAAACAAAATCAGAAAAAGCAAAACACATAGATACTAAAACAGAGGAAATACTTTATTTCTAAATACCAATAAATACTTTATTTCTAAATACCAATAAATACTTTATTTCTAAATACCAATTTCTAAATTGGGAAATACTAAAGATTTGAAAATCAAAAAATTTAAAGAATATATATATTTTTTTTTCGGGAGGGGAGGGAGGACAAACTCAGAGGTTCTTAAGTTTGACTTCTGGTTCTGCACACAGAGATTACTCCTGGCAGGGTTTAGGGGACCACATAGGATGCCAGGGACAAAACCTGGGCGAACTGTGTGCAAGGCTCCAAAATATCATTTATAATAGCATAAAAACATTGATATCTGGGGTAAGAAAGAGCACTTGCCTTGCATGTGTGAAGGCGTAGGTTCTATTCCTGGCACCACAAAATTTTTTTTCTATAAAAAATTATAAATCTTGGGGCTGGAGAGATAGCACAGCAGTTAGGGTGTTTGCCTTGCACACAGCCGACCCGGGTTCGATTCCCAGCATTCCATATGGTCCCCTCCTGTGCATTGCCGAGTGTGACCCAAAATGCAAAACAAAAAAGAAAAAAAAATTATAAATCTTCTTGAGGGAAGAGAGGGAGAGGAATATTGCTCAAGGGAGAACAGGAGCTTTTTTTTTTTTTTTTTAATGATTTAAATAAAACATCTAAAACTGCAGATCCTGGAAGAACCAGTTTGTTTTTGCAGATCTTGTTTCTCTCCCTCTTGCCAGGCCTCACACATGTTCAAGAGTGGCAGGTGGGTCTCTTGAAGATCCTCCTTGCTGGTTTTGTTCAAATATTCCCTTATGGGAATGGTGATTGTGTTTATATAAACTCTCTCTCTCTTGATCTTTGACCTTCAGGCAGTGTTCTCTTTGCCCACTGGCCTTTGTCACTTTTGGGTGACAGTCAGTTCCAGCCACCAAAAGCTCGGCTGTCAGGCTGGTTGGAGGTGCCATCCTCAGTGAGGAAAAAAAATTATATATCTTGATTGGGAAATACTAAAGATTTAAGTAAATTATCCATAGATCGGAAGGGGTTCTGTTGGAAAGTTCTCACTTCCTGTAAAACTTAACCTATAGATTCAATACATCCCTGTAATGTTTTGTTTGTTGTGGACCACACCTGGTTCTCCTGTGCCTGTACCATTTATGTTTGTCTTCAGGAATCACTCCTGGAAGAACTCTGGGGGATCATTTGGTTTCAGGGATCAAACTCAGGCCTCCCTCATGTAAAGCATGAGCACTGGAGTTTAGCTATCTCTAGGCCCCTAATAACTGGTTCCTTTTTTTTTTTCATTTTTGGGGCAATGAGCAGTGCTCTGGGTTTACTCCTGGCTTTGTGTTCAGCGATTACTCCTCACGGTGCTCAGGGAACTATATGTGGTGCTGGGAACTGAATCTGGTTTGGCATGCATACAAGCAAGTGCCTGAGTCACTATATTACTTCTCTGGCACACTTTGCCTGTCTGGGGGCCACATAGTAGAGTGCTCAGGGGCGATTCTGGAAGTGCTAATGGACAATATAGAGCACGGAGAAGCAAGTACCCTAATTTTTATACTATCTCTCCAATGCCCTCCACCCAAATCATTTTGTTGGGGAGAGGGATATTGGGCTACATTCAGTGATATTACGGTCTGTGCTCAGGAGATTGTAGGGATTGGGGTTTGAACCTGCGGTTGGTCGTGCGTGAGGCAAATATTTTATTTATTTTTTTGCTTTTTGGGTCACACCTGGTGATGCACAGGGGTTACTCCTGGCTCTGCACTCAGGAATTACTCCTGGTGGTGCTCAGAGGACCATATGGGATGCTGGGAATCGAACCTGGGTCAGCCGCGTGCAAGGCAAATGCCCTACCCGCTGTGCTCCAGCCCCGAGGCAAGTACTTTAACCCTTAGTATTAACTCTCCAGTCACACACTCTCCCAAATAATTTTTTTTAAATTATTTATTTATAATATGAGGGCTGGAGCGATAGCATAGCAGTAGGGCATTTGCCTTGCGTGCAGCTGGCCCAGCAGAGCCAGGTTCAATTCCTCCACCCCTCCCGGAGAGCCCGGCAAGCTACCGAGAGCATCTTGCCCACACGGCAAAGCCTGGCAAGCTACCCGTGGCGTATTCGCTAAGCCAAACACAGTAACAACAAGTCTCACAATGGAGATGTTACTGGGCCTGCTCAAGCAAATCGATGAACAACGGGAGGACCGTGACGGTGACTGATTTATTTATGTATTGATTTGGGGGCCACACCTGGCAATGCTCCAGGGTTACCCCTGGCTCTACACTCAGGAATTATTCCTGGCGGTGCTCTGAGGACCATGCAAGGCAAGTGCCCTTCTGCTGTCCTATGGCTTGGCCCTTTCAAATAATTTTTAAAACAGGCCCAGTTAATTCCAAAGTTATCTGGGCCAGCACACTCAAACCATCTTCAGTAAGGTGGGAAGAACACGCCCTTTCAGATACAGAGAGGATCTCAGGGCCATCTCGGGGAAGGCGGTCTTGGTACAAAGACACCCAGACCCTATGCCTCACGCTCCACTGAAGTGACATGGGCACAGAGGTGGGGGAAAGGAAGTACTTCTCACGAAGGATGGGTCTTAGCTCCACGCATCTGAGTTCTGCACAGTTCTCCCTGCTAATCAAACCACTGGAGATCCTGAGCCCCCAAGAAGCAAAGGAAGCATCAGCTGGTACCTTTAAAGTAGCCATAGTAGCGGAGGTGATGGAACATAAAATCTTCATAGGGGTCAGAAAGCGTCTGCAAAGCAAGACATGTTCGTCAGGGGAGTCACCGCGCTTTCAATGCCAGGCGCCCGGGTGTAGTGATCGACCCCATGGGGAAGGCAATTCAGACCTAGAATTTAATCTCGGAGGGGATTAAATTGGGGGGGGGGTTAGGGGGCGTCAACCTGCGGATTCTGTTATTACTGGGGTCTCCAGGGCGGTCCAGGGGCGCGGCGGGTACCGACCTCCGGCTTTAGCTCTGTTTCCAGTGCTGGGAACATGTTACTGGTGCATGGTCCAGCCCAAGACCGGTCAGTGCCGCGAGCCCCGGTCACGCGGCCTCCCCGATTTCCAGAAGGGCAGCGGACTACAGCGGAAAGACTGGAAGCACACGGCAGGGCAAAATGAGGCAGGCGGCCCCTCGCCGCGCCCCCTGCCCCGCCTCCCCGCCAGCCGAGGGCGCCCAGAGCACACACACCTGAGGACTGACGGCGAGCTTGTCTTTCAGCCTCCGCCTCCCCGAGGACCAGGCCCCGGGCTGGCCTCATACTTCCCTCTCCCACCCGGAGGGAGAAGCCCCCCAGGCGTCTCACTTAAGGGGAAGAAATCGGGATGGAGGAACCCGGCCGAGTGGTCTCCGGGTGAGGGGAAAGACAGGCCGGGGGCTCGCAGAAGACGCGACCCAGGCTGGAAGCGTTTCGGGACGGCCCGGAAAAGGAGGGTCTAGAATCTTCTAGGACAGACGGAGGGGTGTGAGCGCCTCCGGGGCCTGCACGGTTTCTGCAGCGCCCGAGAAGCCCGCGCCTTTCCGCCGCGGCCCCGTCACCTAGCAACGCCGGGGCGGAAGCGAGGGGGCGGAGCCCGCAGGTACTTCCGGGGAGGCGGGCCCCGAAGGGAACTCCGGGAAAGGTACCCATTCTTTTTCTCAGTCAACCCTGCAACCTAGCTTCCGGGCAATTGAAGGGGTTTAAGAATACAACCCGAGTAGTCCTCAACACGTCCCGGACTTGACCTTGTTCTCTACTGTACCTGCTGGAACTGGTACACACAAACACACACACACGAAAATAAGTACATTAAAATCATTTTTCCAATTGGTTCTTTAAAAAAAGTTTACAAGGGGGCCAGAGATAGTACAGCAAGTAGGCACCATCCTTGCTCGTGGCAGACCCAGGTTTCATACCCGCAGCCCTTACGGTTCCGAGAGTAAGTAAAGGCCCTCCCGTTGATCATCGATTTGCTCGAGCGGGCCCAGTAACGTCTCCATTGGAGACTTTGTTGTTACTGTGTTTGGCGTATCGAATACGTCTCGGGGAGCTTGCCAGGCTCTGCCTTGCAGGCGAGATACTCTCGGTAGCTTGTCGGGCTCTCCGAGAGGGAATCGAACTCGGGTCCGCCATGTTGGCTGCGTGCAAGGCAAACGCCCTACCGCTGTGCTCTCTCTCCAGCTTCCGAGAGTAGAGTCAGGATTAAGCCCGGGGATGGGTGTGGTCCCGGAAACAAGATATGGCTTCAAATGGACCCCCGGGTCCAGCTGGGTAGCCCCAAGTTCACCTTCCTTCCCCCACCATCTTAAAGTCCTGGCGGCTAGGACCAGCGAAGTGGGTTCCTGCCTTGCAAATTTAATTTTTAGTTCAAATCCCCACATACACCAAGCAGGGCTCTGCTGGTGAACCCTAGCGCCATAGTAATTTCTGGATACACCGCGGACATGATCATTACAAAAATAGGTCAGGGGGCTGGAGAGACAGCAGGTGGGCGGCTTCCTCTACTCGCGAGAGACCCAGTTTTGACCCATTGCACCCTTATTTTCCCCAAGCACCACAAATAATTCCTGAGTGCAAGCCAGGAAGTTCTGAGCAGCGCTGTATGTGGTTGTATTATACGTGGCTGTACTATACACTTGCAATATGCTGTAGCAAACACAACTAAAAAGGTCTGATGCCATGGTTGGCAACGGCCAGCAAATGAGACCTCTGGCGTACGTGGAAGCACCACAGCAACGTTCTAGAACATAAAAGGAATGCAAGAGTCAGCGAGCACTGCACCTGATGTGTGCCCCATGCACAGTTGAAGGCAAGACCCGTGCATCAGTGCTTAGGACACTGAAGGATATGGTGAGGAGGAAAAAAGTCATTACATACATAGACCACTTACTAATAATAATAAGTCTTAGAAAAGCAAAAACATAACCAATAAGAAGTATAAAAAAAGCTTTATTAGTGAATATATACAAATTTACACGGTCAAAAACTGGAGAAATACAAACAGTTTTAAAACACAATTTGCCTTTTCTTCAGTTTAAAGTGACTTTTACCTGATTGTGATATAATAGAAAGTACAGAACAGTAAACTGCTTTTTAAATACTGGAATTTTATGGAGGATACATTCACACTAAAGGGAAAGTGGATCTGGGGATAAGGTAAAACAATGGAGACACACTAATTTGTAGAATGGCTCGTTACACTTGCTGCCACATACAGGAGAAGAAATTCAAGGCTATGAGTGCTTGCTGCTACTGTTGTCTATTTCAGAAGTTAACTCTGCCACCCAGAGTGTCAAGTATCTGAGCTATCTGTTCTAGAAGTGGTGAGACAAAAGACAGAGAGTGACCCCATGATGGGCACAAGGTGAACAATGTGCCATATCTCTGCACATCTGGGGTGGCACACTGGAGAAGAGGTCAGCAAGAGATTCCGGTAACCCGTTAAGCATTGTCAAATACAGAGCTGCCTTAATTGCACTTGTTTTGGAGAAATTAATGAGAGAGAGCGTCAAACTAGGAATTAAAAGAGCCTCTATTGAAAGCAGGAAAATCCTTCACTCTTAGTCACTCACTCCCCACGGTGTCACATCCTAGAGTGACGTGTCCAAGGCTGCTGAGGTTAGCAGACTCCACGCTGAGTGGGCCAGTGAGAATCGAGGCAGCCAGATCAAAGCACTCCATTGCTTCACCCATCTGAAAACAAAAATTACATTTCACAGGTTGTGAAAATTTGTACTTATAAGCTCTTATCCAGGAAGTTCATATGCTCTCCCTCGTAACATTTATAGTTTACTGACGACAAGTAAAACTGGTTAAGACTGAACTGAACATAAACAAATTAAGGGGAAAAAAACTAAGTGTTTGGTGCCATTTTTCTTCTCTTTAGTCGTGCTCGCCAATCTTCAGGAAGGGCTTCAAAATTTGCATTTCTTTCTGCCATGCCACTGCAAAAACAAAATACAGATTAATTTACGGAAAAGAAAGAATAAAACCATTTCATTTCCTAGCATAAATTCTAAATAAAAATAAAAATCCTGATTTTATTCATGTTGACAAAAAAAAAAAGTCTGCAATCCCAGGAAAGAATTGGTAAATTCAATTTTTTCCCTCTTTTTTTCGTACTACAACTTGCGGTATTTGCTCTCTACAATATGCAGAGAATCAATCCTAGGAACTCCAGCACTCAAATCATAAACTCCAATATTGGAGGGACCTTTAAGCCCTCTTCAGATTTCCTCGTCTGGGGGTCTTGTGCCACACCCAGCAGTGGTCAGAGGGCCACATGGGGTTGCCAGGGGTCAATACAGGTCAGCTGTATGCAAGGCAAGTGCCCTTCTTGCTGTATTACCACCCTGGTCCAAGTATACAATTTTTAATAAAAGTCTTTAATTTTTCTCTACGAGTCTTTAAGATATATTTAATTCACAATATAACAACAGGGCCCTTTGGACCCAGTCTGAGTTTCTCTACTATTCATTTCTAACTATTTGTAAAAGGACATGTCTCTCACGGCACAACAGATTCTGATGATGAGGAAAAAAAAATGGTAAGTAAAACTCCAAACTCTGCTAAGAGTGATATAACTGAGATGAATTTTCCCAAAGATTAAGAACCAACCCGAAAGATTTGCAACTGGGCTCCCAGAACAGCAATAAACGCAGTCTTATAAAGGTGAGGAATTCAATCGGTGGCACTACCCCACATGCAATCCCAATGACTGGTGGTTTGGGATCACCAGTGCCACAACAAAGTATGTGTCAACAGAAACTAAAGTGCTGAAAGAACACAAACAAGTATGTTTAATTTTCAGATATCACAAAACAAGTGTTGGGGGGTGGGAGAAAGACACCAACAGTAATCATTTAGGTTTATGATTCTGATTATTTTACCATTCTAATTATTCTTATCAACATGAAGATGAAATATCTAAAATTGTAAGAACACCATAATTTCGCAAGTATTTTCACTGCATTCCCAAATGTGTATCTTCTAAAATCAGAAAAATTAAGAATTAAAAATGGAGGGGGGTAGGGGTATGGTGCCATCACCAGGTCAATCTGTACCTGTGAGGCGAGTGCATCAGCAGCCTCATGGTGCCTTCAGACTTCCAGATACGCCAAAATTACTCCTGTGCCTTTGGCCAGACCCCAAAACCTTGGGGCAAATTTTACCAAGAAAGTAAAGGACCAAAAGTTAGGTATGTGGGAAACACACCCAAAAACCACCTCCAGCTCAGCTATATAATTGGAGGCAAGGCCTCTTTGGTTCTTGATTGAACTGCTTAATGGCCATGATCCCAGAGACTCAGAAACGAATCTCGGAACCCAGCAGCTTTAGGTAGAAATGCGTCCGGTCCCTGCGGTAGGCTATGGGTGCTGGGCCAACCCAGGTGGGAATAGGTTTTGTGCCTTGGCCTGTTCCCCCTGGTGGCCCAGTGGCCGCCATCCTTTCAGAGGCCACATTTGGGCCCCCAGTGAGCAGACACACAAGGCCTCATGGGATAGGGGTGGAGCCAGGCTTGTCCTTCCCGTCCCAACGAGACCTGAAGTCATCCCCCACGAATGGCCTCTCTGGCTACTGATCAAGCTGCTTAACGGCCATGATCCCAGAGACTCAGAAACAAATCTCAAAACCCAGTGGCTTTTGACAGAAATGTGTCCGGACCCCACAGTATGTTACTCTTGCCGGGCCACTCCAGGGAGGAAAGGGTGTTGTCCCTCCGCCTGCTCCCTTTTGGCGGCTTGGTGGCCGTCATCCTCCAGAGGCCATTGAACAGTCAGGCTTGGGCCCACAGTGACAAAAATTTTTGGGCCTCACGGGATGGGGTGGAGCCGGGCCTGTCCTCCCCACCCCAACGAGACTCCAAGTCATCGCCCACGAACGGCCTCTCTGGCTCCAGATCAAGCTGCTTAACGGCCTTGATCCCAGAGACTCAGAAACAAATCTCGAAACCCAGCGGCTTTTGGCAGAAATGTGTCCGGACCCCGCAGTAGGTTACTGTCGACGGGCCACCTCAGGGGGGAAAGGGCGCTGTCCCTCCGCCTGTTTCCTTCTGGCGGCTCTGTGGCCGTCATCCTCCAGAGGCCACTGGACAGTCAGGCTTGGGCCCACAGTGACGAAACTTGTTGGGCCTCACAGGATGGGGTGGAGCCAGGCCTGTCCTCCCCACCCCAACGAGACCCCAAGTCATCGCCCACAAACGGCCTCTCTGGCTCCTCATCAAGCTGCTCAACGGCCATGATCCCAAAGACTCAGGAGCAGATCTCAAAACCCAGTGGCTTTTGGCAGAAATCCCTCCAGATTTAAGTGTTAAAATTTCGGAATTTCAAAACCACATAGCCCTACTGCAGCCAAGCGACATCATATGTTATTCATAACCAGCAATAGAACACAAATTGTCTACTGTTAAAAAAAAATGGAGGGGGGGGCTAGAGTGATAACACAGTGGGTAGGGTGCTTGCCTTGCATGTGGCTGACCAGGGTTCGATCCCCAGCATCCCATATGGTCCCCTGAGCACTGCTAGGAGTAACCCCTGTGCATCACTGGGTGTGACCCAAAAAAGAAAAAAAAAATGAAGGAGGGGGCTGGAGAGGGTAGGGCGTTTGCCTTGCACGCGGTCGACCTGGGTTGATTCCCAGCATCCCATATGGTTCCTCGAGCAATGCCAAGGAGTAATTCCTGAGGGCAGAGCCAAAAAGCAATAAATAAAAAATAAATTGATTAAGGAACTGGGGAATACAGAGGGGGGACATTTGACCAGGGTTAAAACCTTGGGCATCATAGACGGTCTGCTGAGCAACACCAGGAGTAACTCCTGAATGTAGAGTCAGGAAAAACCTGAGCATCACCAGGTGTGGCCTCAAGACCAAACCCAAACAAAAACATTGGGGCCGTAAATTTTGAGTTATAAAATTGGGTGGTGCCCCGGAACCATGTTGATCATAAAGCCAGAAGTAAGACCAAGCATCATTGGGTGTGATCCTTTGCAAAGATCTGCTTAAAATTCTTTGGGGGTGGGGTCTTTCCAAGCTGTACTTAAGCCCTGTCACATGCCATGTGCCAAGCTATTTTCTCAGACCTACTACATTTAAATTCTATTTATTGTATTATCATTTATTTTTGACTTCTGGCCACACTCACTTCCAAAGTGCTCAGGGCTTACTCAGGGCCCTGCACACCATGACTACTAGTAAGTCTCAGAGGACTGTAAGTGGAGCTGAGCTCACACCCAGGTTGGCCAGTTGCAAGGGAAGCATCTTACCTGCAGTACTATCTCTGGCACTTAATGTTTTTCTTTTCCATAAAAAGCTTTTAAAAATACTTTTAAAGATTTATCTTTTTAAAACTTGAGTTTGTGATTTACAACTGTTAACAATGGTCTCCCATGCACATGATTTCAATACCACACCCATCACCAGTGTACCCAACTCCTTCATCCAAAGATCCCAGCCCCACCAACTCAGCTGTATGGAAAGGTTCTTGTGTTGCTCCCCTGCTTTGTTCCACATTAAAGAAATTATTCAAACCTTTCCTTCTGACTTCACTCAATATATCCTCCAGTTCCAGCCATGTTGCAAATTGTGAAATTTTATTCTTACTTAGAGCTGCAGAGTCTGAGTATATATAGAATTTCTTGATCCAGTCATCCACAGTTGTGCATTTGGATTCTTTTCATATCTTGGTGCTGCAATCAACATCGTTATGCATACATCCTTCCAAATTAATATTTTTGTCTTGGTATCACTGGATCATGAGAGTTCTAATCTTACAGTTTTCTGAGAGACCTCCAGATTGCTTTCCATTGAATCTGAAGGACAATCCCCTTCAACAGTGGATGAGGCTTGCTTTCTCACCACATCCCTGACAACACTGGCTGTTCCAGACTTCTTGGTATGTGTCACTCTCTCTGGTGCAAGACTATAGATTACACTGATTTGTTCTTCCTGCATAGCCTAACTACTTCAGGTTTATTGGGTTGCTCCCATTCCTTTTTTTATTTGGAACTTCTACGTGCTCTGTTGACTTGTAAATATTGTTTTTCTCTTCTCCTTAAGTCCTCTGCTTAGTTTATTCAGAGCAATGTCTTTTTTGTATGGACACGAGAAGATAGTAAACTACACTTTTGTAACGTGTTGACTCTCAGTGACATTTTCCTCCTGGGCATCTGTTCTCTGGACCTAAGCCTCAGCTGCCCTTCCTTTCTAGCACCCCCCCAAAACAGGGTCCTGACAGGGACTGGATGGACTAAGAGCAAGCGGCGAGCTACCTGGGTAACGAGATGAACCTGGCCAAAGTGACTAATGCTTTAACTATATAAGAGCTTGGTCATGGACAAATGCTGTCATGATCCAAAAAGTAGTAACTAATGGGGCTGGAGCAATTAGCACAGCGGATAGGGCATTTGCCTTGCATGCAGCCGACCTAGGTTCGATTCCCAGCATCCCATATGGTCCCCTGAGCACCGCCAGGAGTAATTCCTGAGTGCCTGAACCAGGAGTAACTTCTGTGCATCACCGGGTGTGACCCAAAAAGCAAAAAAAAATTTGAAAAAATAACTAGATTCAGACCCTGTTAGGGTTAGGAAAGATTAATCTGGTCTGAGCACTGTAGCCTGAGTTGGGCGAGATGTTCCCAGGAGAGCTGCCCTACAAACCTCAATGTATCTCTTACCGTGTCCATGCAAAAATGACTAGTATTAAGATGCTGACTGAGTCATTGGACCAAGGAAAGAATAACACCTTAAGGGATATTTTGCTCAGGGGCAGTCAGAAAGGGCTTTGGTGTTTCCGCCCTTGAGCTGGCACTGGCAGTCAGGAAGAGCTTTCTTATGTTGATTTTGCTACCAGACTGGGTGTAGCATGGGCCCAGAGGGTAAGGTGGAAAGAGACAAGCTGGGGTGGAGAGAAGAGTTGGGGAGAGGTAGAATCCAGAGAGATGGGGTGGAGGAATGAGGAGCTAGCTAGGAAATAAGAGTGTGCGAGTAGAGAAAAGAGAGAGTTGGAAGAGAGGAGAGCCCAGCTGCGAGATGGGAGCATGGAGAGATGAACGCTAGAGACAGGAGACAGGAATGAGGGGCAGTGTGTGACTAGAATGGGGGGCTCAGAGAGACTGGAATAGGTGCATGGGCAGAATGGAATAAACGGCAACTGATCAACGAACCAGTTTGGCCCATTTCCTCCATAGCCCTGGCCACGAAGGGGAGAGCCATTGCACCTCTCCCTGGCCACCCCCAGCAGTTTATACACAAGACAATATATCAATGTTGTCTTGATTTGCATTTCCCTAAACGTAAGTGCCAAGAACTTCTTCATATACCTATTGGCCAATCCTCATGCCTTCTTGAGGACTGTTCATCTCCCTGCCCCATTTATGTATGGAATCACTGGATATTTTATCTTTGGGTTCTGCTGAGTGCTTTATGTCTAGGGTATCAGCCCTTTATCTGCTGTGATGTACTGTGTAGATATTTTCCCCATTCACTACGGTTCATTTTTAATTATAGCTTGATTTTCCTTTGCTGTTTGAGCATTTTAATGTGACATAGTAGTACCTTTTGTTTTTGCCACTCTGGTTATCTCATTTTCAATGATAACTCTGCAGTCAATTTCCAGGAAAAGTCTGATGTTTTCTTCAATGTTATTTTATGAATTCTAATTTTGAGATCTTTAATTCACTGAGTTTACTTCTGTGAATGATGTGAAACATGTTTCTAAGTTTACATCTTGATTTTTGGACAAGCACCAATGGTGCTCAGGGCTTGCTCCTGACGTTGCATTCAAGGATGACTCCAGGTGGGTAAGGAGGACCATGCATAGGTGCAGGGGATTGAGCCTGGGTTAGCAACAAGCAAGACAAGTATCCAAAGTTCTGTACTATCACTCTGGCCCAGCAATTTTATTTTTCACACGTGGCTCCAGAATTTCCTCTACACCATTTGTTAAAAATATTTTCTTCATTTCATATATTAAGTTCCTTTGCCATATATTACCTATTCATAAACCTGACAGTTTAATTCAGTCTCATTTCTGTCCCATTGTTCTGCATGTCTCTACTTCAGTAGCATGCTGTTTTATTATACACTTGTAGTTCAGTTAGAAGTTGGGAAATTCAATGCATTAAATCTGTGTACTAACTTTAAGCAGGATGGTCAATTTGATAACGTTGACTCTTGCAATCTATGAACAGGAACAGGGGATGCCTCTCGTTTTCTGGTGTCTTCTATTTCTCTTTCTTAGTAGTGATGTATAATTTTCACTGCATCTGTCTTTCATCTCCCTTGTTAAGTGGATTCCTAGAAGTTTATGATTTCTTTGGGGCAGCATTTTGAAAGATACAATCTTTAAAAATTATTTTTCTTCTACTTTTTTGTATACAGGAATCCCAGCGATTCTTGCATATTAATTCTGTAACCTGCCATCATATAGTAGTGGCTGTATTAGACTCTTTCTGAAGTCTTAAAGGGTTTTCATGGTATAATAACAAATGGTCAGCAAAGACTGAGTTTATGTCCAGTTTGTATTCCTTTGATACTTTGCTCATGTCATGCTTGCGTAGTGACTCGTGACTCTAATCTCAAGGGAAAAAAAGGCTTCCAATTTTCTCACCACTGATACTGAATGTGGACTTGTTAGTGTCTTGAGGTAAGTTTCTTCTACCCATAGTACTTGATTTGCATATACTGAACCACCCTTGCATCCTGGGATAAACCCCTTTTGCCCATGATATATAATTATTTTAACATATGGCTGGATTCAATTTCCTAGGATTTAGTTAGGTTCTTCTGCATTGATGTTCATCAGAATTATTCGCATTTCCCCCCCCAGCAGTGTCTATTTTAAAGTAGCACTATAATAATTTTTCACAGATACCATTAAGAAAGATTCCTGTTTCCTGAATGGTTTGAGAAATTATGGGTATTAAGTCTTGGTAGAAGTCACAAGTGACTCCATCAGTACCTAGGATTTGTTATTGAGGAGATTTTAATTTTGTTTCTCTGTGCCACACCCTTCAGTCTTTAGAATTTACTCCTGTCTCTGCATTCAGAGTGATGCTTGGCACTGTACGGGATGCCAGAGATAGGGATTAAAATACAAGGTGAGCACTCTAACCGTTGTCCTACCACTCTAGCCCTCTTGCAGATTTTAAAATACTATTTCAATTTTCATTTTTTTACTCGAGATTGGTCTAGTCAGCTTTTCTGTTTTCTTTTGTTTTAACTATGACAATTCATATGATTCTGAGAATCCTTCCATTTCTTTCAGATTCTTTATTTTAGTGGCACAAAGTTGTTCACAGTAATATCCTAAGATTTTTGGGGGTATCAGAGTGATAGTACAGTGGGTAGGACATTTGCCTCGTACACAGCCAACCTGGGTTCAAACTGCTGCACCCTATATAATCCCCAGTGCCTGCCAGGAGTAACCCTGAGGGCTGAGCCAGGACCACTGTAGGATGTGGCCCCAAAATAAAACAAAAAACAGGCTAAGTATTTTTGTGTTTCTGAGGTGTTTGTTGTCACTTCTCCACTGTTATCTCTGATCTTGTTTTTTAAAATATTTTCTTCTTAGTGAATCTAGTTTAGTGAATCTCGGCGAGCCCGGCAAGCTGCCGAGAGTATCTCGCCTTCACGGCAAAGCATGGCAAGCTACCCGTGATGTATTCAACATGCCAAACACAGTAACAAGTCTCACGATGGAGACGTTACTGGGCCTGCTCAAGCAAATGGATGAACAACGGGAGGACAGTGCAATGCTAAAGTGCAGTGAATCTAGCTACTGGTCTGTCAATCCTATTCACTCTCTACTCTAATTTTATTATCTCCTCCCTTCTATTTTTGCTTTGGAATTCATTTGCCGTTTTTTTCTGAGTTTCTCTACATGGTTAAATTGCTGATTTGAGCCCCCCACCCCATGTGCCATGACTATCTATAAACTTTTCCCTTAGTACAGCTTTTGCTGTATTGCATAGGTTTAAGTAAGTGGCTTTTTCATTTTCATTTTGAGAAATCTTTTGATTTCTTCTTTGATCTAATTTAGTTGTTTCCCTCACCAGGAATAAGCCCTAAGCACTACCAAGTGTGGTGCCCAAGAAAGTCAACCATATTTCAGCAAAGTCTACAAACGACAAATTTCAATTAAAAAAGCTCCAACTATACTCCATACCATCTACAGCATCCCTCATATTTTTTTACCTGACAAGCTGCTGCTGTTTCCATTCTTCAATACGCTTCTGAGCAGTTGATTCCCGGTCCTCTTCACTGGAACTAGAGTTCTCTTCTTCATCTAACTCACGCTGGATACTCTGCCACTTTTTAACCAGAGAAGGCATTTTGGTTTTGCTTTTCTTTGCCTGTGAACAAAATAAGTCACAAGGAATATACAAAATAGGATATGTGATATCAAGACTTTCTGCTGATTCTATAAATATGTGAAGTACTGCATATGTGGTTCCAAAATTAAAAAGAAATTAAAACTTCACTAGTTCTAGTTCAACAGCAAAGATGAGCAATGATGACTGATCAATTAGTGCTCAGGGCTCATTCCTGGTGGGGCTCTGTGACCACAAGTTATACAAAGGATCGAATCCAGGTCAGTCACTGTGCAAAGCAAGCACCCTACCCTCTAGACTATAGAGTTTAGCAGGTATACTCTAGCCCCTGATTTTTCTTTAAATCCTGTCTCCTGGTTTGCCTTTCTTTTCTTTCCTTTTCCTTCCTTCCTTCTTTTCTTTCTATCTATCTATCTATCTATCTATCTATCTATCTATCTATCTATCGTAGGACTTATTCAGCCACTGATTAGGCTGGTTGAATTGGACATGAACTCCACTGGTCTACCTTTTCTAATAGAACCCACAATTAGGGCGCTGTGCAGGCAGGCATGGAATTAAATGAAGGACTTCACACTTGTTAGCTAGCTAAAGTACTCCAACTTAGTTCTCATGGGAAGAAGAAAACACTTGGTATGTTTTAGCCAGTTATTAAAGGACTCATGGCAACAATTAGCTCAGCATACCCAGAAATGCCCATGCTTTCTACGCTGAGCACTAACTACCTTCTGTCAGGCTCTCCATACCTATATTCTACTTCTCCAACTATTAGCTATGTCCCCTAGGTTAACCTCACTAATATAAACAATAAGCAAGTCTGACCTAGCCTTCCAGTCCAACAGTCCTTTAGGAGATGCGACAGTGCTTCCTCCGAGGTCTCTGCTATGTGTACTGTGCAGTATAATATAAACTTAATACTTGACTCTCTTGCCTAACACCTTGCTATTTGGTAAATTCTCTTACCAACCCACTGCATGAGCTCCCTCAGGATCCAGTGATGAAAAATCCCCATTATTATTATAACCTACATGCCTTGAAGTTTTAGATATCTAGGGAGTGCTAAAATAAAATAAATGACTAAAACTGAGTCTACCTTCGGCCTTTTTTTCTTTCTTTTTTTGGGTAGGATTTATTCAGCCACTGATTAGGCTGGTTGAATCCGCCTTTTTCCCTCTGGAAAGATAGATGGCAGCCGCTTCAGAGCTTTATGGAAAGCCTGGTATGAGCCGGTAGTGACTGAAACCTCATGGGAAGGGGGGGTGTTCCCACCTTGTCCTTCACACCCTACCGAGGTCACGAGTTGCCCCCCATGTGAGGCTCTCCCACACAATCATGGTTCCAGAGCCACAGAAACCAATCTCATAATTATCTAACTCTCAGCAGAAATACTTCCAGGCTTAGTAAGTAAAATACCAGAAATCCAAAATTGCGTGACATCATTTGATTCTTGTAACTAGCTGTAGAAAACAAATTATTTCACAATGCCTTTTCAGAATGTCTGATTTGGGGGTGTAAACTCTATAAATAATAATGGTGCATCTTTTGTCGAAACAATGAATCTAATCAAAGTAGATAGAGTGTTAACTAGACTTCATTTGCCTCACAGGCATTGGGAGGGTTGGGACAGGGGGTTTATTGGGGTTCTTGGTGGTGAAAAGTAAGTATCGGTGGAGGGAAATGTGTTTGATAATTGCATGACTGAGACTTAAACCTGAAAGCTTTGTAACTTTTCCCAGAGTGATTCAATAAAAAAATAAAATAAAATAAAATAAAGGACCCTCATCAAACAAACAAACAAACAAACAAACAAACAAACAAACTTGAGTCTAACAGGTGAAGGAGACAGAGGTCAAGCTTTGTATGTGCAAGACTTAGGTTCCGTTCGCATCCATGGTACCCTAGCACCACTGGGTAGCCCAGGAAGCCCCAGCACAGTATCTTCAGATCCTACTACCAAACTACCCAGGCCAGCAGAATCTCACTACAGACATGTATCCTGGAATCCCTTAGCACTGCTTGGAGAGACTTTATCCCCACCCTCTGGAGACTGGGAGAGGGACAAAAACAAACCGAGTGAAGCTACCCATGACGTATTAGATATGCCAACGACAGTAACAACAAAGTCTCACAATGGAGGCGTTACTTGGCCCGCTTAAGAAAATTGATGAACAATGGGAGGACAGTGACAACAGAATATCTAATGGGCCAATAAAAATCATTATGCAGTTCTAGAGAAGAAACAAACTTATTTGAACCACAGTCCAAAATTCTCAAGTATAATAATGAAAGACAATTATATATACCCATAAGGTTTAATAAATTTCAAATAGCACTGCATTGTCCTGTTGTTCATCGATTTGCTTGAGCGGGCCCAGTAACGTCTCCATTGTGAGAGTTGTTACTGTGTTTGGCATATCGAATATGTCACGGGGAGCTTGCAAAGTTCTGCTCTGCGGGAGAGATACTCTCAGTATCTTGCTGGGCTCTCAGGGGCGGAGCAATCGAACCCGGCTTGGCCGTGAGCAAGGCAAATGGCCTACTGCTGTGCTATTTTTTTTTTTAACATCCAGCAAGATGTTAAAAAAACCGGGGTCCAGAGCCACAGTACAGCCTGTAAGGCACTTTGCCTTGCATGCGCTTGACCAAGTTCAATCCCTGGCACCCTATATGGTGCCCCAATCCTGACAAGAGTGATCCCTGAGAGTGAAACCATAAGCAAGCGCTGAGCACCAGCAGGCGAGGCAAAAATAAATAAAATCTGTGCTAAGATACACTCCTCCAAAGGCCATCAGAAAATCTTGAAGCAGAAGCAAAAACGCTCCAGAGACTTGTTACATTTAAGGGATACTCAATGAGATTCTTAAGAGGATTTCTGAGGAGAAACCTTTAGGAACATAAAGCACGCGCAAGAGAATGGACCCAGAAAGTGGCTCTGGGCAAGAATGAAATTAATTCTCTGATGCCAATTCTGAAAGCTCAGGGCTGGGACAGAGTCATCAATGAACAGGGAAGTCACTAATAGGGCTGGAAAGATAGTACAGTGGGTAGTGTACACAATGGGTAGGGTACTGGCCTTACATGAACTAATCAGGTTCAAATTCCCTGGCACCCAATAAAATCCCCCAAGCCCTACCAGGAATGGTCCTTGAACCCAGAGCCAGGAGTACCCCTTGGGTACGGCAGGGAGTGGGCCAAAATCATTTTACTAATTGAGTGGCCTAGAAGATAGTACACAGGTTTTGGAGGAGGGAGACCTGAGTTCTATCCTATCAAAAAATATTTTTACTTTAACATCTTACAAGCAATTCCTATGGCAACCATAAGTAAAGACACCTGCCTTGCATGGAGATGAGCCAGCTTTGATCCTCCGCACTGTGTTTAGTCCCCCAAGCCGCACCAGGAGTGATTTCTAAGCACCTAACAGGAGTAGGTCCTGAATACAGCTGGATATACTATGCCCTGCCTCACTCCCCACCAAAAGAGGGAAAAGACATATGCAATAAGAGCTGGAGAGCACGGCATGTGCCTTGCAGGTGGCTGACTGGGGTTCGATCCCATGTATCCCATATGGTTCCCCAAGCCAGCCACAAGTGATTTCTGAGTACAGAACCACCAGTTAGCCCTGAGTAACTGCTGGGCATGGCTCCTCCAACCCCACAAAAAAAAAAAGAGACAGAAAATACAGAGAATAGATACAAAGAGTAGCAAAAGCAACATACATACAAAAGCAACCAAACACAAAAGTGGACAATAAAAGACAACATAGGAAGTGTAAAGCATAAGAAAAGAGAGATTTCCTGAGCACCGAGCCAGGAGTAAGTTCTGAGCACTGGTAGGTTTGGCTTGTAAACCAACAAAAAACTGTGAGTAATGTCTGTAATACATGAACTTTAAGTGCCAAGCAGATAGTAAATACCACTTGAGTGCTGGGTTTCTCATAAACAAGGGCACTCCCAGTCCTTCAAAAAAAAAAAAAAAAAACCACCACAGGCAAGGAACACACTAACAGCATACACAAGGCCAGGTTAATTTTAATCAGATAGTGCTTGGCATATTTATGTACAGTTCTGACATATTTATCACTTGACTTCCCATTAACCATCGATTTGCTCGAGGGGGCGCCAGTAACGTCTCCATTTGCCCCTGTCACGTGCTAGTGTAGTCCAATGGCGTCTGTTTATTCTAGCAAAGAGCCTCAAACTGATCATTCAGGGTCTCGACGAAGAAGTCTGACCATCTTGTAGGTGGTCAGTCACGCGGTCTTTCGACGTCCTGTGGAATCCAGTCGGTAACGGCTCTAGTCCAGCAGTCGTCTCAAAATCTCATTACGTGTCCGGCCCATCTAATTTTCAACACCTTGGCAAATGAGACAGCGTCCCTGATTCTTGACCGTTGACGAAGGTCGGAACTCAGGATTCTTTCACTCATTTGAGTGAAACGTGATACTCCAAGCATAGCTCTTTCGATTCCTCTTTGGGAGACCTGAATAGTGTTCTCGTCCTGTTTTCGTAGGGCCCAGGTCTCTGAGGTGTATGTTAATGCAGGAAGAACAGTGGAATTGAAGACATGTGCCCGGAGCCAGAGGTTCTTCATCCTCTTAGCTATTCCTCGATGCTCTTGCAGGAGTTCCAAGACACTCTCTTCCTTCTGCGCAGCTCGGGTGCCAGGTCATTTGTCATGTTGACTTCTCGACCTAGGTACACATAACTGTTGCATTCAGAGATGTTGTTCCGTTGAGAGAGAATGGAGCATCAGGAACGAGGCTGTTTCTCATGAACATTGTCTTCGTGAGATTCAGCTGGAATCCGACCTTTTCACACCTTTCTGAAGTCGGCCAGCATTTGCACCGCTTGGCTAATGTTTGTTGTTATTAGAATGATGTCATCAGCAAAGCGGAGATGGTAGAGTTGCCGACTGTCTATCTTCACTCCCATTCCTTCCCATTCTAGTCGTCACATGACGTTCTCGAGGGTGGCACTGAAGAGTTTCGGTGAAATCACCCTGCCGAACCCCTCACTTGACATGGATGATCACTTCTTTGTAGAATGGTGAGATCCTAGTAGTGAATGTGTAATAGAGCTCACAGAGGATCCTGATGTATTGAGTTTGAATGCCCTGATTGGCTAGGGCTTCAATGATTGCTTCTGTCTCAACAGAATCAAAAATTGATTCTTTAAATCAATGAACGTTAGAGCGGCATCTTGAGCTCCTGAGAAACCTCAATGAGTGTCTCAATGAGTGTGGTTATCGTGTGGATATGGTCAATGGTGCTGAATCCTTTGCGGAACCCGGCTTGTTTGCATGGTTGTCCTTGATCTAATGTTCTACCAATCCTGTTCAGGATGACTCAAGTGAACAGCTTGTGGATGACAGACAATAGGCAGATTGGGCGATAGTTGCCAATGTCATGGATGTCTCCCATCTTGTACAATTTTACAGTCCTGCTGGTTTTCCCATTGGGACGGAACCTTGCATTCAGACAGGTAGTGTGAAGAGCCGAGCCAGCGAATTGATGAGTTCTTCAGGTGTTCAGGTCTGACCTTGTTTGGGCCAGGTGCTGTTTGTTTCTTTACCGACAAAATGGCGTGTCGGATTTTGGAAGGGAGTACACTGGGAAGGACATATCCATCCTGCGGAATTTGGTATGTGGGCAGGTAAACATGGCTATCGAAGAGATCTTGGTAGAAGTCATAGATAATCTTCTCCACTGCCCTTCTGGAAGATGTGATAGATCCATCAGGACGTCGGAGGGCCGTCATCCTGGTCTTGTAGTTGGCGAAGGACAGGTGGGCGTTACGAATGCTCTTCCCGGCTTCTGCCGCATCTACCAACACTGCTGCTCTTCTCTCTTAGAGGTCTTCCTTTATCGCATCTCTGCACTGCTTTGCGAACTCAGGCAAATTTATGTACAGTTGGCATATTTATGTACAGTTCTAATGTCCTCAGGATACTGGACCCATCAGGCGCACAAACTCAGGCTGAACAAAATCCAAAAAAGAAGTGTCACACCTGTTGAGTAATGCAGGCTAACAAGAACACCACGGTGAGTGACTCTCAGTCACTGAAACAGCGGCAGCAAAGGGTGTGAAAACTGTTGCGGTCACGGAGTAGTTCAATAACAATAAATTTACATGCCTTGCACATTTGGTCCCTAACCCCGCCCTCCAAACAGTTTTAGAACACAAATGAAGTGTGTAAAAGCTTATAACACCTGCTTAAAAAAATATGGTCACAAGTTCAAATCAATGGGGTCCCATATGCAAGTACAATTCTGGAAACTCTGCCTTTTGGGCCTGGCACTGTGCTGTCTGCAATTCCAGGTGGCACCAGATGTGGTTAAATACAACAAACAGAGACAACTGCCACTGATAAGCATGACTACAGAAATAAGCATGGGCTAGAGTTAGAAAGGTGGACACGTGGCTTGGGGACATAAGGCTGGTGTGTGAGCACCACGACAATTACCTTGGATGCCTCATTAAAAAGTATAAGCCATGCAATTACAACAACACAGAGCTCCCTAGCATAGCGGTCCTGTGTGACTGATCACCAGTAAGCATCAGGAAGCTAATATGCAACTCCACCCCAAAATTTCTTTTGAAATGATACTGTGGGAGATGGTTGTACTCAATTAGACACTCAAATGATCTGGGGTCAGAGGGATTAGTACTAGGCAAAGGAATTTGCCTGATAACTCCAATTAGATTTTTGGCAACACATGGTCCCCTGAGCACTTCTGGGAACAACAACCCCCGAGGAGAGTCAGGAAAGTATGCAGTACAACCAGGTATGCCCCCCACCAGATCAATTTTCCAATTCTCAGCAGTAAACCCACCCAAAAGTAGATAGAATTACTTTCAGGTACACCCTGCCCCTGCCCCTTTCTTTTTGGACTACATCCAGTGATGCTCAGGACTGACTTACTCATGGTTCTGAACTTCGGAATTACTGCTGGCGGTGCTCAGGGACCATACTAGATGCCAGAGACAGAAACTCAGGCTGGCTGCACACAAGGCAAGTGCCATACCATCTGCTGTACCATCACGCCAACCCTTAGATGCATGTTAGTAACAGAGATTTTCAATAAAAACTTCAGAACATAGTTACCTTATCTTTCTTTCCCTTCTTTGTCTTGTCAGGTGGTGGTACTTTGGGAGTAGGTGGTGGTGGAGGTGGAGGAGGGGGTGGTGGAGGTGGCGGTGGTTCAATAATCGCCGTGGCAGGAACAGCACTTCGGGCCTGAATTGGCTGCAGAGTGGAAGCAGTGACTCCGATTGGGACAGAACATTCAGCATAGCTCAAGATTGCTGGGGCTGCTGCCAGTCCTAGGTAATTTGATTGGAGGCTCATCCCTCTGGTCTGATGACCCATTCCTGTTGCTGGATGACTAACTGACAGTGCCTGGTGTCCAATCCCTGCAGCCCCATGACCAATCCCTGTCGCCTGGTGACCTAACACAAAAAACATAACATGAAACTATAAAAGACATTGTGACAAAGCCAAAAACAAGGAAAAGAAGGAAAAGGGAATTGGGGATTAGATCACGGATAAAATTTCAACACACTTTTCCTCTAAAAGAAACAAAACTTTTTTCTCCTACCAAAAAATTCATTTTTGGGGACCTGAGGATCGATCAGTGGTAGAACACCTGCCTTATAAGAACGAAGATTTTTGATTTTTCGTGCACCCAACTCCATATGCACTTTGAGATCCTTGATGCCACAAGACATGTGGCCTTTGGAAGAACTATAACCAAGTCTGCAACTGCTAGTCATTGTGAAAGGGAAAGGGATTTTTTGGGGGAGGTGGGCAGCACACCAGCAGTACTCAGGAGACCATATGGGATGCTGAGAATCAATCCAGATTGGTCACATGCAAGGTAAATGTCCTGCTCACTGTTCTATCTCTCCAGCCCCAAAAGAAAGGAGAAATTTAAAGAGATTAATTTCGGGGGGGGGGGGGGGGGGGCGTGGGGCGGGCATGGTGCCGCTAATAGGTCAACCTGTAACTGCAGGACAACAGGACAAGTGCATTAGCCGCCTAGCCTGATGGTGCCTTCAGCCTTCCTGACACCTCAAAATTGCCGCTGTACCTTTGGCCAGATTCCAACAACTTGTGACCAAGTTTACCAAGAAATCAGTTAAGTATGTGGGAGCCATGACCACAAACCACCTCCAGCTCAGCTATTAATTGCCCTTATTTCAGAGACCCAAAGATAAATCTCGAGAGATATCAAAAGCCACAGTTAATCTGGGAGCACAGACTGGAGGAACTCAGAGCCTATGCCTGCCCAACCAAAGCCCCCAGTAGCCACTTGCTTCCACAGTACAAAATTGCTGCCATATCCCCAGCCTGATTCTACCGTCTCAGGATGGATCTCACCAAGATACAATCTGCTGAAAATTTAGGCATGCAGGTTTTGTGACTGAAATCTCTAGGCTTTCACAGATATCTCCCCCCACTTCCCAATACACATGGAAACATTGGCAGTCGTCCCCACAAACCAGCTCCAACGCCACACTGTAAACTCTTTTTACTGGCCTTGATTCAGAGACCCATAGATAAACGTCAAAAGAGATCAAAAGTCAGAGACACAGCAGTGAGTGCTGGAAGACAGCTCCGGAGATCTCGCTGGGCCCCATAACGAGCCAATTTCACCGAGCGCACCCCAGATGGAGCAAGTGCAATCTCCCCACCTACTCCAGATGGAATCCCAGCGACAAAGAGCTGCCAGAATGCGGGTTCCAGGACTAAAATCGCTAAGCCTCATGGTGGCAGAGGTGCCGGGATGTCCCTCCCCACCCGCCTGTCACACCCACATGTGCCTCTGGGTGCCATCTTGGCGCACCAACAGCCCTAGTCCAGAGATGCTCAATTGAATTCCAAAATGGATTAGTGCCCTAAAGATGTCTTTGGAATCCAACCCAACCATCTACAATCTAGGATTTCAGAAGTGTGCAGCCGTGGCACAAATGAGCAAGATACAATAAATGATCTAGTGTCTGTCCCTGGCAAGCAGGCTTGAATGGTGGTGGGAAAATTCGAGAAAACACAATCCACAAAAGTAGAGATATGGAGGCAGGGTGAACTGGGATGGGGGAATATACTGGGGACACTGGTGGTGGAAAGTGTGCACTGGTAGACGGATGGGTGTTCAATCACTGTATGGCTGAATCTCGAACACGAAAGCTTTGTTCACAGTGATCCAATTAAAAAAATTAATTTCTGAATATCTTAACACTAATACATAAATCAAACGAGTGACATAAAATGCAGAGGAAAAAAATCTGGGAGTGTAACATGCCTGTTAAGGGCTGATCTAAAAAAATATTTTCTAATGAACAGTCACACCCACAAACTGCCTCTGGCAGCATATAAGCTCATTAACGGGCATGATTTAGAGACTTAAAAAATAAATCTCAGAAAACAGCGACAAGCTGCAGAGATGTCTCCGGACCCCAAAGTCACCTCCAGTTATATCACTCTATTTAAAATTTCAGAATTCCTGGAGCGACATCTCATACTCTACTCCACTGATGTACCAAGAGTAATACACATTTGATGGGGTGTAAACTAGAAGACAACTAATCTCGATCAAAAAAAAAAGTATGCATTAGCACACAATCTTTAACATGTTAAGAAATCTCTCATTCAAGTCTTATTCAAGGGCTTACGGGCTCCAGGGTGAGATACAATAATCTTCACACATTTTCCTCTAAGGAAACTTTTTGGGATCATTTTTAGTTGATTTTTTTGGGGAGGGAGGTGGGCTCACACCTGGCGATGCATAGGGGTTACTCGTGGCTCATGCACTCAGGAATTACTCCTGGCAGTGCTCGGGGGACCATATGGGATGCTGGGAATCAAGCCCGGGTTGGCCGTGTGTGTGCAAGGCAAACACTCTACCCACTGTGCTATTGCTCCAGCCCCTTTAGTTGATTTTTAACAACAAGCAATCCAAAATAAATTTACAACCTACTTTGGGGGCAGGCTTGGGTGATAGTGGGAAAATTAGAAATAACGGTGGAAGGTGTAATGGTGGTGGGACTGGTGCTGGATTATTGAATGTAGTAAATTATTGTGAACAGCTTTATAAAAATAAAATTTTAAAATAAAAAATATCTTAAAAATAGGAGACTAACACCTAAGAGTAGTCAAGATAAGTACCAGGGGGTTTACTCCATGGCTTGGAGGCCAGCCACAAATGCTAGGGGAAAAGGCAGCTCAGATAGAGAAGGGAGCACCAAATAAAGGATGTTGGGATGTTCCTCCCAGGATGGAAGATGTGTGATGAGAGTAGACTATAGACCGAACATGATTGCCACGCAATGCCTCTTTTGAAAACAGCAGCACCCAAAAGGAGAGAGAACAAAAGGGAATGCCCTGCCACAGAGGCAGGGTGGGATGGGGGATGGGAGGGATACCAGGATCCGTAGTGGTGGAAAATGGGCACTTGTGGAGGGATGGGTACTTGATCATTGTATAATTGAAACCCAAGCACAAAATTTAAGTAACCTCATGGTGTTTCATTAATAAAAATTTAAAAAATATATATCTTAATGAAATGCATTTAAATAGGTTTTACACTAAAAAGCTTTCAACATATCTTCAATTTAAACACTTAATTCTAGAAACAGAGATAAGAATACACTGAAGAAAACACATTTTAAGCTTGACACTTACTTGCAACTAAAGCTGACTGGCTGTAGAGGACAGGAGAACTACCGATGGTAGCTGATCTCTGAACAACTGCAGTAGTCATTTCTGTAGCTTTTCTCTTTACTGCCTTAGTGGAAGGTGAACTGGAGATTGTAGTATCAACTGAACTCTGAAAAATCAAAAATGCTTGTCAGTGGTTAGAGGTTCTGGTTATCATGCCGCAGCTCCCAAATATGGTTATCATGTCCCAGTTCCCAAATATTCTTCGAGAAGCCATATAGCATTTCTCACCTGGCTAGTCACAACTGTAGTTTGCGTGGAAGGTTTCAATGGAGTGTCCTCCTCTGTTCCTGGGGCAGGAGGCTCCTCACTTCCCTCATCCTCCATTTCTACCTCCTGGATTTCTCCATCTTCTGCCGGAGGAGGAGGGGGCGGTGGTGGAGGAGGAGGAGGGGACTCTGGGGGTGGAGGTGGGGGTGGTGGCATTTCCAGTGGTAATGGAGGCTGAAGCACAGGCACATTTGACTGAAGAAGGGTCCAGAATGGAGTGAGTGGCATGAGTGATGAAGAAGAAACTTGAACAGAAAAAGCTTCTTTACAAAGAGAACCTATGAAAACAAACAGGAGTTAGGAAAGAAGACAAAAATTCTATGGCTTATGAGTCATAAAATGTTGAAGAGATTGTTGGGACAAAATGTGACACACAAACACCTACTCTACAACGTTATTAATAAATGAACAACTCTGCTCAAATATATGGTAAAATAAACTTATGAACTTGTGGTTAGCATTTGCCCTGGTTGCATTTTACTAGTATGTACACTGGGTCCACAATTACAGATGGGTGGAGAGCACATCATATCAACTGAATGACAAATTCAATCATTCGGCTGTAACAGACATAACTACAAGGCAACACTCTGTGGACTTTTATTTGAAAAGCAAAGTGGTAAGAAAATATGCATTTGCAATAATGATTCCATGCATTTTTGTTTCTTATTGAGCCTAGTTAAGTAATTGGGGATAATCTAGAAAAGTGCCCATTCAGAACACCCACAAATTCTACTCATTTCAACTAATATGAGCTAATTAAAAAAAGAAATTCATTTGCAAAGTATCATCCTGGTCCTATCAACCCTTCATTTGTTTGTGGATGTATACTGATTTATTTGCTGAATCACTCTGAACAAAACAGAGGGTAACTTTAAAAAAATATTTCTCTGTAGCAAAAGGGCAAATCAGAGAATCAAAACTTCTAGTAAATATAATTAAAGCACACCAAAAAGGATGTTTAAAGATGCAGAGAATATGAAAATGGCTCAAGTCTCAGTTATGTGATAGCTAGAAGCCAGAGACCTAATATAGCAGGTAAGGTGCTTTGCCTTGTATGTGACAGACCCATGTTTGAGCAGGGCACCCTCAGCCCCATCAGGAGTGATCTCTGAGCAGAGCCAGGAGTAAGTCCTGAGCACCACTGGTCATGACCTCCAATTTAAAACCAAACAGGTTAAAAACCTGTAAGATCAACATTCACCAAGTTCTGCAAAAGTTAATTATGCCTGTTCTCCACTGGGCAAAGCTTTAATGATTAGAGAAAACATGATATACTTACTTGTAGCCTTCCCCATCCCTCTTTATCGTCAATAGGGAAGTTTCACAATATATGGGACTATTAAATATCTCAGGTATGTTGAAGGGACTTTTCTCCCTAAAACTGTAGAATTTAGGAGTAGAAGAGATATGAGAAATCATCTAGTTTAACCTTCTCAATTTAAAGGTAATGAAACCCAGGAGAGAAATTATTTGCCCAAGATCATTAATTTCTAGTGGCCTAGTCTAGGGCTTTCTCTATTATACCAACATCTATCAGGAGTTTTAGACTATTAGAGACCTGGTAAAATAAATCTCAGTTCTTATGGAGTAGAGCTCTAGTTGAAGTTACGCATCAAATTTCATGGTCAAAAGAGGTTGAGCAAATGCTTTATTATAAAAACTAAGGCAAGAAAAAAGCCTCTTACCTTACTAGGCTCCAAACGCACTATCACACTGGCATGAGACACAGTTAAACTAAAATGACCATGAACCTTTTGACTTTTAGACTGGGGTTGGAGACTGTATAGTGGTCTGGGTGCTTGCCTTATACACTGCCGACCCAGGAATTTGATCCCTGAACCCGTTAGCAGCAATCCTTGAGCACAAGTCTGGAGTAAGTACTGAATACCTCTGGATATGGTCCAGTCCCCCCCCAAAACCAAAAAGTCACCTATACTTTTTATGCATCAGAAACAATCTAAATGACTATTAAGAACATGATTCACATGAATGTTTTAATTGAGAAATTACTAAAAAAGTATGGGGGGGAAAGCTGGGGGAACTGCAACAGAATATAAGAACAAAGTTTTCCCAGCTTCAAATCTCTCATCAATTTTTTTTGTAGTTACATATACATAAAACCAGATTTATATATACTTTTTCTAAAAGTATATACCCAGAGTCTGGGTAGTAATCGGTGAGGCAGTTTATGCTAACCATGTAGCAGAAAATCAAAATCACATAAAATCTAAGGTAGTAACCGCAATATACAGAAATAAGTATCTGTTTTATGTATTGGTTAAGTTTTCATCTAGAAACCTAATGCAATATCCACGTTAAGGATTGAGACATGCTGCTATACAGAGGAACTCAAAGAAATACAGTAGGTTCAAGGTAAATTATGTAATTTAATGACTTCTAGCAAGACTAAGCAGCATGAGTATATTTTGTATAAATAAGAGATACAAGTCTTGAAGAATTTAGCAGTAGATAAGCATGGATAAAATCTGTGAATCCCAAAGTATTGAAAAACTGACTGCCATGCCTAAAATTTAAAATGATCCTTTGGCAAAGAATTTCAATAAATTCTAGCCCAATATACATGGCTATCATGTTAAAATGACTCTTTCCACTTAATTTCTAAATTTGACCCAATTGGTTTACTTTTCCCGGTTAGTAAAACATTTTTAATTCATCAAGTCTAGACCGAAAGAGAATAAAAAAATTAAATACACAGTTTCTATTAGGTGCTTACAGATTTAAAAACTACAAGCTCAAAGACACACTACTATGGAATTTAAAATTTTTGGATTTAGGGGCTGGAGAGATAGTACAGCGAGTGGGGACTTGCCAACCCGGTGCAATCCCCAACGTTTCATATGGTCCCCTGAGCACTGCTGGAAATAATTCCTGAGTGCAGAGTCAGGAATTACTCCTGAGCACCAATAGGTGTGGCCCAAACCCCTCAACAACACACATAATTTTTTTTTAAAGATTCAAGAACAGATTTCTTCTCTGCTCCACAGTAGAATTCACTTATTTTCTTATTACCACCAAAAAGTTTAAATTTACTATCTTGGGTTATGGTTAATTAAGCAATGAAAAAACGGCTATAAAAATAGCAGGTCAAAGCAATAGTACTGCAGGTAAGGCACTTGACTTGCATAAAGTCAACCTGGGTTCCATAGCTGGTTCCCCACATGGTCCTCTGAGCACCACCTAGAGTGATCCCTGAGTGCAGAGCCAGGAGTTAGTCCTGAACACCAATGCGTGTACCCCCAAAGTGCAAAGTAAATGTTAGGAACTTATGTGTTCCTTGAAGTAGATTAAACTTAAAAGTATTTTTTTTTGGGGGAGGAAGGGGGGGCAGGAAAGGCAATACACCAGGCAGTGTACCTGCCTTACATGTGGCTGACTTGGGTTCTATCCCTGGTACCACATATGGTTACCTGGGCCCAGTCAGGCATGATTCCTGAATGCAGAGCCAGGAATTAAGCCGTGGTAATCAGTGGTTTGGTCTACTCCCACCCCACAGAGGATGGTTTTAGGACTGGAGAGAGTATAGTGTTAAAGTATTTTTTGTGCAACTTGAGCAAGTCAGCTTCAATCTCCAGTACCACATATAGCTCCTGAGCACTGCCAGGGATCACTTTGGAGCACAAAGCCAGGAAGAGAGGCTGAGGATTGCTGAATGTAACCCAAATCAAATCCACCCTCCCCACCAAAAATAAAAATTTTTTCAAAAGGAATAATTTTAGGGGTGGAGAGCCAATTCATTGGCTGAATGCATGCTTTGCCAAGGCCAAGGTTGTATTCCTGGAAGCGTATGGTCCCCAAAACAGGAGTGGCTCCGGATGATTAAGCTGGAAGCCTTGAGAACCAAAGAGTAATGGCCCCAAATTCAAAAAAGATGGCTTTTAAGGCCAAGGAAGTGGGTCGAACTGCTGGAGTGCATGCCCAGCACGTGTCAGGCCCCTATACTACTGAGGAGGTCAAATAAAGTAAAACTCTCAGAAGGGAAAAAGGATGGTTCAAAACACTGCTCAACTCAGAAAAAGTACTTATTGATTAGGTGGGAAAATATTTCCCAAGCAATGCTCATTAACTCAAGGGGCCATGGCCAGAAATACTGGGTGGGCTTACACAAGCGCTGATATTCAATACTCTGGACCTGCTGATGCAGTATTGCTAGGATCCAGCAGTGCTTGGGGGGACATACGGGTCACGCTGAAGAGTGTTCAAGGGACCAGGTGAAGCCAGAATCGAACTTGAGGCCTCATGCATGCTGAGCTCATGTTCCAGTCCTTAACGCTATATCCCAAAGCCCATACTGTGTACTTTTTCCCACAGGCTTAAGCCAAATATCAATATTACTCTTAATTCTCAAAGACCTTGTTACAAGATCTAGACTGTTTTAATTATCTGTTTATTTTATGGTTCTTGTGACTCTCAAAGAAGATCAAAAATATACACCTGTTTGGCTGAGGAATCAGACAATGCTCACTTAAGTATCAGGACTCAGGTCTGACTCCCAGCCCCAGGGAAAAATGCTGGTATACTAGGGGCTTTTTCCAACAGATGGACTAGTTTTATTTCAGATTAGATAACTCTTAAATGCACAGAGTGATAATACAGTGGGTAAGGTCCCTGCCTTGCATGCAGCAAACCTGATTTTCAATCCCCAGCATACTGCTTGGTCACCTAAAGCCTGCCAGAAGTGATCCCCGAGCTCAAGAGGCAGAATAAGCCCTGAGCACTACCAGGCTTGACCCCCGACACACACCAAAAACAAAACAAAAGAACCCCAAACTAAAAAACCACCCCCCAGCATCCTAAAGCACAGCATCTCTTAAAGAGACTGAGATGTGTTCAAAGTGTTGGGACAAGTGTTTTGTTTATGAGCCCTGGGTTCAATGTCTGCACTGCATAGTTCCCCAAGCATGCTTAAGTGGTTACCCCATGACCACCACCAGGGAGAAAATAGGCCAGAACAATTGTACAGCAGGTAGGGTGTTTGCCTTACATGCGACTGACCTATATTCAATCTTTAATTCCCAACACCTCCTATGAATCCTTCAAATTTGTTAGGAGTGATCCCTCAGTGCTGAGCCAGGAATTAGCCCTGAGCACCACTAGGTGTGGCCCAGAATAGGAGAAAACAGTGGCCAGATAGTACCCTGGTAAGGTGCCTTGCACACAGCCAATCAGAGTTCACTCCCTAGCACCCAGTATGGTTCCCCAAGACTGTCAGTAGTAATACCTGAGCACAGAACCAGAATACCCCCACACCCCCCAAAGGAGAAAATAATTAACACTTAACTCCAAGGTGTTCACAGAATGCTTAAGAGTTGAAAACTTTAATACTCAGCTTGGAACATACAAGAAAGGGACATTAGACAGTGGTCAGGAGAGGAATCACCTACCCAGAACCACCATCAAGCCTCTTCAGTTCACTAACTACTAAAAAGCAAACAAACAACAAAACCAACTTATTAGACATTCATCACTATTACCAAAAGAACAAGGAAAGTAATCAAAAGAAAATCTCATTAAGTGAGCACCTATAACTTGAGAAATCATATTCCTAAAATATGAAGTACAATAAAACTACCTTTGTGCTACATTATAAAATTATTGTTGCAAGCTTATATAGACTATTAGTGTTCTCATAAAGTTCCTAGGTTATTTAAGAAGTCAACAAAATCATAACATCTATGACTGGTTCCATTTGGTGCATTATCAGAACTTTTCTAATGGGACTAGAAATCAATGAAGTTTACAACATTATCATTTTGAAAACCAAATAACTTTTCAGTTTTTCTGAAATTCAAGTTCTTCATTCTCTAAACGAATGTGCTTTCATCTTCAGAGTTTTATAACTTTAGAAACCACTCTAAAGACTCATTTTTAAATGTCATCATTTCAACATAGCTGCCAGTTCTTACTTTATACCTCTGGCAGTTCACTGGGTCCCACATGCAGTGTCAGGAATTCAAACCAGGGTGCATCACTTGTAAGGCAAGCATCTTAACCCCCTCAACTAACTCTCCAGCCCTAAAATTTTATGCCAGTTTTCTGATCCAACGTTTATCGTATCTTAATCCCACTTCATTATCCAATTATTTTTGTCATCCAAGAAAGATGAACTTCATGGGGTAAAAAAGTATCTTCCTCCATAGTGTGGAAACACAAGCTCTTCAGAAAAGATCAACTAATTCTCAGAAGGCCTATCGAGGTCTTTTAAAATAACATATATAAGTAAATCAAGGCTTCCACGAGTACTTAAATAGATGAGCTATTCTGATGACTTTATAACACTATTGGTTATTTTAACTATTATTGTGCTTCTGAAACATGACTGTAGTTTCAGAACATTACTTCAAATCACTGATTTGTACCAACTATACTTAAACTCTTTAACACTAGTGGATGTGAAAACAGATTATAAAAATCACTAAATTTAGAAGACTGAATCTTCTAAAGAAACATAGCAAACCACTTATCACTCATATAGATACTGACATCACTGCTTTAATACTATTTATTATTCTCATTATGGAAAATCCATTTTTTAAGGCATGAGATAAAGGATAATCTTCATATAAAATGTACTTTTGAGAACCAGAAATGCTATAGGGGTTAAGGTGCATGCAGCTGATCCTAGTTCAATTCCTGGCACAACACACTTCCCTGAGCATCATCAGTTGTGGCCATGGAGGCCCCAAGCACTGTAGCTCTCACAGTACTGCACCCTCAGGCTCTCCTATTGAATGACCAACCCAGGCAGCCTAGACATCAATAGAAACTGCCCTGTGCCCCACTGGCATGAGTTGGAAGGTCCTTCTTCCATATATTGCGTGTATATATATGTGAAAGAAATACACGCACATGTACATATACCTTCATCATTTATATTTTTAGCAGTTATCAATAGGGTGCTGATTACCAATAGGCTCTGCAAGTTTAATTCAGCATAACTAACATATCCTATTTTTTAGGTTGAGCCACCATTGTTTCTTTTAATACACATTATGAGTAAGAATTTCTTCTAAGTTATTTTTCTCTAAAAGACTTTCCTTGTAATTGGTCCAGAGTAAATATCCCACCTGCGGCATTCTCGGAGGCGTCTGTAGAATTTGACTCAGTTCCAGTTTTGTCTTTCAACGTCTGCTTAGGAAGAGTCTCGTCTCTATGTTCTTGTGCTTGGCTTTCATCCTCCTCTTCACCATCTGGGAACTCCCACTGAGACTCGCCCGAATGTTCGTTTACATAGAAATATCGTCTATGATCCCTAAATTACAAGAAAGAAAACGCAAGTTTTAAGATCCGTTCTCCTACAAAGACACTTCCATTTGGTCCTGTCCCAGGACAGCAGTCTGCTCTCACAGGGACGAACCTCTTCTTAATGGACTGCTATTCACAAAGGCAACAAAGAGCTTTGACAATTGACGATGGAGAACCAAGGATAATTCAAAGCTATTTGCACTGCCAGCAGCTCTGTGAATACAGCCCTGAGCCCTCTCGCTTCAACAGATGACTTAGAAAACACCTCTCACATCTTTTTATTTTTTGGTTTGCTTTGTTTTGCCAATGCTTAACAGGGTTTTCAAGTTTCATTAATGAAGGGTCTCAATCTCCTAGAACACTAATTTCCCTTCCAAAGAGAACAACGAAGTTTGCAATAGGTGACTCTTCCCCTCTTGGACCGTGGAATTCACATTTCATACTCTTGATACCAAACAGTGAAAGCTAAAGAGAGGGAGAGGATCTGGGAGCTGAAAAATAAAAGAGCAAAGATTTCAAATAACGAAAAAAAAAAAATCAAGAAAAGCCAAATATAAAAAGAAATGTTTTCATCTGACCTGCTGGCAGAAGATAGTAATCTTGTTCTTCATTCACATCTTCAGCCACGAAGCTTTCCTTAACTTCACCGAGGGTTAATCAGGAGTAGTTGCTTCCAGAGGTCCTGTAAAGCGCACAGAGCTCTCGCATGCGCTTAACCCCCAAGCCCGCCCTACTCCGTGCAACACTCTGGAGAGTAAAAACCAGCTTTGTCCGAATCTTGGAAAAAAATCCGTTACAAGGAACACTTTTAAACATTGCTTTTTTTTTCTCCGTGTGGCTGGCCCAACTCTGTAAGCTTGGCGGTGCTTTGCCTGCCCTGCACCGCTAACTGCAGCGGCTCTCAGTCTCCAGACAGGCTGTCAAGTCGTCAGGTGGTGATGATCACAAATCATGTCTGAGATGTCAAAGGTGAAAGGTGAAAAGGGGAGAAGAGTGCGTACCTGTCCCAGTGGCAGGACCAGCCTTTAGGAGTGGCGTTTATTTCATACTGTTTTAGTTGTTCTGCTGCATCCTGTAGTTTTCGTTTAAGGTAGTTTCCATTAAGAGCCCCTTCCCGCCAATCTGCAATCCGAGTCTAGAAAACAGCAAGGAATATTATGTCAGGGAACAGAGTTTAAAACAATGTCAGAGAGGGGCTGGAGCGATAGCACAGCGGATAGGGCGTTTGCCTTGTACGCGGCCAACCCGGGTTCGATTCCCAGCATCCCATATGGTCCCCTGCGCACCGCCAGGATTAATTCCTGAGTGCAGTGCTAGAAGTAACCCCTGTGCATTGCTGGGTGTGACCCAAAAAGGAAAAAAAAGTCATAGAGAGATAAGCTGATATATGCCTTGTCTTACAAATAGCTATTCTGCATCAAATCCCCTATACATTATGTTTCTTATGCCCGGTAGGAATGACTAGAGCAAGGCCAGGAATAAATCCCTATGCACCAAAGGGTGTGATTCCCCCAAACATAAAAATTAAAATGTCATAAACTTCCTGATTAATCATTATATTGCAAAGATGGGAACAAACAGGAAAAAGCCATAAAGACTGCTCAAAAGGCTAGTGTTCCTGCTTTGCAGTAACCAGAGGGTCCCAACCAAAAGCACTGAGAGGAGTGACCCTGAGCACTACCCTTCCGGAAACTTGCCATGAAATTTAAAAAAGAACAAACAAAAGGGGCTGGGGTGGTCTGAAGAGTATATAGGACACTTGCCCTACACTTAGCTAATACCGGTTCAATCCTCCACACCCCATATGGTTCCCTAGCTCTGCCAGGAGTGAGCCCTGAACAAAGAGACAACAGCAAAAATCCAAAATTAAAGTTAAAAGTTCTGGAAAAAAAAAAAACAACAAAACAAGAAGGGATCCCAGTATATTTTCAACTCCAGTATATGTGAAAATGAATGGCAATAGTTGTCTTCAGTCTACATTAAAAATATGTACCATAGCGGGGAGGGTTGTTTGCCTTACATGTGGCCGACCCGGGTTCAATTCCCAGTATCCCATATGGTCCCCTGAGCACTGCCAGGATTAATTCCTGAGTGCAGAGCCAGAAGTAACCCTTGAGCATTGCCAGGTGTGACCCAAAAAAGAAAAAAAAGAAAAAAAAAAGAAAAAAAAAAAGAAAAATAAGAAAAGTGTATCCAGTAATCTATACCCTCCCTGAGGTGGAAAGGAGTTTTATTCAGGTCAGTAATGAAAAAAAGGGTCCAGTCCTTTAGCATTCTAGAGGAGATTGTTGTCAATCCCACCTTCTACCTTTCCCCACTTTCGGTTAAGTATGCAGGGCACAAATTTGAACAGAGCCATTTGTTGTGCATATGTGGGTGCGTGTATTGAAATTCAGGTCGGACCACACAGGGCAAGTGCTCAGGAACTACTCCTGCCTCTTTGCTCAGCAGACCACGTGTTGCCAGAGAATGAACTCAATCACCAGTCTAAATCACTTATTCAAATGACCATCTAATGGGACTGAGTCCCTGAGAACCCTCAGTGTGACCCCAAATCAACAAAACACTTGTTTGCTATTAGCAAAAATGGCTAAATTACCTCAGTCTGTAAGAGGAGCACATGAAAGTTGGAGATGGACTGTCTATTAATGCCTAGGAATTCAAATTTACTTGTCAGGGTATTTGCGAGTTCTCCAATTTGAAACTGGAATACATGAAAGAAAAAAGGAAAAATTAAATAGGCAGAAGATAAAAATCCTACAGTACACAGAAATTTATGATCATATAAGGTCTAGTGAAATTAAATGCTATTTATACTACCACAATACATTCTAATACAAAGACTTCACACTTGAAAATAGACTCTGAATAAATAGGCTAAAATAAAATTAACCACTTCACACAAAGTTCTACATTAGCCATGTCAATTATTTTTGCACTAACCACTTTATTTAAGTAACACACTTGGTCTATTTTCCGCAAAATGCAATCTAGAACAAATTTGCCTTTGTGTAGGTCAAGTAGTCCATGCAAGAGTTAAATACGTGGGGCTGGAGCAATAGCACAGTGGGTAGAGCGTTTGCCTTGCACACGGCCGACCCAGGTTCAATCCCTAGCACCCCATACGGTCCCCCGAACAGCACCAGGAGTAATTCCTGAGTGCATGAGCCAGCAGTTATCCCTGAGAATCTCCAGGTGTGACCCAAAAAGGGGAAAAAAAAAAGTTAAATACATAAGTTTCAGTCTCCTTGGTACTTAAAGTTATTGCTTTCCAACAGAAGCTTACAATTAACCTTTTATTTATCCACATCAAATCAATCTTAGAATTACTTATTTTAGCTGTGTGATTTTTTTACCTAAAACAAGTGATTTGTGCTTAGAGATAATAAAGATTCCTTTTAATGATACTCATACTAATTGCTAGTCAAAGAAAATAGTTAATGGATGGCCAATTATTACAGTATCTGTCAAATGTTGCATACTTTTAAATCCTGTTCCTCTTCGATTTTAGGTGCTGTTTGTACTTTCAACTTCTCTGGAGATTCTTCTACTTCAAGCTCTTTGTCTGAATGCTCATCTATTTTTTCTGAATTTTCAGCACCAATTACTGCAAAAGAAAACACAGACTTAAATCAAAAGATCAATACTGACAGTGCTTTGCATACTTTTTTTTGACACACCCAACAGAATCCAGGTGACTATACGTGGTGTCAAGAATCAAATCTGTGTGTGGGTGTATGTATTGAGGATCAAATCAGCTGTGTGGGGCTGGAGCAGCAATTGCACAGCGGGTAGGGCATTTGCCTTTCACGCGGCCGAACCTAGGTTCGATTCCCAGCATCCCATATGGTCCCCCAAGCACCGCCAGGAGTGACCCCAAAAGCAAAACAAAAAACAAAACAAAAAGAATCAAATCTGCATCTCTTGAGGGTCTGAATTGTAGTATAGTGGGTAGGGTGCTTGCTCCGCACACAACTGACCTGGGTCAATCCCTGACACCATATAAATTTCCCTCCAGTGAAGTTACACCAGGAGCAATCCCTAAGTACTGAGCCAGGAGTGAAACCTGAGCACAGCAAGCAGTGTGCCACTCAGCACCCCAATATTTTCTTAGCCCTTTAGTAAAGCTAAATGGAAGACTTATTAATTGGTTTCCCTCTGCCTGTGTTTTCTATAAAGAACATTTTTTTTTTAAAGTTTTAGGTCACATTCAGCAGAGCTCAGGATTTACTCCTCCTGGGCCTCAAGAGACCATATGGGATTTCAGAGATCAAATCAAGGTTGGCCACATGCAAGACTATTGCTCCAGCCCTTGTGTTTTCGAATTTAAGAAACTCAACGATTTACTGTCCATAAAAGCAAAAACCAAAGCTTTACAACCTTCGTTGTTTTGAATTTCCTGGCAATTACCCAGGAGCCCAGAACCACACTTGGCAGTCCTATAGAATAGGCAGGGAGTGAAGTACAGTGCTGGAGATCAAACCCAGGGCCCTGAGCAGGCAAGGGATATGTTTTATCATTTGTCCTGCAACCCAGGGCCTATATCTTGGTGGTAGTAGGGGGGGTTCTTAGGCCAAATCCAACAGTGTCTGAAGTTGCACACTCCTCAGTGCTCATTCAGGGGATTATACAGTGCTGGGATTCACACCTGGGCTTCAAGCATGTGCTCCAGCCTGTTGAGGTGTATCTAACTGCTTTTATTTTGGTAGTAACAGGGATGGAATCCAGAGCCTCACACATGCAAGGCAAGTGCTCTAATGCTAAGCCACATCCCAGGAAATTGTTCTTAAAATGTGCACCTATAAAATCCCAATTTTATCACTTTTCTCTAGTCTCTGCTTTCTCCTTATTCTTTTATGTATTGAACTTCAGAATATAACTGTTTTAATTATAGGGGCATAGGGGAAGGTTAGGAGGTTGATGGAGATTTCACATCCAAGCAGTGCTGCACGGGACCATGTGGCACTAGGTAACTGAATGGGAGCTGGCAGCCGGCTTAATGCAAGACAATAACCGCAGCTTCTGCACTATCCTCTACAGATTTCACTGCTTCAATTATTCAAAAACAACAAAAGCGGGTCAGAGAAATAGTATAGCAGTCCTAGGAGTAAGCCCTCAGGACAAAGCCCCAAATATAGCCAGGTGAGTCCCCCCAAGCCCCACAAAACAAAAACCAAACAAATCTGCAATTTTATCAAGTCAGTTATGAAAATAAGCATCTCAAAAATCAGAATAGCATTAGTGTTTTTTTCTGGCTTGTTTTTTGGGGGCCACATCTGGCAGTGCTAGACGTTGCTCCTGGGATAGAAGTCATGACTTCTGCATATGAAGAGTGCATGCTTGTCCCCTGAGCCATCTCCAAGGCATATAACAGCATTCCCTTTAAATTAACGTTTAAATTTTAAGCTTCAAACTTTTTCTGAGGGCGTGCCTACACCAAAAGGTTCTGAGATCATACCTAGGGATCCCACAAGTAAGAGCATGACTTCATTCTCAAATCACCAGATTAATCTGTCAGATTAAAATAATATCTCTCGACAATATACTGAATGCACCCACACTTGGTAATTTGACTGTAATAAGAATAAACGGACTTGGGCCTAGAGAGATCATACAGAGCTTGTCTTGCAGACAGCTGACTCATGTTCAACCCCTAACCCCACATATGGTCCCCCAGCCTTGTCAGGAATGTTTCCTGAATATAGTCAGATATGGCCCCCAAACAAAAGAATACCCTGGACCTATCAACATAAATGGAGTATAAGGTAGGATCTCTCTTGCTAATGTTTTTTTCCCTAACACCCGCCTACCAATCTACAACATATAATAAAAATCATGAGGTAATCACAATGGAAACACCCAAGAAAAACAAATGAACTCTACTGCCCATGACCTTCAGCACATAAATTTACTTTAGCTCTTCTTAATGTTCTGTCTACACCTGTCTTAGAATTAGTACCCTCTTTCAATAAAACCATTTTACTTTACTTAAAAAAGAAAAAAAAAAGAGGAGACATGAGGCAAGGTTTTGCTTGGGTGAGTGAGAGAGAGAGAGAGAGAAAGAGAGAGAGAGAGGCAAGTATGCTGAGCACATACATGCTTTGTTTGCAGGAGGTCTAGATTTGATCCCAGGCACTGTGTGGTCCCTGAGCACCAATAAGAATGAAACTTAAGCAGAGTGAGAAATAACCCCTGATCACAACTGGATGTGACCAAAAAAGAAAAATACAAAACTTGATTCCAGTACCAGATAGCTCCTAAGCATCACAGGAGTGACCAGTAAGGACCACCAGATTTGGCCCTAAACAAACAAAAGTTGAACTTGTGGTTCTTTGTATAATAAAAGTAACGTGGCAAGTGATTTAAAAAAAAAAACAAAAAACAAAAAATAAACCCATAGTCAATCTTGTTTCCCACTACACTGAGGGAAATAATGACAATACATAATGAACTTGCAGAAAGCAATTACTACGGTCTCATCACCCCTCCCTCGCACTAGAGATGAAGCAGGAAAAATGGAGGAAAATATTTAGTTCCCAGCAATTCTCTAAAAGGTAAATGTGGGGGCCACATAGACAGTGCTGGTGTTAAGGCACTTGCCTCCAAACAACCAAACTGGTTCAATCCCTAAAACAGAAATGGTCCCATTAGCCAGCCAGGAGTAATCCCCCAGTACCATCAGCTATAACCGCACCCTCACCCCAAACTGCCCACAAATAATGAAAGGTAAAAGTGACTTCTTGCTGCAAAGACAGAAAGAGGGTAGAAGGGTATTCCCTCCACATCTTTCAACTCTCTTAATGTAAAACATTAACTTACCAGTTTCTCCATTTTCTGGAGTCTCTCTTCCAGTTTTGCTAGAACTCCGGCTGGTGGATTCTGGACTGGCAGCTCGAACAAACATCTTCCACTTCCCTCTTTTGGACATAAGTCTACGCATTCCGTCTTGAGACGCTGGCTGGCTGACATCAGAACATGGACTTGACCCTGACACACTACCATCTCCTTCTTCCAAAGCTCGTAATTCTGCCTACAACAAACAAGGCAACTTAGTTAGAGCATCCTTAACAATTTATCAACACGAGTAGAGAGAATGATAGCAACATAAGGATTTAAAAGATAATATATATATTAACAGGTAGGTGCTTCCTGTGGTTGGTGCTTGCATGTGGCCAACTCAAGTTTGATCCCCAGAATTCTAGATGCCCCCCCCCCGCATCAACTCCAGGAGTTATTCCTGAGCAGAGTCAGGAGTAAACCCAGATCATCATAGAGTATGGCCCCCAAACAAAGCAACAATAACAAAAAAACCAACTAATCCATCAGTGAAACATTATACTCCAAGCTCTAGTGCTAGTGAATAAAGGTTTATTCAAGATTAGAGTCAACAAAGATTCATTTAGAGGGGTAAGTTCTAGATAAATTGTAATATGTACATAACAGAAAAACCTAGCTTGCTAATACCTTTTCCAAAGCTTCAAATTTTCAAATTATTGAGGCTGGAGAGATACTAGAGGGGACTTACATGTGGCCCAGCCAGATTTTATCTATGAAACCCCACATAGTCCCTGCCAGTATTGATTCCTGTGCACAAAGTCAGGAGTATGCCCTGAGCATTGCTGCATGTGGCCCCCAAACCAAATAAATACAAATAAAACAGCCAAGGCCGGAGTGATAGTACAGCAGGTAGGGCGTTTGCCTTGCACACTGCCTACCCGGGTTCGATCCCTGGCATCCCATATGGTCCCCTGAGCATAGCCAGGAGTAATTCCTGAGTGCAAAGCCAGGAATAACCCCTGAGCATTGCTGGGTGTGACAAAAAGAAAAAAGCTTTGAATTATCAAAGGGGACGTGTCAAGGAGTTAATACTGTATAACATCTATTAACATTTTCCTTCATACTTAACAGATGAACTTGATCCAAGAAAAATCAAGAGACAAAAGATAATAAACTTGTCACCTTATAATTTTATTTTCATTGTATTTTAGGCCCGACCCAGTAGTGCTCCTGGGACCAAATATAGTGCTGAGGATTGAATCAGGCTTGGTCATGTGCAAGGCACAAGTTTTAACCTCTATACATTCTCTCTCACCCTTAAGCTTTAACCTCTATACACTCTCACCTTGAACTAGTTTTTCTAAAGTGAAGACCTCAGGGGCTAGAGCAATTGTGTAGCGGGTAGGGTGCTTGCCAAGTGGTTGAATCTTTGATCCCCAGTACCCCATATGATTCCCCCAAGCACTGCCTGGAGTGATCCCTATGGTAGAGCCAGGAATAAGCCTTGAGCATCACAGGATATGGCTCAAAACCAAACCAAAACAAAATTTATAAATCAAAATAACTTGAAAGGGCTGCAGATACCTTGCATGAAGCTGACCCCAATTTATTCCCAGAAGTGGGCATAAACCACACCAAATAATTTTTCCAACCTGCTTCCTAAAAATGGAAAGAACTTGAAAGCTTATATTCCTTTTAATTCTTCTGTTACCTTACATAAGGTAATTTACCTACCCACCATTAATGCGGATACCTGGAAAATAATTTTTACATAATTCCTAAACTAAAATCCAGGCCAACAGGTCCAGAGAATGATACTTGGAACAGCTACCATGCAAGAGATGTAATAAAGTTAAAATCTCTAGTGTTGACACATGCATCAAAGCAATGACACACTACTACTTATTTTAACTCATTTTAGACGGGCGACTACTGTCTGCAATCCCTTGTGCCAGTGTTTCTCACCACAATCCTACCAGGTGTGCATAAACAATACAAAGGGGCGTGATCTTCAGTGAGCACCACCATAAAAAATGCCTGAGGCCCAGTTTTATGACCAGGTTGTGTAAAACACCGAGTTTCTACAAAAATACTGAGCTAGAATAGGAGGAGGAGGAGGGGAAAAGCTCATGGTTGGAACTTAATCCATGTGTAGTATGTGGGAGTTCTACATCTGGTTCCCAATACCTCATGATCTTCAGAGCACCAATTCGGACCCCTAAATACAACGGAACGTGGCCCCGCCAAAATGAATAAAAGGTTATTAAAAAAAATTTTTTTAAAGGGGGAGGAGGGCCGAGAGATATTACAGCAAGTAAAGCGCTTTCACTGCATGTCATCAACCAGGATTCAATTCCCAAATATGGTCACCGGAGCCCCAGCAGTGATTCCTGAGCAGCACTACCACAAGGTATGTCCCCCCGCCCCCCGATACCAGAAAAATGAAAAGTACAGTTTTTATTGGCTGTCAAGAACCACAAATATGAGAAAAAAAATTCATGACCAAACTCTATAATAGTTTTATTTTACTGTATAAATGTAAATCTATCTTGATCTAGTATAAAATCTTAAGATAAAATCAAGACCCCCAAAAATGCTGTAAACGTATCAATATTGCAAACCACAATGCCCAAAAGAAGGGGGTGGAGAGACATGGAGAGAGGAAGAGAAAGAGGGAGAGAGGGGGAGAAAGAGCACTTGCCAAGGTGCAGAGACACTGGTGCTGGGAAATGGACACTGGTAGAGGGATGGGTGTTGGCGGAAAACTACATGACTGAAATCTAATCATGAATATCTTTGTAAGGGTCTATCTCACAGTGACTCAATAAAAAAGTATACATATAAATATGGGCTGGAGCGATAGCACAGTGGGTAGGGCGTTTGCCTTGCAGGCAGCCAACATGGCCGACCCGAGTTCGATTCTGCCGCCCCTCTCGGAAAGCCCGGCAAGCTGAGAATATCTCGCCCGCACGGCAAAGCCTGGCAAGCTACCCGTGTCGTATTCAATATGCCAAACACAGTAACAAGTCTCACGATGGAGATGTTACTGGGCCCGCTCGAGAAAATCGATGAACAACGGGAGGACCGTGACATATAAATATAAAATAAAAGCTGTAAATTAAGAACAATGAACCCACAGCATAACAGTAATGAGGAAATTTACTTTAACCCAACTTTAAAAACTTACTTTTTTCCTTTCCAAAACCAGCTCCAGTTCCAGGGTATCTTGCTCCTCTTCCTCTTCACTTTCCCCAGATTGAACAACACTACAAAGATCCTCCTGAGAAGGGTCTTCCATAGTGTCCAAAACAACTTCCTGTGGCTTCACCACTGCTGCGGCTGGTTCCACTGCTGTACTTGACTCTTTCACTTCCGAAACTGTTTCTTCTTTACAAATAACTTTTCTCCTCCATCTCTCTTCTTCCTCTTTTATTCCCTCAGGCAATAAAGGTGCAAGGAGTGATGCTGCTACCCCTTTCTTCTCCTCCTCACTGTTTGAGAGTGCTTGAATTCCTTCATTGACTTCCTAAAGAACAAATAATCTCATTTAATTCTCACAAGTCATTTTCTTTTTTTTTTTAATTTTTGGGTCACACCTGGAGATGCTCAGTGGTTATTCCTGGCTCTGCAGGATCATACAGGGTGCTGGGGATTGAACCCACATTAGCTGCGTGCAAGGCAAGTGCCATGCCCACTGTGTCATCTTTCCAACCTGTCATTTTCTCTCTTGAATGTGTCTTACATTTCCTATTTCCTAAATAAAATGACAATATTTCACACACACACCGAAAGTACTAACAGGTTTGCTTATGAGAAATAGGAAAGGAATAGATATCTTAAACTTTTTTTTTTGGAAAGGGGGCCACAGGGACACCTGGCGGTACTCAGGGGATCATAAGGGGTGCCTGGGATCAAATTCAGGTTGGTCATGTGCACGTTAAGTATCTTCCTTATCCACTACACTATTATCTATAGCTCCCGAACATGAACTTTAAAAAGATCAGAAACTTTTTCAACAAGGCTGTATATATCTTCATTTTGGGGGAGGTGAGGATGGCACACCCAGAGGTGCTCAGGTAACCATAAGGAGTCTCAAGGATCATGTCTATTAAGTCCAGGTCAGTCACATGCAAGTGCCCTAACCTCTGCACCCTCTCTGGACTCAAAAAACTTCACCTTCTGTACCTTTTGTACAATCAGATAAACTCACACAGGTCTGCCGTGGAGGTGACTTAAAGTAAAATAAATTAGGAAGCGTACTTTTTACTTAAGCATCTATTTTGGAACGGGATAAATAATAATATAGCAGGTAAGGTGCTTGCCTTCATGGCACTGGCACTTTGGCTCCCTATTTGGTCCCCAGAACCTCATCAGGAGTGATCCAGAGCAAAGCAAGGAGTTAAGTCCTGAGCACTTCTAGGGTATAGTCCAAAAACAAACCAAAAAAATGTCTATTTCCTCTATTGAACCGATTACTCTACCACCCTCAAGGAGTTGTGAAGGTTGTTAGGAAACTACCCCAAACAAAAAGCCAGTTGTAGCACAAAAGCAAAACCTCCATTAAAAATTGGAGGAAATCCAGAGGCCACTGGACAGTCTGGGCCCGTAATGACGAGATACGCGGGGCCTCACGGGATGGGGGTGGAACCGGCCCTTTCCCCCCCACCCCATCGAGACCCTGAGTCGCCGCCCACGAACAGCCTCTCTGTCTCCTGATCAATCTGCTTAACGGCCATGATACAGAGACTCAGGAACAAAACTCAGAACCCAGCAGGTTTTGGCAGAAATCTCTCCAGATTTAAGTGTTAAAATCTCGGAATTTCAAAATTGCGTGGCCACTACTGCAGTCACACGACATCAAATGCTATTCTTAACCAGCAATAGAAAACAAATTGTCTACTGTTGACTTTTCAGCAGATCTGACTGTTGGGGTAAAATCCCAAATAATAATGGTGGGTCTGGTGTCAAAATATTGAATGTGATCAAAGTAGAGAGAGAGTAATGTGGAAAAGATCCGCCCCACAGGCAGGGGGAGGGCATGGGTTGGGGATATACTGGAGTTTTTGGTGGTGGAGAATTGGCACTGGTGAAGGTATGGGTGTTTCATTGTATGACCGAGACTTAAACCCGAAAGCTTTAAAACTGCTCTCACGGTGATTCAATAAATAAAATTATAAAGAATGAAAAAAAAAATTGGAGGAAAACGACATGACTGAAATCTCACATGTGGCTTACCCAGGTTCAATCCCAGCAACTCCAAGACACTCCAGGTGTGAGCTCTGAGTAAGGAGTAAGCCTTGAGCACCACTGAGCACACAAAAACTGAGCAAACAAAAAACTAATTTATGATGAAATAAAAACACAACAGTCCTCGAACATAATCATATAGAAATTTTCAAGTTCGGTCAAGAATGTGACTGGTAATAATAGTTCATGGTTTACATGAATGAGGCCCAAGGATTGATGCCATGCACCACCAAAAGGAAAAATGTTCAAAATTTCATTAACAGTCATTATCAGTTTTTAAAAGATGATCTCGGGACCAGGGAGTTCAAAGGGCTGGAGGGCATGCTTCTTCTGTATGCAGGAGTCCTTGTCTTAAACCCCAGAGCTGTATGGCTCCTAAGCACCACAAGTACTAAATAAAAAGTATCTGATCTTGGCCAGAGATGTAGTTCTGTGGCAGAACACAACCTCATGCATGTGAAGGCTATACCTGGTATCCCCAGTACAACCTTAAAGGTAAAAGGTAAAGGTAAAGGCCCTCCCGTTGTTCATCGATTTGCTCGAGCGGGCCCAGTAACGTCTCCATTGGAGACTTTGTTGTTACTGTGTTTGGCGTATCGAATACGTCACGGGGAGCTTGCCAGGCTCTGCCTTGCGGGCAAGATACTCTCGGTAGCTTGCCGGGCTCTCCGAGAGGGGCGGAGGAATCGAACTCGGGTCGGCCATGTTGGCTGCATGCAAGGCAAACGACCTACCGCTGTGCTATCGCTCCAGCCCTTGTGTGTGTAGTACAACCTTAAAGGAAAAGAAATTTCAGCTAAATGTGGGGGCTGGAGAATACAGCATGTAGGCTACTTACCATGCACACATCTGACACAAGTTCATTCCCCAGCATCCCTATGTCCATTCAGCCCACCTAGACTAAGCCCTAAGCACTGCTGGGTTTGGCCGCAAACAAAAAAAAGTCAAAATTTTTTTCTATTAAAAAAAAAAAAACCAAACCAGATCCAGGATCTGTAAAGATAATACAGGGGTTAAAAGACTTGCCTTGCAGGAGGTAGACCAACTCCCAATCCAATTCCTGGCATCATTTAGGGCTCCCTAAGCAAGAAGACTCTGTAACCTCTGAGCAAAGTCAACTGTGACCCCAAAACAGAAAGGAGTGGGGGGTGAAGTGCCTGCATTGAGCCCAGTAAATAGCTGAAAGGGCTGAAACACATGCTTTGCATGCTAGAGTCTTCAATTCAATTCCTGACACTCCTAGACCCTGCAAGGCACTGCCAAGAGCATCCTCGGAGCACTGAACGATGAACTGCTCCTTAGCACACCTGGATATGGGCCAAACAACAAAAAACAAAACAAACAAAAAACCCCACCTCTTTCCAATGGAAGAAGCACAAGCTTGAGTTGGGTTTGAGACCCTGGAGTCAATGCCCAGCACTGCAGGATCCCAAATGGAAGTATTTTCAAATGGAAAACAAGACTTGAGTCCTGCCTGCTTTGGTGGCTCCCATGTCCTTCACAGTGACCGAAGAGACTTCTAACACACCACAAAGCTCTCCAAAGAATCCCTAGCCTAAGTAACTGATAAATGCTACACAACAAATGAAACAAAACTCTAAGAAATAAGGCCAGAGGGAAAGTACAGTGGGTAGGGCTGTTTGCCTTACAGCTCAACCCAGGCTTGATCCCTGACATCCTGTATGGTGCCCCCGAACACTGCCAGGAATAATTCCTGAGTGCAGAGCCAGGAGTAACCCTGAGCATTGCTAAGTGTAGTCTAACCACATCTCCCCTGCTGCCTGTAAAACAAACCAAAATATCCCTAAGAAACAATTACATGCTATGTCACACATCTGTGTTCTAAGGCTTCTATACATATACCAGAGTAACAAATTCTATGTGTGGAACATAAGTAAAAGGGGTTTTGGAGACAGTGTTTATGTTTCCTTAATGGGGAAAAGGACGTGTTTATTATGTGTGCAGCCCCAAGTTAAACTCCAACACTACCTGAACACAACCCAAACCAGATCTGCACAGAGTGGTTCTGAGATGTGAGCCCTATTGGAAAAGAAGAGGGGCCGGAGTGCTAGTACAGAGGGTAGGGCACTTACCTTATATGTAGTCAACCCAAATTTTATCCCCAGCACCCCATATATTCCACCAAGCACTGTCAGGAGTGATTCCAAAGTGTACAGCCAGGAGTAACCTTTGAATGTCACCGGATGTAGACCCCCCCAAACCAAAAAAGAAACAAAGAGAAAAAAAACACCTTTTAAACACTGACCTTTTTAACTTCTCGCTTGACTATGACAGGTCCACTTTTATTACTGGACACAGAAACATTCTTTTCCTTGCTATACAAATCAGTATTTATCACGAAGTTAGGCTCAGTACCTGTTATGGAACTAAACAAAAAAAAGTCTATACGTACACAGAAATATACTTGGCAAAAGAAACAGAAGGCTAATATTAACAGCAAATTATTAGACTCGAATTTCCTTCTAGATGATTTTTCAATCATTTCTTACCTGGGCTGGTAATGCTGCAATCCCTGTACCTGCGTGGCAAGATACGGGGGTAACTCCCAAGTCACTTCATTGGTTTGTGTGTTCCAATAATAGTAACAACCTGTGTTCTCATCCCAGACTTCTTGCCAATCTCCCATTTCAATTCCAACTAAAAGAAAATAGAATTTTACGGGTTGGAGAGATAGTACTGATGGTACTGATGAGGGCTTATCCCTGGCACCAGATGGCCCCAACTTCTACTGAGTATGACTTAAGCCCTCCAAACTACAAATAAATAAATAATAATAACAAGCCAAATTTTAAATAGCATACAAAAAGTTCCTCCTGCTTTCTGTCCTTATATTAGTGTTTAGCAGATTCCCAATCTCTCCCTTGGAAACCATTCCACCTTGAAAAAAAATCACTTGTCAAACAAATGTCCTTTGTCCCTTCGGGTAACAACTTCTGCCTTTGAAATAAGCTTAAAGAAAATACCTTGATGTCCAAAAATGTATTCCCAGACTGGGAAGATAGCAATGTGCTGGAGCACATACTTTGCATGCAAAAGGCCCCAGTTTGACCCCTAGCACTGTATGATCCCTGCACTGAAGTCAGGAGAAGCCCATGCTCTACTGGGTATAGCCCAAACTAAAACGCAAAAATACATTCTGAACCCAACAGACTTTTTTGTTGGTTTGCTTTTGGGCCACACCTATTGGTATTCAGGGCTTACTTCTGACTCACAAGTATCACTCCTGGTGGGCTCTAAGGACCATATAGGGTGGCAGGGATTGAAACTGCATCAGCTACAAGGCAAGTGCCCAACACTCAATAGATTTTAAAAGAGGTTTGAAGGCCTGAGAGATAGTACAGAAGTTAAGGCACTTGCCTTGCATGCACCCAATCTCAATTTGAGTCCTTATAGCACATACAGTTCCTTGAGCATAGCCTGTAAGCACTGCAGGGTGTGGTCCCAAACCAAAAAACAACAAAATCAAAACAAAAACACCCACCTAAAACTAAAACAAGCGAGGTGTCAGAGAGCTCAAAGGTATAGAACACATGCCATTCATGCCCAAGGCTCTAGGGTTCAATCCCCAGCACCACCTGGTACCCTGGGTACCAGCGATGTGAAACTCATACAAATATCAAAAAGGGCTAGAGATATAGTAAAGCAGGCACTGGGCATTTGCCTTGCATGCAATTGAACAGCTGACCTGGATTCAATCCCTAGGACCACATATGGCTCCCTGTGCACCAGCGGTAATGATCTCTGATCAAGAGTTAGGAATAAGCCCTGGTTTCCACTGGGTATGGCCCCCAAACAAAGCAAAAACCCACGAACTCTATCTAAGGGCTGAGAGCATGCTCTGGATGCTGGAAGTCTGTGTTTGATCCTGGGCATCACAGAGTTCCAAGTACCTATGGAACAGCATCAGTGCCAGAGAGCTAGGAGAAACCTATGAGTCCTGTTAGGTGTAGCCTCAAAACATACTAAAATAAAAAATACAAGAATAACCCAAAGAGCTAAGATTTTTAAGACTAAAATTTCAACACTAAATATCAAAAGATTAAGCTTACCTCCTGCCAAAGAGCACTGCGTATCATACTGCCACACCGCTGCCTGAGCTGTGTCCGTTCCATTTGATGTGGTGGCAGAAAGGGCAGAGGCTGCTGATTCCTTTGGCTCTGGTCGAGGTGGTGTTGGAGGCGGAGCAGAAGCTCCTACAGGAGCTGAAGGCTGAGGAGCTGTTATAGCATCAATCTCCTTCAGAATGAAATAATAAGTGCATCTTAGTCACATCAAGATGAGGATACACCACTTTAAATACTTCACTTAGTTCTCAGTTTCTTAAAGCAAAACTCTCATCTTCTAAATTACAAGATCCTCAAATCCTATTCTCCATTTCTCTCTTCATCTTAAAGCAGGGGGTGGGTGGTAGAGAGAGGCAGAGGGAGATCAAGGAAAGGGAAAAGACAAGTAACTCTGAGATCCAAGTACTAGAATAGTCTTAATAACAAATCTCACAGAAAATACCAATCATTTGGTGGTGGGTATACAAGAGTGCATAAAAGCAACAAATGGCATATTTCAAACTTATTTATGTCACGTAAACAAAAGAGTCTAAAACCCCAAACAAAAGTATCACTAACCGCTAGGAAGTTGGCCAATGTACTATCAATATCTGTTGACTGGTTTCCATTAGCCTCTTTGGGTTGTGCTGGTTTTTCTGAAACATCACTCTCTTCATCATCACTGTCAGCATATGCACCAAGTAAACACAGACCTCCTAGAAACAAAATGATAAACAATCAGGGACTGGAGATAGTACAGGGATCAAGATGTTTCCCTCAAACACAGCAGACCCTGGTCTGATTCCTGGCACTATATATATTTCCCAAGCTCACTGCCAATTATAACCCTCAAACACCAAACAAAAAAATAAACACTAACAATAATACCAGTCTATTGCACCAAGTATTTGAGAAAATATAACATGGTTTTTGAGAGTTATTTCAGGAGATACAGCCCCTCGCCTTGCATGTGGCCATGCAAAGTGTCTGCTTTTGATTTTTTTCATAGGCACTGTAGGTAAGACACTTGCTTGCATGCAGTCATCCTGGGGTGTGATCTGAGGTATCCCACATAATCCCTGAAACAGTGCCAGGAGTAATTCCTGAGTGCACAGTCAAAAGTAACCCCTGAGATTATTTTTGTTGTTCATTAATGAACAATCACAGAGGTACAAATTATGTTATGTAAACATTAATATAGTCAACTAGCATAGATACCTCTCAAAATCCACAATCATTCAAGCTCATAACTTTTTTTTTTACGTGAAAAACCCCATGAGGCACAGTTGTAGACTTACAAACTTCCGTGCTAGGGTTTCAGTTATACAATGATCGAGTACTCATCCTTCAACAGTGCCCATTCTCCACCACCAATGATCCCAGTAGCCCTCCCCCCACCCACTCTGCCTCTGTGGCAGGGCATTCTTTTTTGCTCTCTCTTTCCTTTAGGGTGTTGTAGTTTGCAATAGAGGTATTGAGTAGCCATCATGTTTGGTCAATAGTCTACTTTCAAAACGTATCTCGCATCCCATCAAGCTCATACTCTTAAAGCATATGGGGGCGGCGGGGGTGGGGGAAAACACAAAACAAAAACAACTTGAGGGGCTGGAGCAACAGCACAGTGGATAGGGCATTTGCCATGCACGTGGCCAACCCGGGTTCAATTACCAGCTCCCCATATGGTCCCCTGAGCACTGCCAGGAGTGATTCCTGAGTGTATTAGCCAGGAGTAGCCCCTGTGCATCATTGGGTATGACCCAAAAAGAAAAAACAAAACAAAACTTGAGTTATTTAGCAGAGGCAGGGAGATAGCTCAAAGAGCTGGTGCGTATGCTTTGTATGCAAGAGACCTGGATCCGATCTTGGGCGATGCATGGTGACTCCTGCACCTTTACAGAGCTCTATCATATCATGATTATAGAATTTATGTATTTAAATAAAACAAGGCTGCCACCAGGCAGAGGAAGAGACTGTGGTAAAAGAGGGAACCTCCTCCCCACTGGACAGCTTGGTGTCTGCTTGGGGCAGAAAAATGAGAAAATGCCAGAGAAAGGAGAGAAGGAAAATAAAATTAGGAATTAGCTTATGAAACGTTTTCAAAATTGAAAACAAAATTGTTTCCTAATTAATATTTCTCAATCAACAAGTGACAAGAAAGGTTAGGGGCAGGAAATAGTACAATGGGTACAGCATTTGCCTGGGACACTGCCAGCTTAGATCTGATGCCTGCCAGGAATGATCTGAGAGCAGAGCTAAGAGTAAGCCCTAAGCATCACCAGGTGTGGCCCAACTACAAAAAAGTACAGTGGGTAGGATGCTTGCCCTGCACACAGCTGTCTGTGTTTCAATCCCTGGTACCCCAAATGGTCCCCAGTCACTCAAGAAGCCCTTGAGTACTGCCAGTATGAGCCCTCCCGCCCCCCATCCCATGAAAAAGTATATGGAATTCAAACTGCTAAAGCCAGGACCAATGACATAGCTCAGAAGGCTCATCGTTCTTCAAAGATCTGGGCTCAATCACTAGCAATACATGATTCATTTCCCCAGCATTTCTGGAGCAACCACAGATCACCACTAGATGTATCTTCAAAACAAAAAATCTCAAAATATAAACTAACTTGTTACAGGATCGAAGAAATGGTTCAGAGGGCTAGAATGCATGCTCCACAATGCAGTAAATCCAGGTTCAGGGGCTACAGTGATAGTGCAAGGAATAGGAGCTTACTTCTGCACTCAGCAAACCCCAGTTCAATCAGGCACCAATGGGGCTGTGATTCTCAGCCAAGGGTAGCCCCAAGAGCATGGCTGGACAGAACTGCCTAACTCAGAAACTCCAGCTAGAACGAGTCATCAATATTTTCTTCAAACTCAAGTTGTTAGGTTGAGTAAACTCAAGTTGTTAGGTTGAGTTATGTGATCATTTCGTTCCCATGCTGGGGATTAGGGTCACACATGGCAGCACTCAGGGCTTAAATAGCCTTTTAAGCATAGACCGACAAAAGTAAAGATAATGCTGTATGTCAGGATGCAGCCACTCATATTTTATTTATTTATTTATTTATTTAGCTCTTTGGGTCACACCAAGCAATGCTCCGGGGTTACTCCTGGTGGTGGGTGCTTGGGGAACCATATGGGATGGTGGGGACTTAACCTGGACTGGCTGTGTGCAATGCAAACGCCCTACCCTCTGTACTATCGTTCCGGCCCATTTTTATTTTTTAAAGAGGATGGAAAATGTGGGGAGCAGGGTTGTGTTGGGACACAGCTCTCGAGATTGAAACTGGGTATCTGGCATGCAATGAAAGCACATGCTTAATCTATTTCTCTGCTCTGGAAATCTATGTTCCTATTTAAAAGCTGCTCGCTTAGAAACCATCACAGATATAATCATCCACTTCATAAGCTTTAATACTATGTGAATACTACATCCTTGGTAAAACATTCTTGCCAGGTGCGCTCCATGAAATTCTGATTACAGGGGCCAGAAAAATAGTACAACAGGTAAAGCGCTTTGCCTTGTCTGCAGCTTACACAGACTCGATCCTGGCATCCCGTTTATTCCCCTGAGCAGTACGAGTGATTCCCGAGTGCAGAGACAGGAGTAACACCTAAGCATCACTCTGTGTGTGTGGTCCAAAAACAAAAATTCTGATTACAAAATTCCCAACACGGGGGCTGAAGCAATTTTAGTGTGGAAGGGGATTTGCTTTGCAAACCTGGGTTCATTCCCAGCATTCTACATGGTTCCCTGAGCCCCACCATGAGTGATCCGAGAGCAGAGCCAAAAGTTAAGTGAGCACAGCTGGGTGTGGCCCAAAAACAAGGGGGGGGGGGGGGGAGGAGAAGACCCAAGTAGGAGCAATTAATTCCCCAGGTCCTGAATCTCCTAGGGAACTGGTTTCACAAGACTACATAGCAAACTTCTTCCGAGCACCTACTATAGACAGTAATAAATAAAAACAAATCTAACATTTGGCAGCATAGGCCTACTTAGTATGTTAATTAGACACCATAATTAATAATAAAACCTTTTTGTCAGGGTCAGAGAGACAATAGAGCAGAACACTTGCACACAGCAAGAACTTGGCACCTCATGTAGTCTTGGAATAATGCCAAGATTGATCCTTGTGCAGAGTCAGGAAAACCTCTGGTATGCCCACCGGAACAATCAGAAAACATTTTTCCTTGGAATTTGTAGTATCTTTTTATGTGTGTAGTTTTGGGGCCACAGCAGGTGGGACCACCCTGCAGAGTTCAGGGGATCATAAAATGCCGACTGCATAAAATGCATGAGTTCTTCCTCATGCCCTGTCTCCAGCGCTAATATCTCTACTTTTCCCTTAGTTTTTGGGCCACACCCCAAGTGCTCAGGAGACCATTATATGGTGCCAAGGATCAAACCTGCGTCACCTTTGTGCACTGCAAGTGCCTCACCAGCTGTACTATGTCTCTGGAGCTGCAAAACATTTTGGAACCAGATATAGTACATCAGGCAGGCACTTTGCCTTGAATTTGGCCGACCCGGGTTCAATCACTGGCACCTCATGTGTTCCCCCCCCCACCCCGTGCCCAGCACCACCAGGAGTGACATCAGAGTACAGAGGCAGAAGTAAGCCCTGAGCACCACCAGGAGGGGCCCCCAAACAAACACAAAACAACCAAAAAACCTTCATTTCTTTTAGCAAAATAATTCTATCTTTAAATGTTTTCTTGCTTTTGATTCATAGCACATTTTATATTTATATATATATGTATACACACACACAAATTTGCAGAGGAGGGGCTCACAAAACTTATAACAGCTATTTCATTTAGTTGGGGATCATGCCAGGCAGTACTCAGAGCTTATTCTCCGCTCTGGGCTCAGGGGTCACCTCTGACCATGCTAACCTGGGTTAGCTGCATGCAAGGCAAGCACCTAATCAGTTAGCTTTATTCAAATAACTAATTGCTGTAAACAACTCATGCTCTCAAAAGTTCATAAATTACATCACAGAACCTGATGCAATATTATAAGATTAAGCAGATCATTAAAGGATTACAAGAATAATGCTGAAAGGAAAAAAACCAATGGTAAAAATAAGTCAAAATACATGCAAGCTCCAATTACACCTCTGAAAATTCAGCTGCTTACGATGAAAAGGAATGGCATGAAAACAAGTGCTTGCAATACTACATAAAACTGTTTAATACTAAAAATATAAACAAAATCCTTAGCGGACCATGCTGTAGTCTCTACAGAGATGGTGCTGCTACAGAGAAGCAAAGCCCTTCTTCAGGGCCAATGTCCTTTGGGATCTTTTTCTGAGGAGTGCTGACTCCTCAAACCTCAGTATACTTAGCTTTAATGAGTGGTGCCACACAAACTGCAAATCAGCTAATTCGATTATGGACTCTTTTTGTGGGGGTCACACCCTACAGTACTCGTCAGGGGTCACGTTTGGTGGTTCTGGTTGTGACATGTACCTTTGTGGCTGCATGCAAAGACCTGTGGGCCCCAGTCAAGAAAAATCTTCCCTGGAAGTTTCAAACAGCGGTGTCTTATACACAACGTAATTACCATTCCCTCATAAAGTAATTTGAATGTATAGTGTTTTTAAGAATTTCAGTCATAGAAATTAATCAAAACAATAAAAGCTGGGCTGGAGCCATAGTATAGCATGTAGGATGCTTGCCTTGGATCCTAGGTTCAATCCCCGTCATCCCACATGGTTCCCCAAGCACTGCCAAGAGTAATTCCTGAGTGTAGCGCCAGGAGTAATCCTAAGCATCGCCGGGTATGACCCAAAAACCCAAATAACAACAATTATAAAAGTTATAGAGGGCCAGCAATAGTAAAGCTCACAGCGGACCTGGGTTGGATCCCAAGAATCGGGTTCAATTCCCCACAGCCCCCGGAGCACAGCCAGGAGTGATCCAGAACAAGGAGTAACCCCTAAGCATTGCCAAGTGCAGCCCAAAAACAAACAGCCCCCCCCCCCCCCCGCAAAAAACCCCTGATAAAACCTGTCCTAGAAGCACTTGTGTGCAATTTCTGATGATTCACGAACTTGTGATGTTCATCTATATTCATTATGTACCCCTTTTTAGAAAATGTGTAATATTATCACAGTAGCCTATTTAATTGAATAGAGCCTACTGGTATTTCCCTTTAATTTTATGTGCATAAACCACTGTATTTTTAGTGTAAGAACACTAGATATGCTTGGGATAGCTCAATGGGCTGAGCTCATGCTGTGCAGGCAGGAGGCCGTTTCCAGTATTTACTTACAAGGTGCCCGGGAAACACTGCCAGAAGTAACTACTGAGCAGAGTCCGGAGTAACTCCTGACCACCATTAATGGGATTTGGAAGCCAAACACATTTTACTTAACATGTGAGGAAGAATCTGGTGTGTTTAATAAGCCAAGTAATAAAAAAAGTACATTAAAACTATAAGGAAAAATGTACAGCACTTTCCTTGCATGTGGAGGATGAATGATCAAGTTTTGATCACTCCTGCCAGTGCCTGAGGGGACCATGAGGTGCTGGGGATCAGACTCAGTAGGAAGCCTGAGAGCGCGTGTACGTACACACACACACACACACACACACACACACACACACACACACACGGTGCCCTTAAAATACCAAGTTGTAAAAATTTATAAAATTAAGTTCAACACAGTATCAGAGAGGCCCAGAGAGATACTAGTATGGACAAGGTGCTTACTTACCTTGCATTAGGGCTGATGCAGGTTACACCCCCAGCATGGGTTAGACACCCCCAACCCCCAGCACGCCAGAAAGTGATCCCAGAATGCAAAGTCTGAAGGACACCCACAGCACTGCTGGGTGTGGCACAAAACCCAAAACAGTAGTAATAATAGAGAAAAGTGAAAGTATTTTATCTATAAAACATGCTCTCAATAACAGAAAAATCTTAAATCTCCATTTGATGAAATACAAATTAACAGCGAACCATTCAACACCCAAATAAAATACTCTAGAAAAGGTTTTTAAAAGCATACCTGTTGCTTTAACAGCTGTGGGTCTGGCAGTCATGACTGGTTTAGGAGGGGTCGGAACAACTCTGGGAGCCTCCACAACCACCACTTCCTGTTCATCTGAATTTGTTAAAAAAAAAAAGTCAGACAGGACCACTGAAAGCAGGTGGCAAATCTGTGATGACCTTGTAAAGCCCGTAGTTTCATTATTTAAAGTCAGAAAAGGATAAATAAGCATAGTGCACCACCTTCCACCTGCCTTCTACTGCAAAGAAGGTACATGGAGAGCCAGAGGGATAATAAATAACAGGCAGAGCGTTTGCCTTGCACCCGGGTTCGATCCCAGAGCACAGAACTAGGAGTAAACCCTGAGCACCACTGGGTGTGCCCTCCCTTCGCCTGAAGCACACTGAGAAGGGTCTGAGTCAAAGTAAGGTGACGGTTTTGCCCGTGGGCAACCAAGTTCGACCCTCCCCTCCCCTAGGGTCCACGCGCCCCTCTGTTAAGAGTTCTGTGAGCACAGAGTCAGGAGTAAGACCTAAGCACCACCGGGTGTGCCCTCCCCCGCAACCAAACGTAAAAAATTCGAGATCGCCAGCACCTCTCCCCCACCCCCATTCAAAATATGCGGGCACCCACACCCCTCCACGTCTTCAAGGCCAAGAAACAAGCACAGCTGTAGCAATTCAGCGCCGTTTTTTCTTGTCCCCCGCCCCCCGCAGGAACAACGAATCGAGGTGGGTTTTCTGAGGTTGCTTTAGGGCTTTTTTTTTTTTGGTTTCTTTTCTGCAGTATTGGGAGATCGAACCCACCACGTCTCCAGCCAGCCAAGCCACGTGCTCTCCCGCTAGGCCACCTCCCCGAGAGATGGTTTTTTTTTTTTTTTTGCTGTTATAGTAGGTTTGATTTCAATTCCTTTAACGCCTGAAACTGAAATGGTGGTGGCTAAGCCAGAGGCTCACTCTGGGGAGAGCGCGACACACACACACACACACACACACGAGCTCCACGTCTCCAGACACACAGACACAGACACAGACACACACACACACACACACACACACAGGCTCACTCTGAGGAGAGCGCGACACACACGAGCTCCACGTCTCCAACACACACACACACACACACACACACACACACACACACACACAGCCAGAGGCTCACTCTGAGGAGAGCGCGACACACACACGAGCTCCACGTCTCCAACACACACACAAAAAAGCCAGAGGCTCACTCTGAGGAGAGCGCGACACACACACACGAGCTCCACGTCTCCAAAACACACACACATACACACGAGCTCCACGTCTGAGGAGAGCGCGACACACACACGAGCTCCACGTCACACACACACACACACACACACGAGCTCCACGTCTCTAGAAATCGCGCCGATTACCTGCCTTCTGGGGGAGGGGGGCAGGCCACGGGGGCAACTCACGCTTTGGCCAGAATTAAAAATAAATTAAAAAAAAAAAACCCACGGTTCGCTTCCTTCTTGAGAGGACCGACAGAGTACCAGCAAAAACGAAAGGGGAAATAAGAAATAAGATTTTTTTTTTTAAAGGAAACGAAAGGCCCGTTTCCTCGGCGGAAACGCTCTCCCGGCCAGCGTGGTCGTTGAAGGGAACGGGGGGTGGGGAGGAAGACACTTGGGCGCCCGGGACCGACAACACCTGCACCAGAGAGAGAGATGGCGATGGCGCCGCCGCCGCCCTCCCCGTGCTCTGTCTCCCTCCCCGGCGCCCACCCGGAGGCCTAGGCCTCAGCGAGCCCGCGCTCGAGTGCCTCTCGCCCCGCCTCAGGGCCGCGTCCCCTCACCTTCCACTGCAGGCGCGTCGTCGGGGGCCGCGGCGGCAGGCACCGCGGGCGTCGTCGTGGTCGTGAGCGCCGGCGCGGGCGCCGCGGGGGCCGCGGGCGGTGCAGCAGCCACCGCCACGGCCACGGCCGCCGCCGCCGCCGGGGCCGGGGCCGGCTGACTGGGCGCCGGCACGACCGGCGCCGCCGTCGAGTCCGGTTCGGGGTCGGGTTCCGGCTCCGGGTCCCGACCCGGCGTGCTGCTGCGAGGCCCCGGCGGAGAGAGCTGCAAGATAGGCCTGCGGCCGGGTACCGCCCGGGACTTCTTCCCCATCGCGAGCCTGGGCGCGAGCCACGAGCGTCGAGCAGCCCAGAGGGGCGGGCACTGCGCGCGGGCGCTGCGTAATCAATATTCATACATCGCGATACCGCCTCTGAGAGACAGGATCCGCTTCTAACCGGCGGCGGGGGGTGGGGGGGGCGGGGAGGGCGGTGCCGCGCGCCCGCGCAAGCGCCGTGCGCTCCGCGCGGCTCGCCGCGCTTCCTCCCCAGCACACCCCAAGGGCGGGCTTTGCCCACGAAGCCAGATGATTGGTCGCTTTGGACCCGTTGAAGGAGCCAGTAGCCAATGGGAAAGAAAAAGCGGAGTCAGGCTCGCGCCAATAGCGCCGAGGGCCTGAAGTCCGAGCGAGGTGGCCGTGACTTCCGGCCCCACCCTTACGGTTTGCCGCGGAGTCTTTTCTTTACCCGCGTCGTCCTCCATTTTGTACCTGTTCTTGGCTCCTTATTCGTCATCGTCTCGGGACCTGTTCCCTGTCCTCACTTTTTACCCTTACTAAATTGCTTGGTAGCGTGGAACGTGGTTTATGCTTTTGTAAAAAAAATTTCTTTTTCTTACGGAGCACAAAGATGCCATCGGTTACATTTTTGAGCACCTGATGGGCGGCGGGGGCGGGGGGAGGGGTGGAGGGACAATCGCAGGACCTTTCGACAGGCGAGATGAGAAAATAATTGTTCGGTTAGAATCCATGAACTTTTCCAGTCTGGACACTGGCCGCCTCACCGTTTGGGTTTTGGGTTGGGTTCGGTTAAGGGGGAATTTTTGTTTTTGTTGTTATTTGTATCTTGGTGTTTGGGGCCATAACGAGCACCTGGGACCCAAGGTTTTACTCTCCCGGCTCTGCACTCAGGCATCTCTCTTCGTGGTACTCGGGGGCCCATGTGTCTTTCTGGCGACCCAACACGACTTGGCCAGGTGAAGGCAGGTGCCCTTGCAGCTCTTCGAGCTTTACTCCTCCAGGAATAGCTTCTGCACTGCGTTAAATATTGTTAAATATTTGGGGCGAGGCGGGGGGAGGAAGGCTCCTAAGTGTTGCTCAAGGGATGCGGCCAGCCAGGTCTGCAATAAGCTGCTGACCCCAGGATTCAGTCCTCCACGGGCCCTGCAATGTCAGGACCACAAGGGAATTCCTGAAGTGCTTGGGGTCTTCAGGGCCACACCTAGTGGTGCTTGGGGGGGAGGGGGGAAGGGGCGGAATACTCGGGACACCTTGTGTCAGGAATGGAATCCAGGTTGGGGATCAGCAAGGCCCTAACCTCTCTCCTGCCCACCACTTCCCAGAAGAAATTATTTTCATTGTTCAACAAATTCTTTACTCCCTTTCTTCCTTTTTCTTTTTCCTTTTGTGCCACAACCAGCATTGCTCAGATCTTTCTTCTGACTCTACCCAGGGATCATCCTAGTGGGGTTTAGGGGACCGTATGGGGTGTTGGGGATGGAATCCAGGCCAGCCATGTTCAGGGAACTGTCCTACCCGCCATCCTATCTGGCCCCACCAAGTACCTTTTTTAACCTGTAGGTCTCAGAGCTGAGTCTAGAGCTTTACCCATCTCTCTAAATTAACTTTGAGGACTCTTTTTAAATTGCCCTAGATTATTTTCGTTTGGGAGTTACGGCAGTGCTCAGGGCTTATTCCTAACTGCTCAGGAATTACGCCTGGCGGACTTTGGACCATACAGGGTGAGGAGTGCTAGGCAACCGCCCTACCCGCTGTGCTATCTAGCACTCAGATTTTTTACGTTGTTTTTAGAGGCTATATCTGGTGGTGCTCAGTAGCTACTTGCAGTTCTGGGTTCAAGGGTTGCTCCAGGTTATGACGGAATGAACTAGGGATAGCTAATGTTAGGCATGGGCCTTAACTTCTCTCTCTACAGTGAATTTTTGTTGGTAGTGTTTGGGACACAGTACAGTAGCTTTAAAGATAAGATGGGGGGGGCTGGAGAGAGAGCACCGCTGGTAGAGCGGTTGCCTTGCACGCGGCCGACCCGGGTTTGATTCCCAGCATCCCATATGGTCCCCTGAGCACTGCCAGGAGTAACTCCTGAGTGCAGAGCCAGGAGTAAGCCCTGTGCATCGACCGGTGTGACCCAAAAAGCAAAAAAAAAAAAAAAAAGATAAGATGGGGGGACAGGGGACGGGGCAGGGGCTTTGCTGGGAAATGTACACTGGTGAAGGGATGGTGGTACTCTGTATGACTGAAGTCTAATCATGATCAACTTGTAAGGGTTCTATCTCACAATGACTCAATTTTTAAAAAAATAATAAAAGACAAGATCAGAGCTGAAGTGATACTACGAAGGATAGGGAAAACATTTGTCTTTTTTTTTTTAATTTTTATTAGTGAAACACCATGAGGTACAGTTGTAGACTTACAAATTTTTGTGCTTTGGTTTCAATTATACAATGATCGAGTACCCGTCCCTCCACCAGTGCCCATTTTCCACCACCACTGATGCCAGTATCCCTCCAACCCCCCATTCCCCCTGGCTCTGTGGCAGGGCATTCCCTCTGAGAACATTTGTCTTGCATACACCTGACCTGCTGGAGCGATAGCACAGCGGGTAGGGCGTTCGCCTTACAAGCGGCCAACATGGCCGACCCGAGTTCGATTCCTCCGCCCCTCTCGGAGAGCCCGGCAAGCTACCGAGAGTATTCGATATGCCAGACACAGTAACAACAAAGTCTCCAATGGAGACGTTACTGGGCCCGCTCGAGCAAATCGATGATCAACGGGAGGGCCTTTACCTTTACCTTACACCTGACCTGTACAGATTGTTACAGCAGGCTGGTCACCAGGAGCTTACATTCGATAGACTGGGAACACCTGCAGGGATTGCCCCCAAAACCTCCATCCCCCAACCCCTCCTCCCCGCCCCCTCGAGCCCTGTAAGCTACCGAGGGTATCCGGCCCGCATGGCAGATAGACCCTGGCAAGCCATCCGTTATGTACCAAATATGCCAACAGCAGTAGCTAAAATGGGTCTCATTTCCCTAACCCTGAAGGAGTCTCTATCTGAGTTGGAAAGAACAAAAGGGCTCCGACGAAGCAGATAGCGCTCAAGTCAACAGGCAGGAAGGCACCCCGCAAGCAGCTGACCACCAGGGTGGCCCGCAAGAGCGTGCCAGCCAAGGCGGTGTGAAGAAGTACCGACCCAATACGCTCTACTCAAGATCCGCCAGCTGCCGTTCCAGCGGCTGGTGTGGGAGATCATGTAGGATTTCAAGACCGTCCTGCATGTCCAAGTCTCTGTTACTTCTGCTGGTGCTGGGGAATTGAGACCAATGCATGTGTTCCATCCCCTGAGCCGTCTCTTTACCCATACCATACATTTTGGGGGGAGCGTGGGAAGGAGTTGGGCCAGCTGCTCCCGGTACACTGCTTGGGAGAGCATGCAATTACCGGGGATTGCACCTGTGACTCTACATGCAAAGCATACACTTCAGATCTCTCCCCAGTCCTGTTTGTTTTTGTTTTGGGGCCACACCCTTCAGTGCTAAGGGCTCGCTCCTGGCAAGCATGGGGGACTATATAGTGCTGAGGATCTAACCTGTGTCATGTGCAAAACAAGAACCCTCCCTACCTGCTGTACGATCTCTCTGGCTTATGGGACTGAGTGATGTTCCCAAGCATTGTGTGTTTAATGATAAATGGACCAGCGGACTAGAAAAGCACTGATACAGACCTGCACACACCACACACAGCCTCAGGCCTGACTGTAGAGGTCCCTGTTCGAGGAAGAGGAATGGCTCATCGTGTCTGCTCCTGTGATTTTTTTTTCTTTTTGGGTCAACCTGGCAATGCACAGGGGTTACTCCTGGCTTTGCACTCAGGAATTACTCCTGGCGATGCTTAGGGAACCATATGGGATACTGGGAATTGACCCCAGGTCAGCCACGTGCAAGGCAAACGCCCTACCAGCTCTACTATCGCTCCAGCTCCTTCTCCCATGATTTAAGAATTCCAGAAGCCAATCAGATGTTCCCTCAAATTCCCTAATCCACTCACTACCCATTTTTCAATTCTAGTCTACTTTCCCAGATAGCTTACAGGAACCCCAAGTCCTAAGCCCCAACCTGATGTAAGATTTATTTTCAGGGGAAACAGTAAATTCATTAACCTGGGGCTCAGACCCAGAATACAGTGTTGCTTGATCTTGGGGTCCCTCGTGGTTCAGATGTGGGAGCGAGCCACCATTTGTCAGGGATCAAACTCAGTGTCACAAGCATGCTAGGACTGTACCGAAGCCACATCCCAGGCCCCTGAGCAAACCCATTCTTACACTAACTCTAGATTCTCAAGTTTTGATTTTCAAGCAGCAAGCAACCACACATTTGGATGAAGTAACAACCTCGTCTCACCCTCTTTCTGACTATAAAAACATTCCATTTTCAGGAATGGGGCCAGAGCTCAGTGCAAAGCACAAACCCAGCATGTATGGCACCCTGAGTTCATCTTCCACCCACTCCACCCTTAAGAAAAACCTTTCTGCAGGGTGCCTGTCTCCAACTTCAACTCAATGGTGTTTGGACACCCCATCTACCTGCCCCCGGTCATCCTCCATCCTTTTTTCCAGTTCCAACCTGCAAAACCATTTCCTCACCAGTCCTGTCCCAGACTCAGTCAGCTCCTTTTTTATGTGGGGGGATGGGAAGGGAAATCACATTTAGCTGCACTCAGGCCTTTAGGCTTTGTGCTCAGTGATTGCAGCAGGTGGGGTTTGGAGACCACATGTGGTTCTGGGGATTGAACCTGCTCAGGTGGCATGCAAGATAAGAGTCTTACTTGCCATACAACCAAAAGAAAAGTTGGGGCCAGGGTGATAGCACAGTAGAGAGGGCGTTTGCCTTGCACAGGGGTTCAATCCCCAGCATCCCATATGGTCTCCTGAGCACCACCAGGAGTAATTACTGAGTGCAGAAGTTTTAACCCCTGAGTGTCATCAGGTGTGGCTCAAAAAAGAAAAAAAAAAGTTGGAAACTTTGTTTTAGAGTTTAGACCACACCAAGGGTTACTCCTGGCACTATATCAGGGATCACTCCTGGAGGTGCTCTGTGGTGCTGGAAGTTGAACCCCAAAGTCAGCAGCATGCAAGGCAAGTAAGTGCTCTACCCACCCTACTCTCTGGCCCTAAAATGTTTGAAACTTTATTTAAATACCATGATTCACAAGGTTGTTCATTAGAAAGTTGTTTCAGGCAATCAATGTTCCAACACCAATTCCACCACCAGTATGACCTTCCCTGTTTTTTGTTTTCTTTTTGGGTCATACCTGGTGATGCACAGGGGTTACTCTTGGCTCTGCACTCAGGAATCATCCCTGGCGGTACTCAGGGGAACCATATTGGATGCTGGGAATTGAACCCGGGTTGGCCACGTGCAAGGCGAACACCCTACCCGCTGTGCTATTGCTCCAGCCCCTTCCCTGTTTTCCTTACCCACCCTCAAGCTTGCCCTTTCCCAGGCATAAAATAATTTCCTTTATTTTACTTTTTACAACAAAATGGCAAATGGAATTATCAAAAACGACAAGTAAAATAAAACTTGTAAAAATTGCACAATGGTGTTACCAAAGTCATTGTCTGAGGATTCACTGAGCTGGTTGGTGCTAGGTGAACCTTCTGTGTTACTGTTTTCATCCAGAGCGAGCTTAGTGGCCTACGCAGTTTCCCATCAGATTTGCTGTACTCCTACTGAGCTGTCAGTGCTGTGAAACTTGGAGAAGCCATGTGATTGCATGCTCCGGGAGCTGTGGAGCTGGGACAAGTCAGCACTTTGGCGTCTCTTTGAGATAAGTCGTGGAGCTGAGCTGTTCGTGTCAGAGGATGCCAGGTGTGGGTATGGGTTGTGGAACCTTTTGACAGGGCAATGAATCAGCCCTTCCCCTTTCCAAGAAGGCCCTTGAGTTCTTTGTCCCAAGACCGGTCTATCTGGCACAACCCAGCAGCTTGATGTTTCTCCAAAATTAGTCCTTTGGGTCCAGAGACAGTACATAGTACAACAGGTAGGGCACTTGCCTTGCACATGACCAGCATAGGTTTGATCCCAGCAACCCATTAGGCCATGAGTCTACTGGAGTAATCCTTGAGTGTAGAGCCAGGAAAAATCCGAGCACTGCCAGGTGTGGCTCAAACAAACATGGGGGGAATGTTGGGGGAAATAAAAAGTTGCAGATCCAAAGTGTGAGAAATTTAAAAAACCGGGGTACCTTCTGGTCTGACAGTAAAAGTGAGGTAGACAGAAGAAAAGGAGAAAAGATTGGTCGAGTGGAGTTCATGCTCAATTCAATCAGATAATCAGTGGTTGAATAAATAGCAGTACTTCTACATTAAAAAAAAAAAAAAGATTGGTCGAGAGAGAGGTCAAAGAGCTAGAAGATATATGCCTGCATGTAGGAGCCCTGGATTTGATTCCCAGCATGGCATAATGACCAAACACTGCTAGGTGTGGGCCCCCTAGGGCTATGAAAAACAGATCAAGGGATATATACACGAGACAACCAGATCATTTCCTTAAAAGATAAACTTTAATATACAGAATAAAATCCAAGATTTTTTTCACCTCCCCCCAGTTGGTTGGCATGAATGCTTTTGAATCTGACCAGTCAAGTTTCTGTTTTGGCCCGATACATTATTAGACAGTCTGATCAAGTCCGGCTTGATTATCATACATCATAGAAGTTAACAATTTACTCTAAAAATTACAGATAGGGATTTCCAATTTTTTTCTTAGCTAAGAGTTTACTTAACTTTAGCCTCAGAATCAGATTCAAAGTAAGGCATTTGTTTGACAAGCTGGTCATCATTTTAGGCTTAATTTAGGCAAATGACTGAATACTTTATTGAATATCCTACAAAAACTCCACAATAAATAATGCAAAGAGTATGCAAAATCATTTGCCTGTTTGCAATACAGAAAATACATGTCAGTTTTGGACCAAAATAATTCCATTGAAATACAAAAAAGTGACATGACAGAATGAAAAGATTTGTTGTGACAGCTTTGGGTGATCAGCCACAACAAACCCACGACCAGAGCTAGTAAGGAAAGTGAAGGTGAGTTTTAATTTGCAGATAAAGAATGTCTTCGGAACTTTAAAAAAATATAAACTCTAAAAAAGCTTGTGAATCATATACAAAAGCAGCTGTTTGAGTCCAAGGTTGAAAACCAGCAAGTGTATTAGCACTGCCAGCAAATACAAGGCCAGTGACACCCCTGTCCTCGTGGTCATCGCTCCCACAGAATGCCGACTCCCCGACGTCCCTGCTGTCCCAGTCATTTATGGGCAGGAGAATCAGCCTGCAGTACAGGGTTCCCACGGGGGAAGTCTGAAGCCCCAAGAGGCACCACATGGTTACAAAGGCCAGGCAATCATCTGGATCACAAGTTCCGGCGATATAATAAATCCCGGGTTGCCTTATCAACTTTTTGCTGGTAGTCTTCCAATTTGTCAAGAACTTTCTGCGACAGCTGGAAGAAAAAGAAAAGGATTAGAGAATAGCTCAAAGACAGAGAAAAACTAAAGTTACAAATCACCTATTTTTCTGCCTTTTTTGGGCCACACCTGGTGGTTTTTAGGGGTTACTCCTGGCTCTGCACTCAGGAATCACTCCTGGCAGTGCTCTGGGGACCATATGGAATGCCAGGGATCGAACCCAGGTTAGCCACATGCAAAGCAAACACCCTACCTGCTACACTGTGGTTCCAGCCCCTTTACTGATCATCTTGACATCACCAGATTCCCTCATCTTTATTTAATTTGTGACTTTACTAATAAAACCAGAATATCCTATCATGTATCTCCCCAAACTTGGAATTTACTTATTTATTTGGGGGGCGAGAAGAGGGCACACCCGACTGTGTTCAGGGACTATTATGTGGTGCTAGGGTAAGAACCCAGATTATCTGCAAGTAAGGCAAGTAAACTACCCATTGTACTCTCTTTCTAGCACATCCAAACTTGGAGTCTTAATTTTCTAGATATGCATATCATATAGGAGTATTTCTATTTATTTCATTTTCCTTCTCACACCAGTGTTTTCCCCCTCCTTTTGCAGTACTGAAGCTTCAATACATGTGCAGGCTTTACCACTGAGCCGCTTCATTGGCTCCACACACACCAATAAGTATATCTACCTGTATCTATTTTATTTACTTTAATTTTCTGTTTTTTGGGCCACAGCTGGCTGTGCTCAGGGTTTACTCCTGGCTCTACACTAAGGGATCATACTTGGGACATTACGGGATACCAGGGATGGAAGCCAGGTCAGTCGCATGCAAGGCAAATGCTTTACTGATTGTACTATCTGTCTAGCCCTTGATGATGATGATGATTACTATTATTTTTGGTTTTGAGGCCATACCCAGTGATGCCCAGGGGTTACTCTTGGCTCTGCCTCAGGGTGCTGTGTGGGGCACCATATGGGATGCCGCAAATCGAACCTGGATCGGTTGTGTGCAAGGCAAACACCCCACCTGCTGCATTCTCTGGCCCCAATTAAAAAAAAAAATTGGTTCTTGGGTCTCACCCAGCAATAGTCAAGAGTTACTCCTGGCTGTGCTCAGGAATTACTCCTGGCAAAGCTTAGGGGACCATATGCGGTGCTGGGGATTGAATCTGAGTTGGCTGAATGTGTGACAAGCAATCTACATACCATACTATTGCTCTGGCCCTTTAGTTTTTTTGAAAGGTGCCACTCCTGGTGGTGCTCAGGGGACCATGCAATACTGGGGATCAAAGCATACACTAGTCCATTATTCCAGCCTCGATCATTCCCCCTGCCGGCTCCCCACCCCCCCACAGCGGCTCAGGGCTTACTTCTGGCTGGCCCTGCCATGTATAAGTCAAGTGCCCTATCTACTTTACTAACTCCAGATCAGTATTTTTAACAGAGGCATTAGTATTCTTGTCCCAAAACCAGAGAGGCTCTGCTGTGCTTTAACTACCTGCTAAGAGAAATACAGAATTGATAATTGTTACATAATCTCGTTTTCATTATTTGTTACCATCTGATTTATCCAAAATCCATACATCTGATTAGTAAAGACACAGGTACCCTTTTCTCTCCATTGACCAACTCAAAAAAAAAAAAAAGTTTAAAAAAACCCAAATATCACTTGGTCAATACTCTGAATAACTAGCTAAGAATCACTGTGCTAGATGGGCCAGAATTATAGTACAGCAGGTAGACTGTTTGCCTTGCACGTAACCAAGCTGGGTTCGATCCCTGACACCCCATATGGTCTAAGTCCACCAGGAGTGATCCTTGAGCACTGCCAGGTATGGCCCGCAAATAAAACAAACAATAAAGAGAATCACTGGGCTAGATAGAAACATTTGGTTAGAGTAGACAGTCAATGAGCTGAGAATTTGTTTTAAATGCAGGAGACACAGGTTTGGAACCTGGGTTCAAGCCCCAGCACCCCATGGTCCATCCCTCCCAGCACCGCCTGGAGCAACCTTCCTGGCAACCACTGCTCAATCACATCTGTGAGATATGTCAAGTTGAACTGATGAGTAAGTCACCAGGACAAAGCATCTGTCTGAGTAACAGAAACACCATCATTTTGTGTGTTTGCTGGCCAAGGTGGCTGTGTATGCTGAGCCCCCTCAGGGGTAAGTGCTTCTTATACTCGTTTCCTGGCAGGGTCTGCCCAACTGAACAATCCTGCAGAGTGAACTGCCTGCCATCTGACGCTGTAAAATTCAAGCCCACACTTCTTCCTAGGGCTTTCTGGGTGCAAAGGTGCATGGGTGCTCTGCCTGACTCAGGGCAATGAACAGGAGGAGCCTTCCCTTCAACTCCAGAGGAGCCAGGAGCAATCACCAAGAGTTCCCACTCACGCCCAGGCCCAACAGCAGAGGTGCCGGGGAAGGAGTCACTTACCGCGAGATTGTGGCTATTGGCAGTGTTCTCCCCCAGAGCCTGCAGAAGCTGGTCGATGGATGAATAGGGCAGCCATACCATTGGGGCAGTTGCGGACAGTGGAAACTGGAAACAAAGTTATTACTGAGGAAAGCCTGAAAAGTGCATCATTTCATTTCTTCTTTATTTTCATTTTTCTTTCAGTTTATTATTTTTACTGTTTTAGGGTCATACCCAGCAGTGTTTGGGAACTATATGTGGTGCTGAAGGTTGGACCCAAGTCAATGCCGAGCAAGGCGACCGCCACCCTACTCCTGGACTATCCCTCTAGCATTTAATTTTCTCGTTTCTGAAGTATGTCATCTCTCGTGGGTAGCCTCTGTCACAGGTCTTCACAAAAAATGTTTTAGTGAGGGGGTCTCCTGAGCACTACTGGGAGTGATTTCCTGTACACTGTCACGTACTGCCACCCTGACCCCTTCTCCAAGAAACAAAACCAGCCCTGGATCTGCTGCTTGGAGAAGGAAATGAGAAAACATTCGCAGATACTCAATACAAGTTCCTGGCACATGAAAATCACTATTTTGTTCTTATTTATTTTCCAAATAACAATAGTCACATTCCTTTGATGAAAGAGAAAAAATAAAGCAATGTATTTTGTTTTACTATTTAGTTTTTGGGCCACATTTGGCAGTGCTCAGGAGTTGTTCCTGGTTCTGCACTCAGGAGTGACACCTGGCAGAGCTCAGCGGAGCACATGTAGCCCTGGGGATTGAACCAGGGTTGGCCGATATTGAACTGGGATGGCGGCATGTAAGGCAAGTGATAAGTGATTCCTTTACTCCAGAATTTTTTCTAGCCCTGGGTTATTCAAGAATTATTCCTGGTGGTGCATGGGAACCATATGGGATGCCAGGGATCGACCCAGGTTGGCCACATGCAAGGGAGACGCCCTATTAGCTGTATTCTCTCTCCAGTCCGAGCATTTCCATTTTTGAAAAAAAAAAATTATATGGGGGGTTGGAGACAGTACAGGGGGTGGGGAGCTTGCCCAGCATATGGTCGACCTGGGTTCAACTGCCAGCACCCCGTACGACCCTGAGTCCTGCCAGGGATGATCTCTGAGCACCAAGCTAGGGGTAAATGCTGAGCACCACTGGGTGTGACCCAAAAACAAAAACAATTTTCATTCTGGGTGACACCCTGTGGTACAGCATACTCAGGGACCAGATGTGGTGCTGGGGATTCTAACCTGGGTCACAACTGCTGCAGCAACACACAAGGCCTGACCTTCTGTGCTGGCTCTGGGGCCCATGGACTTCCATTTTAAAAACAGGGAAGCTCAGAGCGCCAGTTCTTGATCTTACAGAAAAACTAGGTTTATATAACGGAAGAGTTAAAGGTTATTTTCATTTACTCTTGGGGCTCTAGTGCTAATGCAGAATAAACTGTTCCTGCGTACCTCAATCCCAAAGTACTGATGTCCTTTGCCTAATACAGCATCCACATATTCTGACACCAAATCCACGGCTTCTTCTAAAAGGTCATAGTTCAAGTACAGTCGGAGCAACTCAGCAGCGTCAACCTGCTGTAAAAAGTCAGTGATTACTTGTCTCAGAGAGATGCTGCAGCTAAGCCATCACGGGTACACTCAGGTGGGCCGAGATCTCCCCTGCCAGGAGGCCCAGCACCTCAGTCAGTCACCCAACAGCCTGACATACCCAACAGCCCAGTTCCATGACTAGTTCCAAGAGACACCAAGACATGTTCTGGGAGCATGACAGTTCTGAATTTCACAGCACTGACAGCTCAGCAGGAGCACAGAAAACGTGGTAGGAAAGTTACATAGAAGCCCACTAAGCTCAATGAGCGAAAACAGTAACACACAAGGCTCAACTAGAACCTAATAGCTCAGCGACTCCTCAGGCAATGACTTCTCACAGTAAACCACTGTGAGACGTATGTTGTAAACAACGTAAAATAAATTATTTTGTGCCTGGTAAGGGGGTAGGCATGGGGAGTGGGTGGGAAATTTGGGGCACTGATGGAAAGTCACATTGGTGGTGGGATTGGTGTTGAAACATTGAATACCTGAAACTACTGTATCATGAACAACTTTGTAAATCAGTGTCTAAACAAAGTCTTAAAAAAGTCAGTGATTATAAGCATCTAAGACATCTGTTTATTTCCCTCACACCTGGACATGGGCTTTACACAGTATGCCAAGTCGAGTGTTCAATACACTGACATTTCTACTGACCAATACAAATAAACAAGTACTTTGGTTTACTACCATCTTGGCATATGGGCTGGAGGGTCGAGCCCAGTTACTTTTGGGCATCTATCCCCATCTCCCTCATTCTGAAATCCAAGACATACTTAATTTTATTTTTGTCTTTGTTTTTGCTTTTGGGCCACATTCAGAGATGATCAGGAGTTACCCTAGCTCTGCACTCAGGAATTACTCCTGGTAGGCTCGGGGGAAAAGACTGGGGATCAAACCGGGGTCAGCTGAGAGTAAGGCACATCTAACTGCTGTACCATTGCTCTGGACCCTAATTAACTGTGTTTATCATAGTCTGCTCTCCAGTCTTTTGGTAATTGTTGTTTTGGGGCCATAACGAGCAGTGCTCAGGGCTTACTCGTGGCTCTGCACTCAGGAATCTCTCATGGCAGAGCTTTGGCTCCACATGTGGTGCGTGGGATCGAACCAGGGTCAAGCTATGTGTAAACTATTGCTCTGTTCCCCCAAAGATCATCTTCTTATACTAAGACACCACTTACCTTATAACTGTTTATGAGCCAATTAGGCAGAGGCACTCCATGAGTCAAGAGCTTCTTGATTACACAATGATGGTATAAATTATTCTGGACTTTATACCTGTCCAGGTAGGTGGATAATAATCGCCACGCTTCATCTGTAGCACTTCAGAAAAACAAGAATGACCAGTGAAGTTCAGATTACGTTTTTCTTTTGTGGATCAAACCCAGGACTTTACTTACACATGCATGCAAGGCAAGTTCTCTACCTCTGCTGATCTGAGTTCCAGATTATTTTTGTTTTGTTTTTATTTTGGTTTTTGTTTCATGAGTAATCCCAGTGGTACTCAAGGATTACTCCTACCTCTGCCTTATGATACTCAGGGGACCATATGGAAAGCAGGGACTGAAACCTGGTAGGCTGCACGCAAGGAGAACCCAGGAGAACACAGTCAGGTGTGGTCCCAAATGAAAAACTAAAGATAAAAATGAAAAGGCAGGATGCTACAATTTCAAATTAGTAAGCAAGGGAAATTTACTAGAGTTGGCAGAGCAGTCTGAGGGAGAAGCTGAAGAATTTTCTGCTAGACATGAGTCACACACAGTCAGGAAGTACTCAGAGCAGGAACTCATAAGATGTGGCTGGTGAGTTGCAGGTCAAGTTGGCTAGACTTGAGACAGCGGTTCTAAGTGGATATAGGAATGACCACCTCACAGTGGGAGGAAAACAGCACACTCCGGAAGCTTTGTAAACATGGACTTCCAACCACATATTATTCTTCCTGGGTTTTCTTTTGGGGTCACATTGGCTCTGAACTCAAGAATTACTCCTGCCAGGCTCAGAAGATCATGTGGGGTGGCGGGGATCAAACCCAGATTGGCCACATGCAAGGCAAGTGTCCTCCCTACTCTATACTACCCATTGACCTCTCTTTTTTGATTCTCTTTCAGGAAGGGAATAGGAAGAATACATTTCATAGTCCAAGATAACCTGGCTTAGACAATGCTATCAAACATTACCTGGTGGTATTACCCCATCAGAAATTGTTTTTGCAATAGAGTTTGGCAAAACTTAGCCAAGAAAGAAATCAGCAGAAGACAACAGAGTTAAACAGAATGCGGAGACAGGAAAGGCTTGGCAGGGTGGGCTGAGGCCCGGGGCAGTACCTGGACTCCTTTGTGGTGATGACGGACGAGAGCTGATTGGCCGCGAGCCAGGCCCAGGCTTCTGCTTGTGCTGCCTCTCCGCCAAACTGCAACTTGATGCACCTGCAGCGACATGGTGTCGCATACAGTGAACACACGTGTCAAAACATGTCTTGCTATTTGGTCACCAAAACTAGAGAGCAAAGTGTTTACTTCGCTGAGTCCACTACTGGGACACTGGTTCTTCCTTCACCCCCACAGTGACTTTACCAGCTGACCCACTAGATCACTAACAGCTTTTCAGGGGAGGATTTTGGGCCTTTCCTGGTGGTGCCCAGGGGCTCTTACTCCTGGCTCTGTGTTCAGGGGTCACTCAGGAAGACCATAGGCAGTGCTGGTGAGTAAATGGGTCAGCGGTATGCCTCACCCCTGGACTATCTCTCTGGCCCCAGGTCACTGACAGTCTTAACATGCCATTGATGAGGCTGGAGAGAGAGAGAACTCAACAGACTGAGTGCATGCTCCACACGCAGGAAGTTCAGGTTCAATCCCTGGCACCACATGGTCCCCCAAATACCACTGACAGTGTCAGGAGCAGCCTGAGTAGTGCTGGGTATGGCCCAAACCAAAACAAAAAACAATTTCCAAGTCAGAAATTACTAAACTAATGCTTAGGTACAACAGAAATACTTTGAGGACTGGAAAGAAAGCTGAAGAAGGGGCGGAGAGATAGAACAGCAGGTAGGCGCTTGTCTTATATGCGGCCAACCCAGGTTCAATCCCTGGCATCCCATATGGTCCCCTGAGCACTGCCAGAAATGATTCTTTTTTTTTCCTTTTGCTTTTTTGGGTCACACCCGGAGATGCTCAGGTGTTACTCCTGGCTCATGATGCACTCAGGAATTGTTCCTGGTGGTGCTCGGGAGACCATTCGATACTGGGAATCGAACCTGTGTTGGTCATGTTGGCTGCGTGCAAGGCAAATGCCCTACCCGCTGTGCTATCGCTCCAGCCCCAGAAATGATTCTTGAGCAAAGAGTCAGGAGTAACCCGAAACCATGCCAGGTGTGGCCCAAAAATTAAAAAAAAAAAATTAAGAGATCATAGTGCATCGTCTACATGAAGGAGCCCTGTGGCACAAGGTCGGTCACTGGAACACCGCTGAGCTGGGTAGGTAAGGATGGGCGAAGCCTCTGAGCACAGCCAGGTATCACCCAAAATTAAAAAAGGAAAAAGGAAATCTTTTTAATGGTTATGGAGTCAAGACATACTATAGGACTGAGTGAACAAAAGGCATTATCTAAAATAGAAGTTACTATTTAACCCAGTTATCTAACGGAACATGGATATATGTGCTTTAGGAAACCAGGCCTTCTGATGTCTTAAGAGAAGCTATAAATCAAGACACACACACACACACACACACACACACACACACACACACACACCACGCGCACACACGTGCACGCACAATAACAACACAGTAAAAAATTGTGTGGACTAAGTAAGACTTCTTTAAACCACAAATGGCTTGTAGGCTAACTGGCTTGGACACCCCCTGGCTTACATTAAAATAGCATTTTTGCATTAGAAAATTAAGACTATAAAAAGACAACTTCATACATACTTGAAAGCAAGCCCCTCAAAGATCGGTGTTAAGGGCAACTTGAAAGTCTGACAGAGAGACAGAGCAGTGTCAAAGAGGCCAGCCTGAACCAAGAGAGTGACCATCTCCTCTGCTGATGAGCTGCCTGAGGAAACAGAAAAGGATTATTTAGTGTGACTCCGGGCATATGCCAGAGAGGCCGATCACTGGCGGGTCAACGTGTGTTTCCGAGTCACCAGGACACACCTGATACCAACTGGCGGACCTCGCCCACTGCTTAGCCCAGTAGCTCTTTGCCAGTCCTGCCTGGCTGGCAGTGCCAGTACTGCGTTCTTACCTGCAACCGCGATGGCAGATGGGTCGTGCTGGGCCAGCGTGAGGCGGATACGCGCCAGCGAGCATTCTTTCTCCAGATCTTCCAGTTCCAGGATTTCAACTTGCCTGTTTGCTAAAAAGCCAAAGAATTTCAATGCCCAGAGAATGCAGGCAGTGTCTACTATAACCACATGATCAACTTGTTTCCACTGGACATGAAGGAACGTCCGGTTTCATTTCTAAAGCCCTGAAGACAGGGAGAAAACTGAGGCCTCAATAAAAGTAAACAAAACCCAAAGCAACTTCTCTGTTTCATTCATGTAGGTGAGTCAAATCAAAACTCGGCGTTAAGAAAAAAATCAGCTGAAGCTGGATGTAGATGAGGAGGCTCTGACCATGCAGGATCCTGATGAAGGAGGAGCGTCTCGTGAACTTTTGCCGCTGTGAAAAGCTCCATCAGTAAGCAAGGAAGTTGCCAGAGGGGCTGAACCAAGACCAGGTGTGGCCAACTCTAGCCCTAAGCTCTACAGGGAAGATGCTCATGGCACTAGTGACATCAAAACAGGCTAAGTCTGGCGCATATTTAATAGGACAAGTGATAAAGATGCCGGTTCAAAGGGATACTGCCAACTCCCAGCAGATTACAGCATAAAAAGATACACTGGGCAGAAAGAATTCAAAGGGCCGGGGAGGGAGATAACTGGGTTCAGTCCTGGGCACTGCATGGTCCCCAGAACAGTAGCAGAACAGACTGTGAGCACAGAAAAGGGAGGAACCCCTCAGCATCACTGCATATGGCTCAACACACAAAACCAAAACCAAACAAAAAAGGTTTAACACGCTTCATATAATAACTATGAAGTGTATTGCCATACAACGTATTGACTATCATCTAGATTACATGTAATTATTTAAAGATATAAAATAGTCAACCTCTACATATATTGTACCAATACACTCTAAACCCCAAACCAAATCAGTGTGTGGCCTGACTCACTTGGGGCAGCTGTGTATTCACCATCATGATTCCTCTTAGGGGATGCGCCAGGGCGATCGTACTATAAAAAAAAACACCATGGGAAAAATTATTTGAGTTTGAAATAATTAACCATGATTTAAATATTCACGCCTAAGCTCTTTAAACATAAATGAGTTATTTCAATTGGCGTAATTCGTGCCATAAAGGGAATGTAACTCTAAGAGAAATGGGATTGGGGAGCCGGAGAACTAGTATGGGTGTTAAGGCACTTGCCTTGCATGGGGCCCACCTGCGCTGGAATTCCAGACACCACAAATGGTTCCCTGAGCACCACCAGGGGTCATTCCTTAGCATAGAGCTAGGAACAGTCCCTGAACACTGCCAGGTTGCTCCCAACAACCACCCCCACCCCCCAAAAAATAACAAAAAGAAATGAGCTAAGGACTGGAGAGAGGTTAAGACACTTGTCCTGCATGTAGCCAACTCAGGTTTGATCCCTGAGACGACATCATACCCTGAGTACCACTAGGAAAGACACTCAAGTGCACAGCTGGGAGCAGCTTCTAAGACCCACAATGTGTGGACCCAACAGCACCCCCCCGCCCCCCAAGGAAACAGTTATTTGGGCCATGGAGATAGTTTCAGGGCTTGGAGTACCTGTTTTGCATGTGGGAAATTCAGGTTCAATCTCTGCACAACACGGTTCCCTAGCACCATTGGGAGTGACCCCAGAACACAGAACTGGAAGTATTGCCTGAGCACTGTGAAGTGTGGCCCCCAAACAAAAAAAAATATATACACTGTTGACTACAGATTAAATTAACAAAAGTGACTACAATAAAAGCAGCTACCTCTGACTAAGCATTGCATCCAGGTTCTAAGTCAGCTATATGAATGGTCACTCTGAGCCCAGTAAGGCAGACACTAGCATCATCCTTATTTTAAGCAAGAGATGGAGGGCCCAGGCCGAAGTTAGTCGGATTGGATCCCAACACTGCTCCGTAGCACTTTTTCCTGTAATAATACATCTGAACCTGGCAATGAAAGGACCGTATACCTGGCAACAGACAAACTGAATTTTTGCAAAAACCACACACTAAAAGAAATCAGCAGAAACTTCAAAGTGAGGGTTGGTTTTTATTTTATTTTTTTTTCATTCTGAGGTCATACTCAGTGGTGCTCAAAAGCCACTCGTGGCTCTGCACTCAGAAATTATGACTGTGGGCTCGGGGGACCATATGGGATGCTGGAGACTGAACCCAGGTTGGCTGCGTGCAAGGCAAGTGCCCTACCTGCTATACTACAGCTCCCTGAAGTGAGGTTTTAAGAGAACCAAAGGGAATAAATAATCCCCAAACTCCAGGATGGGAAATTTCCATACCACGGCACCAGCTGCCGGCTGCACGATCCACGCATACTCCGGGCGGATGAGCCGCAAACAGTTGAGTGCAGCCAGGTAACAGTTGCCTTGTTTCTCCAGGCCCCGGAGGGTGCGGACCTCTCTGCCGAGGCGCATCCCGTACTCGAACATCACTGTGCCCGCTGAGATAGAATAAACCAGAGTAAATCCTTTAGGAGGATGGTTATACTAATTGTATAGTAAAAGTGAAAGCTATACCCACCTTAACTTAAAATTATTTAAAATTTAACTTAAAATTATTTAAAAAGTCACGTGGAAGAGCCGGGGTGGTAAGACAGAAAATAAGGTTTTCACGCTTTGAGGACTGCCAAGAGTAATCTCTGAATGCGGCCGGATGTTACCAGAGAACAAAAGCAAACCAACAACAAAATTACAGTGGGCTTGAGAGACATGACAGAGGGTAAGGAGGTTGCCTTGCATGCAGCTGACCTGGGTTGGATACCCAGGTAAAAAAAAAAAAAGGTAAAGGCCCTCCCGTTGATCGTCGATTTGCTCGAGCGGGCCCAGTAACGTCTCCATTGGAGACTTTGTTGTTACTGTGTCTGGAATATCCAATACTCTCGGTAGCTTGCCGGGCTCTCCGAGAGGGGCGGAGGAATTGAACTCGGGTCAGCCATGTTGGCCGCTTGTAAGGCGAACGCCCTACCCGCTGTGCTATCGCTCCGGATACCCAGGACTCCATCAAAAAAAAAAAAAAGGAAGAAATTAAGTGGTGGAAAAATGCACACATGCTTAATCCTGAACACTAAGGGACTCCTGAGCACTAGTTTAGGAGCACCACTCAATAAATATCTTTTAAAAAGTTATGCTATCTACAGTTTATTCTTTTTTAACAAGGGGCTCAAACTGAGGGCCTCACACACTCCAAGCCTATGATCTACAACCAAGTTTTAGTCCTGGCTCTACATCTTACTCTCCAAAGGTGAGGGTTGGGTGGGGTATGGAAGAGAGAGGGAAGAGAATTGGGGAAGAGACAGTGAGAGTGAGAGAGAGACAGAAAGCTCAAGTGTAACAACACAAGAATTCAAAAACAGCTAAAAACATTCAAGGTCCCTCTAGTGGAAAAAAATGCCATTTAAGTTAGCAGGGATTTAAGTTAGCTCAGGGCTCAGGAACACTACATGTTGTATGCACACGGCCCAAAGTATGTTCCCACATGCTGTGTGGTCTCCTGAGCACTGGCAGTGGTGGCTCCTAGCACCAGGAGGCCCGAATAGCACTGCATGACCAGGCTGGAGCATTAAACCATTGGTCCAGTTGGACAAATATTACTGGGATTGGTCCCCTATCCTCCTGAGCACTGCCTGGGAATTTGCCTCCAACCCACCAATAAAGCAGAATAAAATCAGACAGAAAACACATACAATGTCAGGGCCAGAGCAAAACTACAGCAGGTAAGGCATTTGCCTTACAAGCAGCCAACCCAGGTTCAATCCTTGGCATTATATATGGTCCCGAGCCTGGAGTGATTTCAGAGTTCAGAGCCAGAAGTAATTCTGGAGCAATGCCCCATGTGGCCCCCCCAAACAATTAACAAAAAACCGAAATAAAAATACCCCACAAAGATAAGATAAAGATAAAGGCCCTCCCGTTGATCGTCGATTTGCTCGAGCAGGCCCAGTAACGTCTCCATTGGAGACTTTGTTGTTACTGTGTTTGGCATATCGAATACGTCACGGGGAGCTTGCCAGGCTCTGCCGTGCGGGCGAGATACTCTCGGTAGCTTGCCGGGCTCTCCGAGAGGGGCGGAGGAATCGAACTCGGGTCGGCCATGTTAGCCGCTTGTAAGGCGAACGCCCTACCCACTGTGCTATCGCTCCAGCAACCCCACAAAGAATGTCAGCTAATTAGAAATGGCATGTTCATGACTATTTATTTATTTTTGCTTTCTGAGTCACACCTGGCGACACACAGGTTACTCCTGGCTCATGCATTCAGGAATTACTCCTGGCTGTACTCAGGGGACCATATGGGATGCTGGGAATCAAACCATTCTCGGCTGTGTGCAAGGCAAGCGCCTTACCCGCTGTGCTATCACTGCAGCCCCTCATGAAAATTCTAGAATGTAAGTTTGTATCTTAAGGCTAACAGCTAATTTTCACAAAGTTGAAGCTAATCTTACAAGCTAATCTTTTTCCAAATCCTTGAGTGAAAACTCATTCAATGGTTGAGAACAGGGCAAAAATTAAGAAACAAAACTTAAAAAATAACAATAATAATAGCATTTAGTACAAAACAACCAAATACCCCTATGTTTACTCCTGGCTCTGTGCTCAGGAATTGCTCCTGTGGGTGCTTGGAGGATCATATGCAGTCACCAGGATTCAAACCTGGGTTAGTTGCATGAAGAGCCAAGTGCCTTAAGCCCATACTCTCTGAGCCCAATATAAACTTCATCCTAATGAGAAGGCTGCCTCCCCCAGGCCCTGCCTGCACAAAAGCTCACCCTTTCGGTAATTGTGTCGGTAGATGTGAAAGGCGTAGAGCAGCTCGTAGTAACTGTGAGTCATAAGGTCCACAGCTCTAGCTCTGGACTCGATGATTCCCACGACCTAAGGAAGAAGAAGCAACCGGACACCAAAATCAGTTGCAGGGTGAACCCCAAGCTGGGATTTAGTCAGCAGTAAGCAAGGGAAGTTACCTCGTTGTGCAGATTCACATAGGGGAACTCGACAAGATCCTGCAGCTGCGAACGTTCACAGAGAACCACCACTAACTGCCGTAAACAATCTAACTGCCTGCAAGGAAAGAAAGGAAATGAGGGCAAACTGTCATCATGCATGAAACGGGGCCAGGGAACTTTACGATGACACAGCAGGGGCTGGGAGGATGTCCTGAAGAAGCAGGAATGCAAGCCTGGCAGTCCCAGGCCCAGGGTTTGTACCCCGGCACCACATGGCTTCCTGAGTACTGCCAGGAGCATCTCTGTTGGTGCCCAGGACCACTGGGGAGACACCCAAACAGAATAACGTTGCACTGTAGCACTGTTCTCCTGTGGTTCGTCAATTTGCTAGAGTGGGCACCAGTAACATCTCCGTTGTGAGACTTGTTACTGTTTTTGGCATATCAAATACGCCACGGGGAGCTTGCCTGGCTCTGCCACGCGGGCGGGACACTCTCAGTGGCTTGCCAGGCTCTCCGAGAAGGATGGAGGAATCGAAGCTGGGTAAGTTGTGTGCAAGGCAAACACCCTACCCGCTGTGCTATCACTCCAGCCCCCAAACAGAGCAAAACAAAACAAAACAAAAAATATCCGCACTGCCTGGAGGATAGTGGCTTAGAGAACTTGCCTGGAAAGTGTATGGTAGAGTTCGAAAGCCCCAGTTGTCCCAGTGTAATCAGAGCAACTCTGCTTTTGATGAGACCCTCACTCTGCAAGTGATCTTCGGCCCCATGGTAGTCAGGTAGTCAGGTAAGTGTAAGCACCACAAAAAAGGAGGGCATATCCCCAGATATAGCACTGCCATGCAGAGAAGCATGAAGACCCTGACCCAGAAATGCAACTCCCAGCCAGCACTTGAGTGAGCCCCAGAACCGTCACACATGTGCTTCCACCAACTAAGACCAGAGGATGGGCAAGCGCATACGCACGTGGAGCTGCAATGAAAAGGGAGATTAGACCTTAGTGAGCACCACACAATCTGCCGGGAGCACTGCTGCTGGGCGTGATTGTGCACAACTGCCAGCCATTGGAACTGCAATGGAAGGGGCTGGAGCGAGAACACAGTGCGTAGGGAGCTTGCCTTGCATGCAGCCAACCAGGGTTCAATCCTTGGCTGTCCCCTGCGGTCCCTGAGTAATTATTGCCAGAAGTAATTCCTGAGTGCAGAGCCAGGAATAGCCCCTGAGCACCACTGGATGTGGCCCAAAACCCAACCTCTCATCCCTCCTACCAAAAAAAGAAACCACAATGTCAAGAACCAGAAACAGGAAGAAAGGGAATTAGAAACCAAACCTAAACTGTACAAGAGAGTAAAGACAGGGGTTAAATCTCCCTTATACTGGAGCTGCCAACCCAGAATCACCGGCACCATTTATGGTTCTCTAGGCACTACGAGGGCACTCCTGAGTATCGAACCAGGAACGGCTCATGAACACCGTGGTTGTGGCTTCTCCCACCCCTAAACAAAACCAAACAATCACCTTCCCCCACAAACAAGCAAACAAAACCCCCCCAAAACTCAAAAAAAACCAAAATCCCAGATCCAAAAACCTACAAAAAACTGGACTAGGGAGTTAGAGTAGCTCAACTGGATATAGGAGGCCCAATGTAAACCCTGGTAAGGCCTGGTCCTGAGTAGACTCCGGAGTAACCCCTGAAAATCACTAAGAATATCCAACAAACCTCTTCCCACGCCCCAACAAACAGAAACAAAAACTGCTTAAAAAAAAAAAAAAAGAACAAACACTCCCCCAAACAAACAAACATACATGTAAACTTTTCAGGCTTAGTGTTACCTGCTGGAATCAGGAATTTGGGTTAAGGCTTCGTATGCTTGGCTATTGTGACCCAGATCCAAATGATGTTTGAAAATGCAAGTCCGTAAAGTAGCCTAAACAGCAAACACAGGGGCAAAAGCACCACAGTCATTATGAAAACACCTTCCACTCCAAACCCCGCAGCCACCCCTCCCAGGGACAGCAGCAGCCCACAGCTCGCTCTCACCTGACTTTTCCAGTCATCACCTGCTTCAGTGATTGCCGAAGCTGCCAACTGAATGACCAGCTCGGGCAGACCCACAACGTCAAGGAGACGTAAGACCTATGGGGAAAGTACAAGAAATTACCCATGGAGACAGACAGGCTAGTGCATGTGAACGGAATGATGACAGCAAACCAGTTGCTCAGGGGCAGAAGCTGCCTCGAAGATAGAGGCTGCGCTGTCATTCTCAGTGACTGGCACTGCCCACGGGGCCGCTGAGAACAACTGCCTACTCTGCCAGTGTGGCAGCCAGAACCCAGTGGGTGTCCTCAGCAGCACCCCACAACCACGTGCAGGGCTCTGGTGAGCACTGGGACAACAAGGGGCAGGGGGCCAATCAGCAGGCAAGATGAAAGATGAAACCAAGATGCTAAGGAGATGGACAGGATTATAGGTGACCCTCGGTGCTGTGCTCTCAGGCTCCAGTTACATGCAGGCTGGGTTCTCCTGCTGCCAGTCAGCGGGGCTCCCAGCCCTTCCTCAAACTGCAGGCTGCAGGGGTCACTCAGCAGACAGTTGTGAAAGAAGAAAAGAATACGGGGTTCGAGAGTGCAAAAGGATGAGCTCAAGCTTTGTTTCGGGGAGACTGGGCTCCTAGCCCTAGCACCAAGCCATGATTACATCCATGATTATATCCACGCAGACTGGAGCACCCAGGCTCTGCTAAACTGCTCCCAAACCTGCGTTCATTTAAAACTCCACCAGGCTGATGATTTTCAGGGTTCCATTACTGTCCTGAACTGACAGTCTGTGGTGTAAGGTCCACTCAGCTTTTAAAGTGGCGTTCTTAGAAAGTTGTATTTTTATTGCTTAAATGATTTTTTATTTTGGAGCCGTATCAGGTGGTGCTCAAGGACTACTCCCAGCTCAGTGCTCAGGGAACCAGGTAATGCTAAGGAATCGAACATGAAAGGCCAGTGCTCTACTACTGTCTGTTATATCCCAGGCCCGGTATGTGGGGCTGAGGAACCATACAGGATGTCAAGGATCAAACTCAGGTTGTCCATGTAAGAGGCAAGAGCCTTACCCATCGTATTCTCTCTCCAGCCCCAAGTCCTGAATTTTCATTTTCGGTGGAAAATGCAGGAAGGGAAAGAGTCTTAATCAGCACAGGGGTGTGCAAGGGAGGAGGGAGCAGGCACGAACACACGCAGGGGTGCAGCAGCTGACACCCCTGTACCACACAGATTGGGTTCAATCCCGTGTACCTCATGCAGTTCCCCAAGCACTGCCAGGAGTAACCCTGAGAACTGCTGGGTGTGGCCCCAAAACTGAAAAAAAAGAAAAAAAATTTTGGGGTCTGGAGAAGTATAGTAAGAGGGCACTTGCCCCAAGCACCATCCGGAGTCAGGAGTGATCCCCGAGTGCAGACAGGAATAAGGCCTGAACACCACCAGATAAGGCCCCAAAACCAGGGGGGATGGGGGAGTGGGGGTGGGGGAGAGTACTATTTCTGGGGCTGGAGATGGTACAGGGGTATAGGCTTGCCTTATATGTGGATGACCAGTTTCAATCCCTGGTACCGCCAATGTAGACCAAAGTGCCTCCGTTTATTTTTTATTTTATGGGGGGCTGGAAAAGTCAAGTGTCCAGCCCAGGTTCGATTTCCCTGAGCACTGCTGGGTGTGGGCCTGGAGGCTGCCACTGCAGCTGGGGTGGCTGAGGGCATGCCCAGCAGTACCACATCCTCAAACCCTTGCACGGAACCATCTAGCCAGCCAAGAATTGCTGGTGGAGCAAAATGTCTTATTTCTTCAGTTTCTCTAGGCAAATTAAGTTTTCTCTTCATTCAGAAATCCAGGGAGCAGTAGTATATTTTCCTTCCAAAACAGCAAAGCAATATACTTCAGGAGCATTTTTACACAGGTGGGTTAACGAACCAACTGTGACATCACAGACCTTGTCATAATACTGCAGCCTGGGGGTGGCCACGATCTCACTGTCCTCCGAACGGATCAGACGGTCTAAGAACTCCTCCTTGCCCACTTCAGAGGCGGCCTGGCAGAAACATTCCAGAGCCTGAAGACATACAATACCAGGTGACTTAGGACAGCATATTTCAATGCGAGGCACTCTAAGTTATGGGTTAACATGCTAAGAATTGCCAAGAAAAATACTTAAGGCTGTCATATTTTCTGCCAATCTAAGTTTCACCTGATCATAGAATAATCAGACTTAGTATATCTTTGGTGTCTTACTCCTTGACTTAAATGTCACTGGTTAAAAAGTAAACTGACAAGGTAATTGATAAATATGTAATATAGCAACCAGGATACATATAACACTTGGCGTGGTATGATCATTAAAGATGTCTTTAAACTTTTTTGAATGTTTGGAAATTTGTATCAAAGAATGACAGAACAAAAAAATCAGCAATTAGTAAACTACCATAATGGGAAGAGAGCATCAGCAACAAAAAATACAATGAAAACGATTAAGTAGTAAACTGAATTTATAAAAATGCTGTCACTGTCACTGTCCTCCCGTTGTTCATCGATTTGCTCGAGCGGGCCCAGTAACATCTCCGTCGTGACAACTGTTACTATGTTTGGCATATCGAATAAAAATGCAACCCTTTAAAAATGCCTGCATAGAGGCAGGAGTTTTAGTTTCTTGTCTTCTGCAGTGTGGGGACTCAAACCCAGGGTCTCTCACATACGCAAGGCAAGAGTTGGACTGCTGGGCTACCTGCCTGGCATGTAGGCAGAAAGGTTTTAATATTTTTCCATGTCCTAACAAACCTGGCAAGGTACTGAGGGGAGCAGAACAGACCTCTGACCCCTCCTTCTGTTTCATCGAGCGGGTTCTGTGCCTCCCAACCCCTTCCCCGTAGATGCAAGCCAAGTGCCGCCTTGCACTCCAGGGCGCTCTGTCCGAACAGGCTTTACCTTCTGCCCCTCTCCCATGACCAGGTAACACCTTCCGAGCATAAATCGACAGGAGCCGACATTGGCTTGACACCAGGGATGGAGCAGCTGAATGTAATCCTGAAAGGCAGAAAAGGGGTTTTCTGATTAGAAGGTTTACAAGTAAGTTTAAGGAGCTTCTCAACTCCAAGTTGCGATAGACAGAAGTTGTAGATCCTGAAATCAACCAAAGATGAAAACCTCACTGTGTCAACCTCTTCCTGCTTTAGGTCAGACGCCCGGAGAAAGATCACGGGATTCAGTGGCACCCACATGTATAGATTTTCCATGTTGGCAATATCCCCACTTTGGTATTTACCAGTTCAATGACTAGATTCCAGTACAGGAATCTGTTTGCTTTGGGTCACACCCAGATGTGTTCAGGGGTCACTCTTGGCAGTGCTCAGATACCATGAGGAATATTGGGGATCAAACAAGGGTCTTATGCATGCCAGATAAGTGCCTTAACCCCTGCACTATTTCTCTGGCCCCAGCAAAGGATTAGAAAGCAATGGTAATATTTATTTAGCTTTTTGGGTCATACTCAGCGATGCTCAGGGCTTATTCCTGGCTCTGCACTCAGGTATTACTCCAGGTGGTGCTCAGGGGACCATATGGGATGGGAGGATCCAACCTGGTCTGCCCTGTGCAAGGCAAATGCCCTACCTGGCATAAGGCCAACCTGGGTTTAATCCCCATATGGTCTCCAAGCTCCTTCAAGAGTGATCCCTAAGTGCTGAGCCAAGAGTAAGCCCTGAGCACTATTGGTGTGGTCCAAAATACAAACAAAAATGAATAGAAATTCTTTTAAATAAAGGGGGGGTGGATAGATAATACAGTGGGCAGGGCACTTGCCTTACATGCGGCTGACCTGGGTTCAATCCCTGTATCCCATAGTCCCCCAAGTACCACCGGGAGTAATTTCTGAGTGCAGAGCCAGGAGTCACTCAGAGTTTACTTGATAGTGCACAGGGGGACTATACGAGGTCCTGGGGATCGAACCTGGGTTGGCCGTTACAAGGTACACACCCTACCTGCCGTACTAGTTTCCAGACTCAGGTAATATCATTTCTAACATAATTATCTCTCAAGTGTGTGTGTGTGTGTGTGTGTGTGTGTATGTGTGTATGTTTTGGGGCCACACCTGACAGTACTCAGGGTTTACTCCTGGATCTGTGTTCAGGAATTACTCCTGGTGGTGCACAGGGACCATATGAGATGCTGGGGATCAAACCTGGGTCAGCTGCGTGCAAGGCCAATACACTACCCACTGTACTACAGCTCTAGCCCTTAATTATTAGCCCAAGTAAAATACAGGTAAAATTTACAAAGGAAAAAACCCCTCCAGAAATCTCTTCTCTTTTTTGAAGGGAATAAGGGGCGGATTTGGGGTCACACCTAGTAGGAGTTACTGCTGCTTGGGGGACCATATGTAGCGCCAGGAATGAAACTGGCATTGGCCACATGCGAGGTGGGTACCTTAACCCTGAACTATCCCTCTGGTGCCCATAAATTCCATTCTTCACAAAAATGATTAACCTCAGATTATTTAATAGCACTCACCTGCAACTGTACATACTGACAATTTCCCATTAAACATTCTAGAAAGAGCGAACCAGGGTTGTTGGGCCATCTGGTCATTAGATAAGGAGATTTAAAAGTCCTCTCCGACAAAACAAATACACACACTGGCCATCAAACTGTGAAGTAGTTTAAAACCAAACCAAACCAAACCAAACCAAACCAAACCCAACGAAACCCAACGAAACCAAACCAACAACCACCTCCCACTCCACCCCATCCCCCGGGGGGGGGGGGACCCAAAGAAGGTAAAAGAGGGTAGAAGCTCACACGCTCTTCCCATAGGTCTAGACAATTCCCCAGCAAGCAGCGACAATGAGCCTCAGCACTTCTCTGGCGTGTGTGCCTGACCCTCAGCGGTCACGGTCCTTCCAGCTGGTACACAGCACAAGGCTGCTGCTGGCAGAGGGCACCGAGTCAAGTACTGGCACACGGAGCCTTTGTAAAATATGTGATGAACAAGGAATGGTCTAAAAGGGCTGTCCTAGGTATTCTGTGTGCATTCCCTGTAGAATGAGGCTCATTTCCTTAAGCAAAAATAAAATCTGACTCACTTCCCAAAATAAATATCACACCTCCTACTGAAGGAATAAACACTTTTCACTGATCTTCATTTCCAGGCAGAATAAAAACTCAAATAAGAACTACTTCAGACAGAAATCTTGAAACTTTTTGGGGGAGGGGATTGGTGGGGGGTGCACCTGGTATTGCTGGGACCACCATACCTTTTCCAGGGATTAAACCTGGGTGCATGTTCCAGCTGAGCTACTTCCTTCGCCCTTAAAACTAGCTTTAACATAAAAAAGGATACAGAAGTTGCAATAAATAATTGGTAACTGCTGTAATGACTTCAGGCCAATTCATTCCATTTTGTCCCAGAGGCAGCTTTGCTTCAGAAAAGAGGTGCGACATAATGTGTTTTCTTGCAACTTCTTGGAAGAATAACTCCAAGATTGTCTGAGGGCTGGATACTACAAAAGCAAAAGGACAATTACTAACCATGAGAGTAGCCCCGATTTTCAATTAAGACAGTCTATCAAATCATCACTTTTTATCACTGAATCAATAAACATCATTTTAAATAATAAAATTCATCATCGGTAATAACACATAAAAACAGCTTGTACACGGTGAAGCACCACACATACGCAACCTGAAGGCATGGACATCAACATGACTACTGAGGCTTCTTTTCATGGTGCCGCTGCACCCAAGTCCCTTCCTGACAAAGTCCCCAAGATCCCAAGTCTCAGAGTGACACAAAATGAATACTTCAGAGTATTTCGGAAGCAAGAGAGGGCTACTTTTGCATCTAAGATGAAAAAAAAGGTAGCATGAATGCAGTATGTGTGAAAATCCCTGCCCTGAGAGATGGGGCCACTCAAGCCCAGCTGGGCTGGCACAGAACCTGGGACCTTGTGCGTGTGTGTCCTTGGGATCATTTCCCAGGTCCTTGAATTTTGTCAAAATAATCACTGCAGCATCTACCTATCCATTTATCTATCCATACAATTTGAAAGCAGAAACTAATAAACTTGTCCAAAGGTGGCAGGACTTTATTTTTCTGGGCTTATACCCAACGGGCTCAGGGGTGACGTTTGGGGGGCCCATATGCTGTGCCGGGAACAGAACAGGAATCAGTGGCACACAAGGTAAGCACCTTAAATTCTGCACAATGTCTCCAGCCTCACGAATGACCACTTTAATGAATATGCAATAAATATCAAACTGGACTCGGTACTTACCGAGTTTACTGCCAGTGTAAGTACCAGAGTCTGTTAGTTCCAGCACGGATAGGTGTTGGAGATTAGATTCTCTGCGAGAAAAGGGAAACAGCTGAGTTAATTCTCCATGACAAACAACACTCCAGCAGAATTAGTGTCATTAACACTGTTAGCTAACGTGGATAAACAGCACAAGCGAGTCCCACTGACGGCACCAAAAGGCCTAGAAAACCAGCCCTGGTCAGGCTGCTCGCAGGAGAGCCCAGAGTGCTCCTTTGTGTTTCCTGAGTTTGCATACATTTAAAGTCACTTAGCAGAGAAAACAGGAACTTTAACCTTTTTTTGGAGCAGAGAGGTAGCGGGGTGCCAGCAACCCAGCTATGCTCAGGGTTAGCTGTGCAGTGCCAGGGACTAAGAGTGTAATCCCAGGCACTAGCTCCCCTGACCACAGTGACATATCTGATTAGAAATGCCAAAAACTCCACTGCTGGGCTGCGCCCCTCAGTCCCCAAGACAATAATAAAACAATGAATCAGAGTTCTCTCAGACTTGCTCCAGTCCTTGGAGTCATTTCCTGGACCCCTGAAAGTTATCTGGATTGTGAAGGTCAATCATATTACAGCAAAACATTAAAAACTTTTTTTAGATTCTTCCAAATCTGGTTTGCGGAGAGGGATCGGACAGGGTGGCGGGAGTTCTGGTTTAACTTTCTAGGGATCCCAGGTCTTCACACCGGAAAACTCTAAAGTCTCTTCCTGCTAGATCACAGACAACATTTTTGTTTTTGTTTTTTTTCTCTTTTTGGGTCACACCCAGCGATGCACAGGGGTTACTCCTGGCTTTGCACTTAGGAATTACTCCTGGCAGTGCTCAGGGGACCATATGGGATGCTGAGAATCGAACCTGGGTCGGCAGCGTGCAAGCCAAACGCCCTACCTGCAGTGCTATCGCTCCAGCCCGTTAAAAACTTTTAATAACCAAGGGAAGGGGAAAATAAGAACATGCGCAGTTCATTCCATTCTAGGAGAAGAATGGTACTCACAGTGTGTCGACCGGAACGTCGGTGGCCAGGCACTGACTGCACCACTTAATGAGGCAGTATGACAAGAGCAGGGGAGCCGTCCGGTGCAGCAGGTCCTGCTGGGCTTGAAAGAGCTGGCCAGCTCCCAGGATCACCTACACAGCCCAAGTAAAGGACATCAGGCAACAGGAGCCCATCTCCACCCTCTCAGGGACCAAGGCCGAGGGCCTCCCATGTGCAAGGCACATGTTCCTTCCTGGCTCATACCCCTGGCCTAGCAATAACTTGCTTTCGCGGTTTATGGGTGACCAAGGCCATGGTCCATGCAGTGTTGGGATCAAATCCTGGACCTCACACACTCTTGGCATTTGCTCTACCATTTGATCTATATCCTAGGCCCTAATGAAAACTGTTTTTAGTTTTGCAGGTCAAACCCGGCTGTTCGGGGTTTACTCAGGGTCCTGTGCGCAACATCTTATCCCTCTCTAGCCCTTCCGAAGGTCTGATTTTTCATTTTTCATTTTTTCCTCACCTAGTGGTGCTCTGAGGTAATTCCTAGCTCTGTTGTACTCAGGAATCACTTCTGGTAGTACTTGCAGGACCACGCAGAATAACAGGGTTTGAACCCGGGTTGTCTGTGTGCAGGGTAAGCACTGTACTCAATGCACTGTATCACTCCAGCCTCTAATTTTTGTTTGTTTTTTTTTTTGGGGGGGGTCACTTGGTGATGCTGAGGAGTCACTCCTGGCTCTGCACTCAGGAATTACACCTGATGGTGCTCAGGGGCCAACATGAGATGCTGGGGATTGAACTCAGGTTGAGATGTGCAAAGCGAGTGCTGTACTATTTTCCTGACCCCTACTTTGATTTTTTGCTTTGTTTTTGGGCTATACCTGGCAAGGCTCAGGGCTAACTCCTGGCTTTGCCCTCAGGGATCAATCCTGGTGCTTGGGGGACCATTATGAGATGCCAGGGATTAAACCCAGGTCGGCTGCATGCAAGGTAAGCACCCTATCACTGTGCTATCTCTCTGGCCCCTGGTCTGATTTTTTAAAAAACAAACACATTGGGACCACAGAGCACTCCCCAAGGGTCAAGCCTGAGAAACAGAGAGGTGAGCAAAGGCACATCTCGCTGAAATGTAGAGCTGAATACGTCACTCTGTGTCCATGGCCTAGACCAACACTTCCTAAACTTTACTACTCACAATTCCCGCTTGCCCGCGAGTGCTGCCAGGGACCGCTCGGAGGCAGGACAAAGTGGCCGCTGAACATTCAGAACCACTCCACTGTTGCCCAGGCCGTCACAACCCCCAACACTCAGACCCACAGTCAAGGCAGCAGGGGTCCAGAGCACATTTCAGATGACCTGAATGGTACTTACCGCATCTCCCAGCCGCACCAAGAGCTGCTGTAAAATCAACAGGTCTCGGCAGATGAGGAAGCGTGTGCTGGCGATCTTACCGACGCTTCTGCACACAACAGTGCCTGCCGTGCTGCTGCCCAGGAGCTGTGACAGATGCATCCGGACGTTCAGAGGCTGAGCTGGCGTGCAGAGAACAAAGCAGGCATCACTCTCCTCGCTGCAAAGAGGCGCATTTGACTTGTTCTTTTGTGGGGGAGAGGTGGGAGGTCCCAATCAGGGTGGGAGGGCAGGGTGGGCCACTCCCGGAGATGCAAGGCCTGAAGTGCCTGGAGCCCAGCAGTGCTGGGGGACCCCAGGGCTATGCATGTGAGGCACGGGGCCCAATCCCTTCAATCAGCTCCAGTACCTGTGGTTTTGGTACTTACCTGGGTTAAATCCTTTTTCCAGTTCCATGTCTGCCTCATAATCCATCTCCCGTATGATAAGCCCAATTGCGTGGATAGGGTTCCTGATCTCTTGCAGTTTACTACAAATATCCTCCATCACGTTTTCTCTATGAGGAAGGACAACACAAAAAGCTCCCACTATGACCAAGAATACACAAGGTAAACCTCTGTCCTGTAAGCAACATTCTCTTATGAAATACCCAGTCAGAGCTAAAAACTGGCCGTCCTGCAGTCACTTGAATATTCTACATTCAGGGAAGAATTTGCACTAGAAATAAGTTCTTTTTCTTGCATGGGAAAGGGACAAAGAAACTGGCTATACTCGGGGCTGACTCCTGGTTCTGAGTGCAGAGATCACTCCTAGTGGTGATCATGGGACCATATCCAGTGCTGGGGATCAAACCAGGGTCAGTCACAGCAAGGCAAACACTTTAACTCCTGTATTATCTCTCTGGCTCCAGAACTAATTGTTTCTTTCAAATCCACCTCAAGGATGGATACAGCAATCTCAAGCCAAGGGTATATTTATCCTAGCATCTGCAGATCTCTAAAATGCTCCCTCTCTGCTTACCATGCACAAAACTGACCACAGTTCAATCCCCAGCACTCCAGATGCCCTACCCACCATGAGTGAGCCACCATGAGTGACCCGCCAGGAGTGATCCCTGAGCACAAAACCAGGATGTGGCCTCCAGGCCTCTCCCCAAAAATGCCACCTCTAAGCCAGTCACATACAATCACTAGCTCAGTTAAGTGTTAACCAGATAAACCTTAAGTGTGTGTCTATTCCCAGGCATAAATTCAAGTATTAGATTTTCACACATTGATGACCCACTCACTTTTTGAAGGGATGGGATTACAGATCACCCCTAGCAGTGCTCAGGGACTATTCCTGGTTCTGGCTCTTTAAGCCACTGCTATTTAGTATGTCTTTATTGTTTGCTTGTGTGTATTTTTGGTTTCTGGGCTGCACTAGGGGTGCTTAAGAGTTTACTCCAGGTTCTGTGCTCAGGATCACTTTTGGCAGAGCTCTGGGGATCATATAGGGTGCCAGGGATTGAATCCGGTTGGCCGTGTGCAAGGCAAGTACCTCACAGGCTGTACTATCTCTCCATTCCCCTATTTTGTACATTCTTGAATGTGCATTAAGCCCTTGACTCTGGCACTAAAAGTTGCTAAGTTTCCATTAGGAAAATGCACTTTACCCTAAATTCTCCTTACTCATCAATGGTGATCAAATCTTCCAGAATCTGTTCTGCAGCCTTTTCTGGAGACTGGAGGTTCAAACAACTCATTTCCATCATAAAGGACATATCCATAGTTACTGATTCTCCAATCAGCCGGAGGCATTTTATAAGACATAAGACATCTCGAGCAACGTCCGCATCTAAGAAAAGGAGAAAGTCAACACTCAGATCTCAAGTCAGAAAGAAACTGATTAATGTCACACCCAAATGAAACATGATTAAATGCCATGAGCCAGCTGAGGTCCAGCAGATGCTTATAGGCTTCTTCAGTTTATAGGTTGTTTTTCCACACAGTACTGTGGGTCTATTCCTGACCAAAAGCAGAGCAAATGCTCTACTGCAATGTGACAGCCTAGGCTTTGTTAGTGTTTCTTATAATCCTACAGCATGGTACACTGACCAAAAACGTGACCACAGTGGTGATCAAAGTTTCTGCATCCACTACACAACAAAGCATGGGGAGGTGCTCAGGCAAGAAAGCGCTCAAAGAAGGACATTACAACCACTATTACCATCGGATATGGCTGTCTCGTCCTCCGTCATAAGGTTCTCATCAGGCAGAAGATATAAATGATCCATTAAAGAGGAAGGCACAAGAAAAGACAGGTACCCCTGGAAATAGAAATCTCTAGTTAGGAGTTTTTCGGTCAATATCTAAAGGTATCACAATTGATACCTGAATGCTATCATGAAGAAATGCCAGAGAAGAGACAATTCAAAGCATGAGCTGGATTCGGGCCTGAGCAACAGACAGAAGGGAGGGCGCTTGCCTTGCACATGGCTGACCTGAGTTCGCTCCCCGGAATCCTATATGGTGCACCAGGCACTGCCAGTAGTGATCCATCAGAGTAGGACTCAGGAGTAATTCCTAGCGGGGCTCAGGGACTATTCCTGACTCTGTGCTCAGGGGACCACAAAGCAGTGTTCGGGACTGAGTGCAGGTCTGCTGCATGGAAGGAATGCCTTTCACTGTACTACTGCTCTGGCCCTCTTCCCCCAAGCCTCCTCGGCCTCAGTTTCAGAGCTCAAACCAAGCCTCGTACATGCATGGCAAACGCTTGACAAATGAACCACATTCCTGGCTGAGTAAGAGTTGAATATAAACTGTATGGCATATGCAAACCTAGACTGTCTGTTCTTGAAGTTGTGCAGTTAACCTACTGGGCATACTACATGACGTTATATAGCAACCCTTGAGTACCCTTATTTTTTCTCCTTTCTTTGCAGAGGTGAAGCTCAGGGGTTACTCCTAGCTCTGTACTCAGGAATCACTCCTGGTGGTGCTCAGGGCACATACGGGATGCTATGGATTGAAACCAGATTGGCCATGTGCAAGGCCTACCTACTGTACTATTGCTCTAGCCCCAAGTTCCCTCATTCTTTTTAGATAGAAATGAAAATATTTAAAGATAAAGGAACATAATGCCTACAACTGATGTTCAAGTATTCAAAGGGGAATAAGAACATGTATAGACAAGAGACAAAGGAAATATAAGATAACAAATGGTGAATCTACGGTAAAGACATGTCACTGTCCTCCCATTGTTCATCGATTTTCTCGAGCGGACCCAGTAACGTCTCCATTGGAGTTTTGTTGTTACTGTGTTTGGCATATCGAATACATCACGGATTGCTTGCCAGGCTCTGCCGTGTGGACGAGATACTCTTGGTAGCTTGCCGGGCTCTCTGAGAGGGGCGGAGGAATCAAACTCGGGTTGGCCATGTTGGCTGCGTGCAAGGCAAACGCCCTACCACTGTGCTATCGCTCCAGCCCAAGGTAAAGACATATAGAATTTTTATGCTATTCTTATATATCTCAGGTTTTTTTTTTTTTCTTTTTGGGTAGCACCCGGCAATGCACAGGGGTTACTCCTAGCTCTGCATTCAGGAGTTACTCCTGGCGGTGCTCAGGGGACCATATGGGATGCTGGGAATCGAACCCGGGTCGGCCGTGTGCAAGGCTAACACCCTACCCGCAGTGCTATCTCTCCAACCCCTCAGGTTTGAAACTGCTCCAATATAAAAAATTCCCAACAAAAAAATAAATAAAATGGAAGAACATAAATAACGCAGAAGACCAATTACAAATAGACTACAAGTTTGCAAGAAAACTGTCCTAGCAGAAAGCAGCCTGATGCTCTGAAAGGCTGGTTGCACGGCGAGTCACGTATTACTGCACCCTTACCTTCTTCAGCAGGCACACCATGTTCGTCTGCGTATTCAGAAGGAGGGCAAGAGGATGAGACAGGGCTTCCTGATACTGAAGACAGCAGGCATAGAACTTGCACCAGAATTCCTGCTGCAAATTTCGAAACTCCTCCTGAGAAAATTCATACTCTGTCACACTTCCTTGGAGCTGGGGGGAAAAAAAAAGATTCTGTATCTTTCCCTTAAAACCATTAAGACCCTGTAAAACAATTGTCTAGTACTTACTTTACTAATTGCTAGCCAAAGGAATAGCCCTTATACATTGGATACCATTTTTACACACACACACACACACACACAGCATTCTCTAATATGATAATATTAAAGTTAACTGTTTCTACTAACAAGATCTAGTAACAATTCCTTTGAAACAATCTCCTCTATATCTATAGGAAGTGATTCATTTTTTTTTTTTCTTTTTGGGTCACACCCGGCGATGCACAAGGGTTATTCCCGGCTCATGCACTCAGGAATTACTCCTGGCGGGGCTTGAGAGGCCATATGGGATGCTGGGAATCGAACCCGGGTCGGCTGCGTGCAAGGCAAACGCCCTACCTGCTGTGCTATTGCTCCAGCCCCTCATTTTTTTTTTGAGTTTTTGTGCTATACCTGCACTCAGTGATTAGAAGCCCTGTATGTGCAGCTGGGGATTGAATCTCAGTAACCGTGTGCAAGGCAAGTGCCATGCCTGCTGTACTATTATGCTTGTCCCGATCGTTTTTCTTTATCCAAACCTCACCTCACTTTCAACAGCTAATGTAACTTCTTTCTTTAGTTCACTCCAGGAGAGATCTAAATTCCTCTCAGTTCCTCGACAGAATATCTGTAAGTAAAAAAAAAAAAGTCATAGAGCGTTACATAACAACAGAATGGAAGGAAAAACAACGGCAGTTTAGAAGGCATGACACAGACAGTTCCTGTTTGGGAGAGCCTCTAGAGACCAACTACAGAAATTCACGGATCTGAAAGGATTACAATCAGGTCCACGTGGATCATTCAAAAAGCGAAAGGAAATGCAATGACTGTTGAGCAGGAAGAAGTTATGGGACAACAGCAAACATCACGGATGTCTGATGCCTGTGAGGGGCACAAAGGGAAGCGTGGGAATGACAGGGGAAGGAACTGGCGGGGAACGAATCTCCTAAAAAACAGCAATTGTTTAGAGTGATAGTACAGCAGGGAGGGCTCCTGCCTTGCATGGCTGCCAACTTGGTCGGATCCCCAGCACCTTGTACGATCCCTGAGCCCGGCCAGGAGCTCAAAACCAATGAGAGCAGAGCCGGGAGAGCAAGCCCTGGGCACCTCTGGGTGTAGTCAAAAGAAACAAACAAACAAAAACAAATAAGAAACCCCCAACAGTTTTATTTTTGAAGGGAGAGGGGACAACACCCAGCAATGCTCACCTGGCAGGGCTCAGGGGACAGTATGTGGTGTCAGAGACAGAACCCATCTAGGCTGTGTACAAGACAAACACCTGCCCTGATGTCCGAGCTCTCTGAACCCACTCAAGAAAACACTGTGTTTATTTGGTTTTTCACGCTACACTGGTGGTTCTCAGGATCAACTCATGTCTTGTTGCTCATGGGACCACATGCGGTGTCAGAGACTGAACCTGGGCCTTCTGCATGCAAATCGTGTGCACTGGCCCAATGAGGTCTCTCCAGCCTCAGAACACATTCTAAGTCTATCCAATATAGCAACAATATGCAGTGTAGTATGACAGATCTCATGCAGGCATTTATGACTGGCATTCCTCAGTGGGAAAGTTCCTCCACAGTTAACCCTGCTGCCAGGAGTCTGACAACTTTAGAATTGGGGCTGTAGCACTAGTACAATAGGTTGCACACAGCCCTCCTGGGTTCAATCCCAAATGGTTCCCAGAGCACCACCAGGAGGAATTCCTGAGTGAAGAACCAGGACTAATCCCTGAGCACTGTTGGCTGTGGCCTGCCCAAAAAAACAAAACAAACAAAATGAACAATAGAATTACCACCTTTTAAAAACATGGGAATGTCCCATTACAGAAACATGTGCAATGTGTTGGGCCATGAATGTGGCTCAAGCGGTAAAGCAGATGTCTCACATGTATGAGGACTGGATTTGAGCTCAAGCATGGACTGGGCACTGGTGGGAGGGGGCACACCCCCAAACATAGAATATATGTGTGGAGCTTCACATCTGCCACCCAACAAGGACTATCAGTCACCACCGATTTTGTAACAGTATTTAAGTAAGAGAGACTTGAAAAGAAAAAAAGAAAAAAAGAAAAACACAACGTATTTCTTACTGACCTGCAATGCCTTGCACAGAGCCGCATTTATGAACTGTCCTGGCATAAAAAGACTCTGTAAATATATCTCCTGTTAGGAATGAGAAGTCAAAAATTAGTATTATTGCAAGTAGGGTAACATTTCAGAAATTCCAATACATTTACACCGAGCTTACATAAGCACTAGAAATCTGGGCCCTTCTACTTCAGTAAGAACAAGCAGTAGCTTAGCCACGGATTTCCAGTCTGTCTGCACCCACTGGGCCTGGAGTGCCCTCACAGACAACCCACGGGTCCTGCGAGGAGAAACAGCCTCCCCAGTGCTATGCTAACCATGTGCAGAAGAAGCAAATCTGCTTTACAAGGCTAAGAGAGCTACTCAACTTGGGTTTCCACACCACACATTAAATGCGCATAGGTCTAGTAGAGCCCAAGCAAACAGGAGACTCTGGACCCGAAGGAACTGCTCGAGCCCCAACTTCGAACACCTTTGCCCTCTGAAGCATCCATCTGTTCCAGTTCCCTGCAGCGGAGAGTTCTGACTACTGTGACCAGAATTTCTCGAGCAACCCATGGGGCCAACTATCCCCTTACACATGCTCTAGAACTGCTTACTCTGGGGTCCTGATCATCGCGGATGATGATCTCTTCCTCTGGCAAAGGCTGCATAAAAACTGGATTCCACTGACCTGCAACATTACTACAGAGACAAAAAGACATCAGTCTACATCAAAATGATAGAAAACAGAACAAAGCTTATGCTGCTGCCAGTACCTGGCAGGGAGGGCCTCACCACTGAACCTCTACGTATTTCTAACAAAAACGCACCTCTGATACTTAGTTAATTGGTGTCTTCCTAGAAGAGCTATTGTAGTGTTAATGGGCCCCATCCTGAAAATGAGAGACGTAAACCCAGGGGCTAGAGTGCCAGGACAGCAGGTAGGGCACTGGCCTTGCAGGCAGCAGCTGACCTAGGACTGATTCCTGGCATCACGTATGGTCCCCCAATACCCGCCAGGAGTGATCCCTGAGTGCAGTCAGGAGTAAGCCCTGAACACCCCTATCCACCACCCCCCCGCCAAACTCAGATCACGAACCTGTTAATAATAGCTAACTTTTAATCCCCACTACTCGCTAGACATTATGCTAGGTGCATGCTCTAGTTGTTTCTCATTTGTGCTTCGCAGTGAAACTCTTTGAAAGATGGGCATCCCCATTTAGCAGATGTGGAAAGTGAGGCTTAGGGTGTGAGGAAGTTTCACAACCAGAAAAGGAACCCATTGGTGCAGTTTTGCCACATTGCTCGGATTACCATCTGTGGGAGATACTCCAACATTGAAATGTGGCTACAGAGGATTCTGAGGACATTTCCAGATTTCTATACCAGAATACAGAATTATAGGGGCCCCTAAAGCTCAGTATATTTGAGGGAATTCATTGTTCCAGGAAATCCTCCATAGGTATTTCAGGAGTCACACAAGTGTTTGACTAAAAACTGATCTTGATTTTTTAATTTTATTATGGGGGTAAGATGTGGCCATACCACTGCTGGTTCTGTGCTTAGGAGTGACCAACACCTTGTGGTGCTCGGGGGAACATACTTGGTGCCAGGGATTGAACTGGGGTCGGCCAGATGCAAAGACTTATCCTCTGTACTCTCTCTCAGCCTCCTGGTTTTTTGTAGGTTCGTTTTTACTGCTGTTTTTCAGGCCACACTGGTGTTCAGGGCTGGCTCCTGGCTCTGTGCTTAGGGATCACTCCTAGCACTGTTCAGTGTCCAGGGGCCCATAATGGATGGGCACCTGGAAAGGCTTCCTGAAAGTCAAACGACCTGCCTGCTGTTCTATCTCTCTGGGCCGAGTTTCCCATCTTTAAAATGCTTTGAGAAGACTGATTTATTTCTCATCTTACAATGAGAACACTGGGGGAGGGGGGGGGGGGGAACCACGGCACCTTTTGGAAGTTTGGGGGGATCAGGAACAGCTTTTGCTTAGAAGCAAACTTCCAGATTCAAGTTCTTTGAAATCAGTACTATTTCTCTCAAGAAGTAAAGCTATCCTACTTTGTCCCACCCCCAAGAATCCTCACTTTACCCTTAGAGTGGAAGATTAAAAAGACCACAAAACGCGACAGGAGGTATTTCTATTAGTGGGCAACAACAAGCCAGACCCCTGGCTCCTCTCTCCTGCGGGACAAACGGGAAGACAGGGAAGGGACCATACTGTTCAAAGTTGATGTATTTCACGACCGTGCGGTTCTCAGCATCGTGCCACAGGGCCCAGATATCTGTAGTGTTTAAGGCAAAGTCAATCAGTGTCTCCTAGGAGGAAATGTGCCAAAACAAAAACAAAAAGGTAAAGTTAAAACAGGACAGAAACAACGGGGTGAAGGTTGTGGCTGCATCAATCTGTATCAGGAGGAAAGTCCATGCACCCGTGAAAACCCACAGAAAACGCTGTTTGCTTCCATCGCCAAATATTCTAGGATCTCAATTCCATTTCAACTTGGCCACCAAGTCCTTTTCTCCTCTACCCATATTAAAAGCAAAGAATTTTAACTCACCTGAGAAGTGAAGAGTGAGGAAATGTGATCTAGACTGTAGCGGTTATTCTCAGCACCCGCCAATTGAAAAACGCAGAACTGTTCAAACACAAATCGAGAATTTATGACATGAGATAGTCAGCAGACATTCAGAACCCAATTTGCTTTTTGGTGGTAGGGGAATGGGGGTCACACAAAGAGTGCCCAGGGCTTACTCCTGGCTCTGTGCTCAGGGAGTCATCCGTGGTGCTAGCAATCAGTTTGATGCATGCAAGGCAAATGCCGTAACTCCAGCCCCAATTTTTCTTTTGCTTTTTGGGTCATACCCGCGATGCACAGGGATTACTCCCGTATGGGATGCTGGAAATCAAACCTGGGTCAGCCGTGTGCAAGGTGAATGCCCTATCCATTGTGCTATTGCTCCAGCCCCTAGCCCCAATTTTTAACAATAGTAAAGAACGCATAGCACATCAATCATGTCAGCCATTCTGAAGTGTAAAGTAGTGGCGTTAATTAAGTACAGTGGGTCAAGGAGATAGTTCAGAGGGCTAAAGCACATGCCTTGCCTGCACCATGTCCTGGGTTTGTATCTTTGGTACCTCACGTTCCCCCCAGCATCTGAAGGAGAGATTCCTGAGTAGCAAGCTGGGAGAACAACCTGAGAACAGACAGGTCTGCCCCAAAAACGAAACTAAAAGTATACATGTATAATTAATCCTGTCTTGCAACCAATCTCCAAAACTTTTCTCCATCCGGCAAAACTGAAACTATGTACCTTACCATCCCTTTCCCAGTGAGACACCATCTCTCTCCAGTTGGGACAGCTGCTCACCAAATAATAAGGCCCCAAATAACTAAACATTGGCAAGAATGGGGGGAAATTTGAATCTTCATGCACTACTGGCATGAGTGTAAAATGAGACAGTATGGCAGTTTCTCAAACAGAACGGGCTCAATCCTGGGTTGGTCACTTAAAAGACAAGTGCCCTACCCGCCGGACCGATTCTGTAGCCCGATTTTTTTTTTCTTTTTTGCTTTTTGGGTTACACCCAGCAATGCACAGGGGGTTACTCCTGGCCGTGCACTCAGGAATCACTCCTGGTGGTGCTCAGGGGACCATATAGGATGCTGGGAATCAAATCCAGGTCGGCTGCATGCAAGGCAAATGCCCTCCCTGCTGTACTATCGCTCCAGCCCCTAGCCTGTTTTTTTTTCCCTGAAAGCCATGAAAACATTGTTTTCTTTAAATTTATTTTAATGCAGAAGTATTGGTATTTATTCAGCCATTGATTAGGCTGATTGAATTGGGCATGAACTCTAACCTAGTCTGTTTTTTGTATATATGTGTATGTGTGTGTGTGTGTGTGTATGTGTGATGGGAGTAGGGGGATGGTTGGGGCGAACCCTGATGGTTCTTCAGGGCTCACTCTTGCATCTGTGCTTAGGGATCTCTCCTGGCAGTATTCGGGGGAACCATACGCAGTGCCAGAGATAAAGCGGAGGTCAGCCACATGCAAGGCAAGTACCTATACTATCTCTCTGGCCTTGGATAATATTTTATTCTTTGTAAAATTTATTTATTTTTACCTTTTGGGTCACAACTGGCGATGCACAGGGGTTACTCCTGGCTCTGCACTCAGGAATTACCCCTGGTGGTGCTCAGGGGACCATATGGGATGCTGGGAATTGAACTCGGGTCGGCCGTGTGCAAGGCAAATGCCCCGACCTGCTGTGCTATCGCTCCAGCCCCATTGGATAATATTTTAAACACATATTTTGGTGGAGGAAATTCCCTATGGAGGTGCTAGAGTGATAGTACAGTAGGTAGGGTAATAGCCGTGTACACGGTAACCCAGGTTCTAGCCCTGGCATCCATACAGTCTCCTGAGCACCGCCAGGCTGGTTCCTGAGTGCAGAGACTAAAGCAACTGCTGGGCATCACCTGATGTGGCCCCAAAACAAAAACCAAAGCAAAAACAAAAAAGGGGGGAAAAAAGTGACCTGTCAGGTTTTTGGGGTGGGGGGTTGGTTTATGGCTCAGCGGGAGGGCATATCCTTCACCATGTCTGAATCCATGAATTAAGCCACCCCCACTTCACTACATTTTACCCTTGGAAGCACTGCAAACAGTTCCTGGCACTACAAGAAGCACGTGACTCCCAGTAATCACCACCAACAACTGTGTGATCCCCTGGGCATCACAAGTAGAAAGAAGGAAAAAGTAAAAAAAAAAAAAAATGGGGGGGATAGAAAGAGATGGAACTCTAAGGACTCAGTAGTCAGAAGGCCTGGGCTCCACCTTCAACACCAAAACCGGCTTGGAGTGACCCCAAGCTCAAACCAAATCAAATTACATTAACATATTAATATACAACACAATACTAATATACTGCCATGGGTGGGACAGGAGAGATAGCTCAGAGGGCTGGAGCATATGGTTTGCACGGAGGAGCCGTGGGCATTGCACGCCCCCCTGCCCCCGCCAGAAAGGCCGAGTATATCTACAGATAATGTGTAAAACCCCTTGGCTGGAGTGGATGAGCTTACATGCGCTCCGTCTCCAGAGGCTCTTCCCCATATCCGCACCCGCGTAAGACCCGCAACGCACCCTGTTCCTACCTGGCCACGGTTGGGTGCGTGCAGGTACACCCCCAGACAGAGTCCCATGGAAGAGGAATATGCAAGTCGCAATTTGTGTCCCGTCCCTGCGGTGAGCCGAAGGTCTTTATTTACGGGGACAAACTCCAGCATGTCTGCTACCATGAGGCACATTTGATCCTGCTCGGAGAAAAAAATTAGCTGGGTCTCACAGAACATTCAGGTTAGAAAAACATGTTCTTTCAGACTTTTATTAAAGGATGCGTGTCCGGCACTCCGCCGAGTTTATCTGCTGAACGCTTTTTGCCCCCACCCCTCTCCGACGGGTTGTTTCTCTAGGGATGTGGGGTGAAAGGTCATGCCTAGTGGTGCTCAGGGCTTACTCCACATACTGCAAGGCAGCCCCTACCCACTGTACTGTGGCCCCAGCTTCACCCACAGGACTTACAAGGCTCATAAGACACTAATTCTTTAGTCTAAGAGTTAACTAAGATCAGGACTTATTTTGTCTGTGGGTCTCTTTACTACTGTTGTGGATGCTGGGGATTGAACCTAAGGCATGATGCGTGGCAAACATGAGTTTTCATCCGTCAGCCGCACCCTCAGGCCTATTTGTGAACCTTGGAAACTATTTAGCCAACTGGCATTGTTAAAAAAAGTATTCTTTGGAGGGGGGATTTTTAGGTCACTCTTGGTGCGGCTTGGGGGGTTGCTCCTGGAGGTGCTCGGGGGACCCTGACCTGATGCTTGTAAGGCAGGTGCTCAAACTCATAAGCAATCTCTCTGGCCCTACACAACCTGCATTTTAATAACATTTATTCCTTCCAGTAAAGTCATGCAGTTTGCTGCCACCTGGATGGAACTGGAAGATACCATGTTGAATGAAGTTGGAAGGAGAGATGCCAAGATCACCCTTGACCCCAGGGAGGAGGACGAACAGGAAATGAAATTGAGCAGGAGAAGGAAGAAGCTGAGACAGGACCTAAGGGGGGAACAGGGGTCAGGGGCCTCAGGTATATAGGTAACGTGGGGGAGCAGCAAAGCTATGTCCAAAGCACAAAAGCAACAAAAGCAACAACACCGAGAACAGGAGATCCAAACTACAGCCACCAAACTTGGAAATGTGCCTGTTAGGGTGGTACTGGGGATCACTGGTAGAGGGAAGACACTGGTGATGAGACTGGTATTGGAACATTATATGCTGAAACTCAACACTCAATAATGGTGTAAATAATAGTTCTCGAAGTGAAAAAAAAATCTATTAAATTAAACACTGTCACTGTCCTCCCATTGTTTATTGATTTGCTAGAGTGGGCCCAGTAACGTCTCCATTTTGAGTCTTGTTGTTACTGTGTTTGGCATATTGAATACGTCACGGGTAGCTTGCCAGGCTCTCCGAGAGGGGCGGAGGAATCAAACCTGGCCCGGCTGGAATGGCTGCGCGCAAGGCAAACGCCCTACCAAAAAAATTAAAAAAAAAAAAAGTGTTCCTCTTAAAGTGAGTGCTCTGCATTCTATTTCCTTATTTTTTGGTTCTTGAGCCCCAGCTGGTAGGGCTTAGCGACACCAAGCACACGTTCTGTCCAGTCATGCTCTCCCCAGCCCTATCTTATGTATATAGACCTTTCTATAAGTATTAATTTTCAACATAAAATCAGAAAAAGGAGAGAAATGAACAAAAATCAAGCTGAACTATCGAAATGTGAAAGCTGCCCATAATTCTCCATAGTGGCACGGTCATCTTTAACTAAAGCAGCAAGACTGATCGCAGTTCCTGACATATTTATAGTCTCGTTTTTTAGTTTAGTTTATTTTTCTCTTTTGGTTTCTGGGCTGCGCTCAGAGATGCTCAGGGCTGAATCCTAGCTCTGGACTCAGGGACCACTCCTGGTGAACGTGGGGAAACCATACTGCGGTGCAAGAATCAAACGTGGGTCAGCCATATGCAAGGTAAGTGCTCTACCCGCTGAACTATGTAACTCCAGCCCCTGCAGCCCCATTTGGATTCGCGGTAATTCCAACGTAGTGCTTACCTTGTAAGACCACATTCGCAGCTTATGATCCTGGCACAGCGCAAAGATGAAGGCATCACGCTCCATACAATGTACAGCAAGGCTGAGGGGACGATCTGACGGGCCCTGATCACCCCTGAAAATGGAAGGCCAAGACTGAGAGTGCTCCTACTGCCAACAGCTGATCATCGGACTTTGCAATTGAAGAGATAAAATGAAATGACAAACACACAGTTGTTCTTGGGTTATACTGGGCTATGCTCAGGATCACTCCTGACAGGGCTTGGGGACCAAACCCAAGCCGGCTGCATGCAAGACAAGTGCCCAATCTGCTGTACCATCACACTGACCCCAAACAAATGATATTTTATTTTCTTTTGGCCACATCCAACAATGTTCAGGGGTTATCCTGACTCTGTACTCAGGAATTATTCCCAGCAGTGCATGGGGGACCGTATGAGATGCCAGGGATTAAATCCAGGTTGGCTGCATACAAGGTAAGTGCCCTACACGTTGCACTAATGCTTTAGTGCCACAAACTGTATTTTAAAACTAAAAGAGAAGAACTCAGAGTGACGATAGAGGGCAACTTCCCAGGGGTGGTCGGGGAGACTGGGTGCTGCCCTTAAGTGGCCGTCAAGGATTTTCTACTTCAAATACGGTGTAAAATTGGGTTTGGTAAGCCAGAGAGAGCAGTGGCCTAGACACTGAGCAAGTGTCTGCTGCCAAAGACGTTTCCGCAGGAGAGGCATCAGACCCTAAACAGTGTAGTGCAGGTGCCCTGGGATCGAATGCAGGAAGCACCAGTAGGCAGAACTGTGCAGACAGGCAAAATTCTCGGGCCTCTGACTTTTTACCTGCTGGACACAACTTACCTGATAGCTGTTGGCATCCAGCCGATGAGCAACCGCTGCATCACAGAACTCTGCTTCAGTTCCACCACCGAAACCACCCCTGCAGGATTGAAGACACCAATGACGTCGCAGAATCCCCATGACAGGTAGCGGGAAGGTGAGAGCTACCAACAAGGCCCACAGGACAAGTTACCCACCTTCCTCTGTCTATAGCATAGAAAGGAAATTTGAGGGATGGGGCTGGAGGGATGGTACAGCGTGTAGATGTTTGCTCTGCCCACGGCAGACCAGGGTTCGATCCCCGACACCTATATGATCCTCCAAGCACCACCAGGAGTAATTCATGAGTGCCGAGCCAGGAGTAACTCCTGAGCATCACCAGGTGTGACCCCAAACCAAATCAAATTTGAGGGGTACCTCTCCACATAGATAACATAACTAAAATGTTCTGAAATGTTACTAGGTCAATAAAACTATCAGTTTTAGATTCTAAGGGAAATACTATTTGCATTTGCAAATAGTAACCCAGGAGCCGGAGATTGGGCAGAGAGAGGGTAGACGCTTGCTTTGCAAACAGCCAATCTGGGTTAAATCCTCAGCCCTGCATATGGCCCGAGATAGCCAGGAATGATCCCTGTGTACACCCAAGTTTCACCCATGCCCGCATTCCATTAGATAAGCCACCAGTAACCCACACTGGTGCTTGGAAGAATCACTCTTTTTTGGGTGGGGGCAGACCCAGCCGTGCTCGGCCGTTGCTTCTGGCGGGGACCACGTGGTGCTGGAGCTGGGGTCTGCGCCTGGACATCCTGCACACGGAGCATGCCCTCGGCATGCTGAGCAGCCCCCACGGCCCCCGCTTCATTCTTGGGCTGGGGAGGTGGCTCACAGGGCTGGAGTGCAGGTTCGGCAGGTGGGATCTTTGCTTACCCCAAGGCCTGGTAAGCAGGACAAGGGGTAAGGAACCTGCCTTCCACATGGCCAACCCGGGCAGGATCCCCAGCACCCCATATGGTACCCATCACCAAGCCCTGCCAGGAGTGATCCCAAAGTGCAGAGCCAGGAATAAGTCCTGAATTTGGCCAGGTGTGGCCCAAACAGTGTGCCCACACCCACAAAAACTCAAAACCTAGGGGCTGGAGCGAGCAGGTGGGGTGTTTGCCTTGCACGTGGTAGACCGGGGTTCGATTCCCAACAGGTGTGACCCTGTAGTTCTGTCCTCTGTTTTTCATCGATTTGCTCGAGCGGGCCCAGTAATGTCTCTATTTTGAGATTTGTTGTTACTGTGTCTAACATATCGAATTCGCCACGGGGAGCTTGCCAAGAGGGGCGGAGGAATCGAACCCAGCTCGGCTGGGCTAATAGGAGGGAGTACGTGGCCATTCTCACAGACGTTATAATCCAGAGAGAAGAGTAGAAACCCAGTTTACTTAACTGTGCAGAACAGTAGCAAGTGAATCAAAATATACATAAAGGAGGCAGAAAATGTCACATGTGCATGATTTTGAAAACGGTAGCCAGGAAGGGTGCCGAGAAAAGTCCTAAATAAATAAGAGAAGGAAGCTGAGCTGGTGACAGGCAAGCCCCGAGATAGGCGTGCCTGATATGTTCTAAGAATTCCAAGCAGGCATGTGGCAGTGTGGGAAGGGGGTGTTGGGGCAGGAAAGAGAAGCCGAAGTGGGAGAGGCAGCAGGGGAGCTGCTGTAAGCTAGAGTGGGGGCCTGGGGTTTATCCAAGAGCAAAGCAGCAGAGGAACACGATCCAACTTAGGTTTTAAAAGCACTGGCCCAGGGCTGGGTCTGTAGCTCAGAAGCAGAGGACTTGCCCTTTATGTGAGAGGTGCTGGATTTGATCCCTGGCACTACACACACAACCCAACCAACCAAAATGCCCAAAAACTTTGAAACATACAGTTTGCCTAAGAAGCTTCTCTCCTTTTTTTTTTTTTTTAAATTTTTTTGTTTTTGAGTTACACCCAGTGGTGATGCTCACGGGACCATAATATAGATGCCGGGGACTGAACCTGGGTCAGCCATATACATGCAAGGCAAACCCCCTCCCTGCTGTACAATCACTCTGGCCCCTACCCGGCATGTTTCTGCAGCCAAGACAGATATCTAGGAAGCTAACGCAACAACACAGGCCACAGATGGCGGTGACCTGTAGCCGTCGCTGCAGCCCATGTCCCAATCTGAAGAAATTTATGTTATAGAGCCACTGCCTGAACTGGCGACCAGACAACTTGTCTCTATTATAGAATCTATAACAGACCCCCCCCCCCCCCAGACCTGTGCACCAACATGCCAAGGAGCTCATCCTCTGCATAAGCTCCCTGCCTGGGAAGAAAGGAGGAGGACATGTGATCTAAAGAACCTCAGATTTCTCAGGCAGGACAGGGAGACGCAGCCAACACAGAGTAACAGAACTGGACTTTCAGTTGCGTTTTAACACCGGCACTCCCCGTTTGAAAAGCAGGTTAACCACGCTCGGTGCCTCCTCTTACCAGGTACGTCATAAGAAGGAAGTCTTAGAACGAAGATCCCGCCGGAAGCAGATGGCAGAGCAAACAGAGCCTCGCCGTCACTGCTAAGCCAGGCGGTGGAGGCGGCAGCATTAGGGGCGAGTCCAGGAACCGCTGGAATAAGCTGGTAGTTGCAAGGATCCGCAAAGTCGACTTTCCCGATATCAGTGAACACCGACTGCATCTGATTCTCAGTTAACAATTCCTGGAGCCATAAGGGAAAAAAAACAAATAACTTATCAGAATCACAATGAATTTTGCCCAGTTCCTCTCAATTACCACAGAACTTTACAAAATTGCTGAGCTCAAAAAGAAAAGCTTTGTGGGAGGCAGGAGTGGGTGGGTGGGGGTGGGGGAGTTCCAGGCTTGCCCAGAGGTTCAGAGCACATAGTCTGCAAGGGTTTGCGCTTTGCGCTGCAGTGCCCTGACTGCCCTGCTCTCTATGCCTGGCAACTCCAATCTGTGATCCCTGGTGCCACAGCTAATTTGGGCTGTGCCTGGAAGTGTGACCCCAGACAAGCACGTGTGAGAGCAGCAGAGCAACCCACATTAGCATTCCAAGTACCAGCACTGTCACTACACACGCACAGTGATTCCAGAACCAAAGAGGATGTGAGCGACATAGTCCAGGGTATGTATGACCCAAGTTAACGTAACAATGAGAATATGTGCTTGACCATTCAAAACAGTAACTCCATGGGCCGGAGAGATAGTACAGTGGGGAGTTTGTTTTGCACACAGCTGATGTGCGTTTAATCTCTGAAATCCAATATGGTCCCCCAAGCACTGCCGGAGAAATTTTTTTTTTTAGAGGGGAGGGGACTGGGGAAGCCATACCCAGCTGTGCTCAGAGCTGACTGCTGGCTCTGTGCTCAGGGCCTGCCAGAAGTAGTTCTGGAGTGCAGAGTCAGGAGTAATTCCAGAGCACTGCTGGGTTAACTCCGAGGCTGGAGAGAGCACAGAGAACAGGGTGCGTGCCTTGCATGTGACCAACCCAGGTTTGATCCCTAGCACTGCATATGGTCCCTTGCCTGAACAGGGCCAGGAGTAAGTCCTGAGCACCGCCAGCAGGGGAGCCCCAAAACCAACCAAAAAGCTAACTCCGAAGTGCTGAGGAATTGGCTCAAGAGGACTGAGGGCACGCCACACACGAGGGAAGCCTGAGTTCCAGGCCCAGCACTGCGTGGTTCCACAAACACAGCACTGGGAATAGCTGAGGAACACCCCAAATGACTCATCCACGGTGTCTGAAAACAACCGGTCAAGAAGCTGTGGCCGCGGCTCTCCAGCACAGCCACAGCCCCAGAAGCACAGGGACTTAATGCAGAACCCGGTAGCTTGGAGCAGAAAAGTGAAAGGACTATGCGTTAATCCAGGCCATCATGTCTGTCCAGAGGGGAAAGGGTGTTGCCCCAGTCACCTTCTCCTCTCTGGAAAGAAAGATGGCGGCCGCATGGGAGCCTTGTGGACAGCAGGTATGAGCCGGGGGAGTGGGGACGACTAAAACCTCATGAGAAGGGGGCGTTTCGGTCCGCCCTTCACGCCCTACCGAGGCCACCAGTTGCCCCCCACTAGCGGCTCTCCAGCACAGCCACGACTCCAGAGCACAGAAACCAATTTCTTAACTATCTGACTTTCAGTAGAAATACTTCCAGGGTCAATAAGTAAAATAGCAGAAATCCAAAACCAACATTTAATTCTTGAACCTAGCTGTAGAAAGCAAATCACGTCACAATGCTTTTTCAGCTTGTCTGATTTGGGGGGGGGGGTAAACTCTAAATAATAGTGGTGAATCTTTTATTGAAACAATGAATCTAATCAAAGCAGATAGAGTGTTAACTAGAATTCATCTGCCCCACAGGGACTGGGAGGGGTGGGGGGTGGGGTTTTATTGGGGTTCTTGATGGTAAAAAAAAAAAGTATTGGTAAAGGGAAATGTGTTTGATATTTGCATGACTGAGACCTAAACCTGAAAGCCTTGTAACCTTTCCCACGGTGATTCAATAAATAAATAAATAAATAAATAAAAATAAAAAAAAAAAAAAAAAAAAAAAGAAGCTGTGGCCATCACCACCAACACACACCACCCCAGAACCACCTCTCCGCTGGCTAGTCTGTGCACTAGACTGGGACGCCTAGCCCACTTACACTCCTGTACATCCGGGACGGGTGCGGCAGGAGTAACCTGTGCACTGTCTGGTTGGTCACAATCAAGATTATCACATGATTCTGTGTCTCGGAGATGTGCACCCCGCTGGGCAAGACGCTGCAGTTTTGGAATTTAAGGCGAACTGCATTATTCAACAAATTCAAGTCCAGGGACTCTTCGACCAGCTCCAGGGACTCTCCAGAGACCTTCCTGTTTTTAAAAGAGAGAGATGTTATTAGAGTTTGCATTATTTTCTTTCTGGCCCTTGCACTGAAATACCCAAAATGAAAATAAAAGTTTTCATGAGAACTCTGTCCACTGGAAAACCAGAACTTGGAGTGACTACTTTAGACCAACTTTTGCATATGCCAAACCATTACAGCATGCAGACTTCCATAAAAGCACGACGGAAGATTTAAGTCTTCTGTGGTTATCTGTTCAGTGAAGGCATTCCCAAACCTGGCAGTGCATTTACTTAGGATATTTAATGCAAAGCCCACTACAATGAAAACTTACACCCTTCCCCACCCATTAGTTGTGTGGACTCCAAGACTCCAAGGATTACCTCTGCACGGACTAGAAGCGATGTTATTTCTGCTTAGCTCTCCTACTTGTTTGAGGGAGCAGAAGGGGAATCTTTTCCCTGAAATGTCATGTGATTAGCTTGGAAACACAGACAGCACTTTGCTGGAGAATGCCCCACAGCCCTGTGGCCTCAGTTTCCAGTTTCTCACGTCCTTCCCCAAAATATAGCCAATTCATGATCAACCTCTTTCTTTACGTAGCAGCCTTCCTGCACCCAAGGCACTTCAAAGGTCTCCAATTCAAACCTACTCTTCCTTGGCCTTTCCGTGCCCACCCCCATCATGTGCTCCCCTATTCCTCCACCTACTTCTCCCTCTTACTCTTCAACCTGCCCTCCTCTTTCCAAGGTCAATACAATCAATCTCAATGGACTCTTCAATCCGTCTCTCACTTGACTCTTAGCATTCCACCTCCCTGACCATGCCTCCCCCTACCTCTCCCACGGACTCCGCGAGGTTCTGCCGGTGCTGGAACCTTTCAATGCTCCAGGGACCAGAGCCTGATCCCAAGACTCAAGGGCCCTCCCAGCTGTCCAATCTCCCAGATTTGTGGTATTTAATGTCTCCCTCCCTCAGATACTTTGTCTGCTTTGTGGCCTGCTGGATATTACCTAAACACTGAATGCAACACAGCAGATCCTCAAAAATGTTTCATAGAGGTGCTGCAGCCCTGCAGTGCCCAAGGGGTTACCAGGGCCACATCGGGGGTGTTTGGGGTGTGTGTGAAGGGGAAAAAGGCATGCGTTACTGGGGATCAAATTCAGAACCTTAAATATGCTGGGAACATACTCTCACATTTGAATCACGTTCCCGGTCCTCTCAATGATTTCTTATAGAAATGGGATGTCCGGGGCTGGAGCGAAAGCACAGCGGGTAGGGCGTTTGCATCCCATATGGTCCCCCGAGCACTGTCAGGATTAATTCCTGAGTGCAGAGCCAGGAGTAATCCCTGTGCATTGCTGGGTGTGACCCAAAAAGCAAAGAAATGGGATGTGCACCTCTAACACATTCTCTCTCTGGGGCTCACATCTGTACATTCCCGGGCTTACCTAACACTTTCAAAGAGCTGATAAAGGTACTTCAGATTCAGTGGGTACAAAAACTATTCAGAGTCACAGACATGGCTTGGTGGCAAGAGAGGGTGTGAGGCTGAATTCAACCCCTCGGCAGCAAACTACGTCCCTACACGTGATCACCCCACTCTCCTCCTCCCACTGCAATCCTGTGAGCATACAGCCAATGTACCACCATGAAGAACTGCTGGGCAGGAAAAATAAAGTGAAAAAAAAAAAAGCATCATTCATACAGACCCCGAAGTCCATCGTCAATGTGCCAGTAAAGGGCAGCCTCTCTGCCCAGTCTTGAGCCAGCAACTCTGGACGTGAGAACAGTGTCCTTACTCCTTCCACTGCCCACACTGGGCTGCACCCCACACCGGTGCTCATCAAGAGACACTGAGTCAACTTACTCAGCGTAGCCTGAATTAAACTCTTTCCCCTTTCCTAGCCATGCCTACAAATGAACCACCAGCATCTCTCACAGAAGTAACCTGTTCTTCTATACTAGACTCTCTGCCCAAATTTATTTTCCACAAAGCAGACTGATTTTTTTTTTATTGTATCACCATGAGGTACAGTTACAAAACTTTCATGTTTGACTTTCAGTCACGCAATGATCGAACACCCATTCCTCCACCAATGCACACTGTCCACCACCAATGTCTCCAGTATTACCTCCTCCTCCAACTCTCCCCCTGCCTCTATGGCAGACAATTTCCACCATTCTCTCTCTCTCTCTCTCTCTCTCTCTCTCTCTCTCTCTCTACTTTTGGGCATTATGGTTTGCAACACAGATACTGAGAGACCATCATGTTTGGTTCTTTATCTACTTTTAGCACACATCTCCCATCCCGAACGATTCTTCCAACCATCATTGACTTAATGATCCCTTTTCTATTTCAGTGGCCTTCTCCCCCAGCTCATGAGACAGGCTTCCAACTATGGAGCAATATTCCTGGTCCTTGGGTCTACTAAAGCAGACTGATTTTTGAAGGCTGCAAACTGAAGCACGTAACCCTTGAAACCCCTTCAGTGGGTTTTCACTGTACCTACAATGAGAGTCAAAACTTTTTTCTGTTTTGGGGCCACACCCGGCAATGCTCAAGGCTTACTCCTGACAGGCTCAAGCGACCCTATGGGGTGCCAGGGATTGAACCCAAGTCAGCTGTGTGCAAGGCAAACGCCCTACCCGCTGTCCTATTGTTCCCGCCCTCAAAAACCTTTAAAGCAGCCAGAGTGTCCGTGCTGAGTCTTGCTGAAATTTCCCTGTCCTGGTGGCTCTCACATCACGCTGGCATCATGCATTGCACTTAAGCTGTAAGGGCCTTCAGCTCAGGCCTCAAACCCACCCAGGTCTTGTCATTCCTGGGCTTTGTAGAACGGGGCTCTGCTTGCCCATCTGCCTCATCCCCAACCCACCATGCCAGGCTGACCTGTCAGCTTTCCTGCCATCAGGTGAAACGCAAAGGCCTTCTCTGTCCTACCGGTAACTCCACAGGGTCTAGCCGTTAGCTGCTCACAGCCCCAATACCAAGGCACTCTTAAGGTCATTCTATACCTATGCCCTTTCCCTTCTTATAACTAACTACCCCCTGATGAAATGGTCACTGTGGGCCCTGAGAGACAGACAGCCAGCACAGGGGCTAAGGTGCTTGCTTGCCTTGCATGCCAGTCGACCCCAGAAGGATGCCCAGCACTGCAAACAGTCCCCACCCCCAAGCAGGAGTGGGAGTGATCCCGGAGCACTGAGCCAGGAGCAGCCCCGGAGCAACAGCAGGGCGTGGCCCTAATCACACCCTCCTCCAAACAAAACCAAGAAAACGCAAGAAAAACGGGTTCACGCTTGACAGCTGGTTTTCCGGGTTTCTATCCCGGCCCCCAGCGAGCGGCTTCCAATGCTGCCTGGGGCAGCACCGCTCCTAAGACATCCCCCGTGCATCACTTCTTGCTTCAGATCCAAGCAGAAAAGGCTCTCTCGGCCCCCACCCCACCCGCCTGTCTTGATCGTTTGGGAGAACGGACACTTCTGGGAAGATCCCGGCGCGAACCCCGCAGCTGCCCGCCCCCGCCCCCGGGGGGCGCACCCCGCGGCGGCGGCACTCACCAATGAATGAACCTGTTCCTGGTGACCGAGAAGAGCTTGCCGCTCTCGGCGTAGCAGAAGCCGCCCGCGCTCTCGCTGTGCTTCACGCCCGGGGCGCCCGCGGTCCCTGCCAACACACCCGGGCGAGCGCTCAGCCCGCGCACGTGGGGCTCGAGGGTGTGGGTGGGTGGGGACGGCCGGACCGGGGCTCCCGGGCTGACAGCGCGCGCCGGGCCGAGGGGGAGCGGAGGGGCGGGCCCCCGGGAGGGAAGGGGGGGTGGACTCCCGGGGCCTCCAGGCCCGGGGACACAGTTTCCCCCTCCGCCGAGGATGCGCCAGGGGCGGGGAGGGGGGCGGGGGCGGGGACCCAGGGTGCCGGGGCGAGGAAGCGGCCCGAAAAGGACCACCCCGCGCCAGCCGGGGGCGGGGGGCTGCTTCCCTACCACTGCCGCACACGGTGAGCTCCCGGAAGCGCCGGGGCCTTTCGCGCTCGGCTCCGCTCAGCTCCACGAAGCTCCGTTCCAGGGCTCCCGCCGCCGCCATCTTCGCGCCGCCGCCGCCGCCGGTGCCGCCGCGCCGCAAGGCACGACGGGACGCGGGCGGCGCCGGCAGGCGCGTCACTTCCGGGGGCGGGGCCTCGCGCGCTTCTGGAGGGCTCTGGGCGCCTGGACCGGGCGCGGAGGGGGCGCGCCGGGGGCTGCGCGTTGGGTGGGGGTGGGCGTGGGGGTGGAGGGCACGACACAGGGGCACCGAGGGGTCGCCCCTCTTCCTGGGGAGCCGTAGCTCGGCGGTCTAGGAGGTGTCCGGGCTGCGGAGGGGGGCGGGGCCCTGGTTCTTGGCGGCCTCAGGGCGCGGGGCGGGGCCGGGTTTGTGTCCTTTTTTGAAAGCGCGGGCGCGGGCGGCGGGGACCGGGCGCAGGGGCGCCCCCTGCCGGGCGCGGGCTTTGCTGCGCACCTGCCCCCAGCTTCTGCGGGGTGTGGGCAGCGGCGTGGCGGGGACCTAGAACGTGCAGACCTACTCCGGGGGACTTTGGGGTTGGGGGTTTGTTTTCGCGCTGTTAACCAGCCTCCTTCTCAGCGGTGTTGCAAGCGGCGGAAATGATCGCATAAAGAAAGGGGGCTCGCGTGCGTCGTACACGCAAGGAACGCGTCTCTCCTTCCACCCCTGATCTGATGTCGGGGAAGTGTTTTGACTTATGCACGTTTATTTATTATGCACGTTTCTAGGGCAGAGAGGAGGCTGGATACGAAGGAAGGAGTTTTTTGTTGTTGTCGTTGTTTTCAGTTTTCTGCATGAAACCTAGGGAGGACCACCTACATGTAAGAAGTATACGCACCCACACCCTCCAGCAGCATCCCAGACCTTTAGAGGAGATTTGGGGGGAAAAAATCAGGGATCTGAGAGATACTACAGTCGGTAAGGCGCTTGCTTGCCTTGCACGCCACCGACCGTGGTTCATTCCCTCACACTGCATATGATCCCCTGAGCCCGCCAGGAGTGATCCTTGAGTATTGCCGTATGTAAAAACAATTCCACCCAGTTTTTGTTAAATACTTTTTACTGGACCTTGAGAGGGCTGGAGCAATAGCACAGCGGGTAGGGCGTTTGCCTTGCATGCGGCCTATTCGGTTCGATTCCTCTCCCCCTCTCGGAGAGCATCTCCCCCGCAGCAGAGCCTGGAAAGCTACCCATGACGTATGGGATATGCCAAACACAGTAACAACAAGCCTCACAATGGAGACGTTGCTGGGCCAGCTGGAGCAAATCTGAACAATGGGAGGGCAGTGCTACAGTGCAGTGCTTCTCTTTACTGGAGCCAAGTGTGTGTGTTGGGGGGGGGGGGGACGAGATGGGGGGAAGAGGGGAAGGGAGAGGGAGCTAAAAAAATTTCAGCACTTGCTTTGCATGTGGAAAACTGGGAGCTCAAAAAAATAAGAATCATGGGCCTAGAGCGATAGTATAGGTAAGGTGCTAGCCTTGCATGTGGCTGACCCCATTCAATCCCAGCACCCTATATGGTCCCCTGAGCACTGCTAGGAGTGATCCCTGAACACAGAGCCAGCAATAAACCCTGACTATTGCTGGGTGTGCTCCCCTAAAAAAATAAAATACAACAAATTCGTATTAGTTCTTGTTACTATCGGTGGCCACATTGATTCATCCTGTTTTGATCCCTTACCTTTTTTCAGTTTGTTCCTAGGAAATCAACCCTAGCACTTTGAATCTAGGTATGGTCTGAGGAGGTCCTGAGTGTCATGGGAAAGAGTAGATTTGGAGGACTGGAGTGCTAGTACAGAGGTCAGGCTCTTGCCTTGCCTGTGGCCAACCAGGGTTTGAACTCAGGCACCCCATATGATTTACCCAGTCTCACCAGGAAATAATTGCAAGCACAGTACCAGGAATAAACCCTGGTACCTCTGAATGTGGTTCCTCTCCCCCCACCCCCCCAGTACATTTGGGGCAGGAGAGATAGTACAGTGGGTAGGGTATTGGTCTTGCATGTGACTGACCCAGGCTCAATCCCCAGCATCCAGTTTGGCCTCTGAGTTTCACCAGGAGTATATTCCTGTGTGCAGAGCCAGAAGTAACCCCTGAGCGTCACCTGCTATGCCCCCCCCCAAAAAAAAATAAGTGGATTAGAGTAGATTTGAATAAAAACAGTGAGATCTGGTGAGTGTAAAGATGAGAGAGAAGGGCCAAGTGTAGGATGACTTTTGACAACTGGGGGAAGGGGTAGTGCCACTGCCTGCAAAGGAACAATAGAAGAATGAGTCTGGGGAATGGGGGCAAAAATCCCTGAAAAGGCTCTAAAGTTGCTGGATGGGACAGATCTCACCACTGCTGAATTATCCCAGGTAAGCCAGTCTCTGGGCTAAGATCCTTGGAGGCAGGCTGATTTCTCCCCCTATTGACAGAGAACCAGCACTCCACCCATACCCGCCATCCTCCAGCATATAAACAGCCCAGCTTCCCAGCAACATGACTCATCTCAAAGAGACACCAAGCCGCTGAATCATCCCAGTTCCACAGCTCCTGGAGCGCATGGCCACAACACCTCCAAATTTCACAGCACTGACAGTCCAGTAGGATCACAGATAATTAGATGGGAAAGTTTCTTAGAAGCCCACTAAGCTCAGTGAGTGAAAATGCTAACACAGAAGGCTCAACTGGCACCTAACAGCTCAGTCAATCATCAGTGACTTTTGTAACACCATTGGGAGATTTATGTTGTAACAAGCCATACGATATAAATTATCATGTACCTGCTAAGAGGCTTGGCAGGTGGGTGGGAAACTGGGGATGTTGGTGGAGGGAAGGTCACACTGGTGGAGGGATTGGTGTTGAAACATTGAGCATCTGAAACAAATGTACTATGAACAACTTTGTAAATCACGGTGCGGTAAATAAAATTTCAGTCATTAGAAATTAAGTTTCTGGGTGCAACAGAAGCACCTTCATCCCGATGCTTGTTTTGGTGCTTGGACCATATGGGGTGCTGGGGATTGAACCTGGGTCTGCCACTATCTCTTTGATCCATGGATGAAGTATTTTTTTAATTAAATCACTATGAGATACAGTTATAAAGCTTTCATGTTTGAGTTTCGGTCATACAATGATCGAACACCTCTTCCTCCACCAGTGTACATTTTCCACCACTAATGTCCCCAATATCCCCCTCCCCAACCCCACCCCTTCCCCTGCCTCTATGGCAACAATTTCCCTCTTACTCTCTCTCTACTTTTGGGCATGATGGTTTGCAATACAGATACTGTATTGAGAGGCCATCATGTTTGGTCCTTTATCTACTTTCAGCACACATCTCCCATCCTGAGCGATCCCTCCAACCATCATTGACTTAGTGATCCCTTCTCTATTCCAGCTGCCATCTCCCCCTGCTCATGAGGCAGGCTACCAACTGTGGAGCAGTCTTCCTGGCCCTTGTCTCTACTGTCCTTGGGTGCCCATCTCATATTGTGTTACTTTATATTCCACAAATGAATGCAGTCATTCTATGTCCCTCTCTTTCTGACTCATTTCACTTAGCATGACACTCTCTGTGACCATCCACTTACAAGCAAATTTCATGATTTGGATAAAGATTCTTAAATAGAACTGGCATTTAAACATATTTCCTGTGGAGCTGGAGAGGTAGCACAGCGGGTAGGGCGTTTGCCTTGCACGCGGCCGACCCGGGTTTGATTCCCAGTATCCCATATGGTTCCCTAAGCACCGCCAGGAGTAACTCCTGAGTGCAGAGCCAGGAGTAAGCCCCGAGCATCGCTAGGTGTGACCCAAAAAACAAAAAAAAAAAAAAACCAGAAAAAAAAAAAAACAAAAAAAAACCCCCCATACTTCCTGAATCAGTTTTTCCAGATCAGAAGACACTAGCATTTCTCTCTTGGCCAGAAATGTAGCTCAGTGATGGAGCACTTACCTTGCCTGTGTGAGATCTTGGGTTCGATCCCTAGCACTGCAAATACCACCACCAAGATCCAAACCGGGAGCTCTAGCATTTCTCTGTCACTGAATAAAGCACTGAATGTATGCTGAATTTAATTGAGCTTACATATTATTTTTTTTTAAAAAAGTGAATCCGAAGCAATAGTACAGCAGGTAGGGCACTTACCTTACATGTGACTTACCTGGGTTCAATCCCTCACACCCCATATGGTCACCTTGAAAATCCAGGAGTGACCCCTGAGCACCAGGGTGTACCCCCCTTCAACTACCAAATAATCTGATTAAATGAGAACATAAAAGAGTCTTAGGAAACCATTTAGCTTAGGGGAAGCAGGAAGTCGCAGCATTTGTGTGTGTATGTGTGTTTTTTAATTTAAAATTTTATTTCCGCAAGATTGTTCCCATTAATTGATTACATTCACTATATCAACAGCAGTCCCACCATCATTACACCTTCCCACCACCATTATTTCGAATTTTCCCACCACCATTCAAGCCTGCCCACCACAGGCAGATTCTAGATAATTAATTTTTCTAATATCGCTTATTATGAATATCACGAGAGGTTGCACGACCACAAAAGTGGCCACCTCTGGAATTCTAAATATGTAAATGATTAGGATCCAGAGACATCTCTGTAGGGAGCTAATCTATCTTTTTTTTTTTTTTTTTTTTTTGCTTTTTGGGTCACACCCAGCGATGCACAGGGGTTACTCCTGGCTCTGCATCATGCTCAGGGGACCATATGGGATGCTGGGAATCGAACCCGGGTCAGCCACATGCAAGGCAAACGCTCTACCCGCTGTGCTATTGCTCCAGCCCCGGGAGCTAATCCATTTTGAGAATCATTTCTAAGTCTCTGGATCAAGGCCAGTGACATGCTTAAATATGGTCAGGAGGTAGTTTGTGGGTGTGACAGCCAGGACTCCGAAGGGGCGGGGAGATGGGAAGGGATGAGCTGTCTCCACTGCCATGTGGCCTGGCGTCTTCAGAGCCTATTCCCATGTACGTGGGATTTTCTTCTGAAAGAAGTGATCCCTTAGTGATCCCTTCATCTGGAGGGACATTCATCTGGAGTGAGCGGAGAG